TGCTACAGATGCAGGGGCTTTAAAGGGTTGGGTTTGACTAGAAACTAGTCCCAACCCTCCTCAGTGTAAACACAGCAGAGAAATCCTCTCCAGGGGCTGGCCACCAAATGTAAGAGGTAAACAAGCTTGACTCCTGCCTGCTGACAGAATGGCGCTGGTGGAAGCAGATTTTGTACAGGTAGCTCTGAGAGTGAGGGGTATGACAGACATGTTGGCCATGCTGCAGGCGTTGATCAGACTTCTGTTTTCCTTTCTGCTTTTATGTCTTGCTCTGATGCTTTTAAGAAAAGAAGACTGTTGCTATCGAGCAGAGGCGCACATGCTTGTGTGAGGATGTGGGGAGAGATCTGCATGTCTGTGTGCAGTAATGTGCATTCTCTTGTGTGATGACATCACTTGTGCCCAATTCTCTGCCATCTTACGAAGTGCTTGTGATGCACAGAGCGGCCGTGTATATGCATGCAGTAAATACTGATGGTTACAGTGTGCGTGCACTCTCTGTAGTGAGGTTTATCATCTCGCTGTGCTGTATTAGGCCATCTGATGACATCTGCTGATTTCTGGTTACAGATGACTCTTGTTAGCATCACGGTCAGTTGGAATGGGTTGTCGGATTAATAATATTATGGGAAACCGGAGGGATTGTTCTCTGACAGCCGAGCTGAACTTTTTGTTTTGTGACATCACTGACAGGCTATAGTGAGGGTTTGATTCTGTCATATCTGTGACAAGCTATTCTGGATTGGTTCTCTCACATCCCTGACAGGCTATAGTGAGGGTCTGATTTTGGTCACATAAGTGACTAGCTATTCTGGATTGGTTCTCTCACATTACTGACAGGCTGCGCAATGGCTTTGCTCCTCAGCCTCCTTTCAGCATTAAATGTCTTAATTTTGTGACCCTTTGATTGTTTGGTTTTGTGACATCACTCAGGTGTTCATTCACAAAAATATTTTATTGTACTGAAATGCAGACTTTAGGTAAAAGTAGCCAAGCTGTGAATTTTGAAATGTTACTTTCAAATTCCTGACCATTCACATAGTAGTGTAAACCCTGACAGAATGCGCAGAGGATTTAATTCCGTGACATCACTGACAGCCTGCAATGAGGGTTTGGTTCTGTGACCTCACTGACAGCTGCACTGATTGGTTGATTCTGTGACCTCACTGACAGCTGCACTGGTTGATTCTGTGACCTCACTGACAGCTGCACTGGTTGATTCTGTGACCTCACTGACAGCTGCATTGAAGGTTGATTCTGTGACCTCACTGACAGCTGCATTGAAGGTTGATTCTGTGACCTCACTGACCGCTGCATTGATTGGTTGATTCTGTGACCTCACTGACAGCTGCATTGATTGGTTGATTCTGAAGACGTCACTGACAGTCTGGACTCGTGGTTTGATTCTATGACATCACCGACAGGCTGCACTAAGGGCTCAGTTCTGTGACATCCCTGACAGGCTGCAGTAAGGGTTCAGTATTGTGACATCACGGACATGCTGCACTAAATAATAGATTCTGTGATATCACTGACAGGCAGCACTTAGGGGTTGGGTCTATGACATCCCTGACAGCTGCACTGATTGGTTGATTCTGTGACATAACTGACACGCTCTTCTGAAGAGTGGGTTCTGTCCTTCACTGAAGGTTTGGTCCTCTGACATCACTGACAGTATGTATTCAGTGTTTGGTTCTGTGACATTACTGACAGACTGCACTAGGGTTCAGTACTGTGACATCACGGATGGAATGCACTGAGGGGTTGGTTCTGTGATATAAGTTAACCGGGTGCATTTCAGGTTTAAGTACATGACACCACTGGCAGACCATTCTGAGGTTATTGGTCTGGGACATCACAAGCTGCTGGTATTGATGGGTTTGTATTGTGATGTCACTGAAATGCCACATTGAAGGTTTTTGTGACATCACAGACCGGCTACAAGGAGTCTGGTACTGTGATATTATTAGTAGACATATGGAGTGACTGGATACACAGAGTCTGGTTCTCTGACATTGCTGGCAGTCTGTACTGATTTGTTGTGTAAAATAACAGTGCACTATATGTTTGGTTCACTGATGTCACAGACCGGCTGCACTTGGCTTCTAGGTGTGTAGCTTCACTGACAGGTAGCAGAGTATTTCTGTGACATCACTTTTAGAACACTTGAGTTTCAGTATGTGACATTGCTGACCAAGTGCACTGGGCCTGTTTATAAGTGACAGGCTTCATTAATTGTTTCTGTGAAATTGCCAGCATGCTGCACATAGAGCTTGGTTCTGTGAAATCATTGACAAACTTCTCTGAGGTTTTGGTTAAATGACATCACTAGCAGCTGCATTGAATGGCTGCTTCTGTGACATCACTAACGGGATGGATTCAGGGTTCGGTTCTGTGACATCAGATAGGCTGTTCTGAGAGGTTGGCTCTGTGACATCACTGACAGGCTGCACTGAGAGGTTGGCTCTGTGACATCACTGACAGGCTGCACTGAGAGGTTGGCTCTGTGACATCACTGACAGGCTGCACTGAGTGGTTGGCTCTGTGACGTCACTGACAGGCTGCACTGAGTGGTTGGTTTTGTGATGTCACTGACAGGCTGCACTGAGAGGTTGGCTCTGTGACATCACTGACAGGCTGCACTGAGAGGTTGGCTCTGTGACATCACTGACAGGCTGCACTGAGAGGTTGACTCTGTGACATCACTGACAGGCTGCACTGAGTGGTTGGCTCTGTGACGTCACTGACAGGCTGCACTGAGTGGTTGGTTCTGTGACATCGACAGGCTGCAGTGAAGTGGTTGGTTCTGTGACATCACTAACAGGCTGCACTGAGTGGTTGGTTCTGTGACATCACTGACAGGCTGCACTGTGTGGTTGGTTCTGTGACATCACTGACAGGCTGCACTGAGTGGTTCGTTCTGTGACATCACTGACAGGCTGCACTGAGTGGTTGGTTCTGTGACATCACTGACAGGCTGCACTGAGTGGTTGGTTCTGTGACATCACTGACAGGCTGCATTGAGTGGTTGGTTCTGTGACATCACTGACTGACTGCACTGAGTGGTTGGTTCAGTGACATCACTGATGGGCTGCACTAAGTGGTTCTGGGATATCACTGACAGGCTGCACTGAGTGGTTCTGTAAAGTGCAACATGGCCGCTGCAGGACCCAACTCAATGAACATAGACCTGGTTATAGTGCCAGGATTCTTTGCAAACTGCCTCGTCATTTTGTGTTTAGTATCCCCCATCGATGCCTGTTCTCTTGCTGTCTTACAGACCGCTCTGTAGGAGCTTGGGCATTTGAGCATAAGAGAGTAGCAGAAAAATCCCTGGCAGTGATCCCAATCCAGTCCTCAAGGCACACCTCCAATCCATGACATTTCCATTTACACCAGGGATACTGACAGAACCTGAACAACTAGTGTGCTTTAAAGAAAAGGTTGGGAAATACTGAATTTGAGTACTCTTTGTATCCCCTAGGAGGACTAATTGCTGTTCAAGGATGTTTTCAATATAATTGTTACTGTTGGAACTCTTACTTTCTTTTAGAGATGCTTGAGATTTGTAAAAAAGTGTTGATTTGCCAATACATTTTTGTACACAACTAATATGTATACATTGAATCCTTGGTGAAATCATATGTATACCAGATTCTATCCATACATTCAGTCATATTTAAAAAATCAGCCTTAACCCCTTAAGGACCAAACTTCTGGAATAAAAGGGAATCATGACATGTCACACATGTCATGTGTCCTTAAGGGGTTAAAGAAAGTGCTCTCGATGTAAACATCTTCCCCTCACAGTAATTGGTACTGATCATTTGAAAATATCTGCACTGACATTTCTGCCATTGTTTATATTTAGGCAGGGTGCCTCTTTAACAGACGATTTCCCTAGATGAACATTTTTAATGTGCGATGAATAATTAAATTGTTTATATAAACGTCAGATGGAAATGTAGATACTGAGAGATATCTAGATCTCTGAGGCATGTAAAGTCCCAGTCATGTTTACCAGGACAGGACGAGCTTAGAGTAAAACGTGGGAAGGTAGACACTGTAGGCTTACTAGATATAATTATACAGTTTGGATGTCTGCACCCTAAGCTATGTGAAAGTTCTGTGTGCTAATGCATGCAAGCCAAATACACAGAGTCACGCTGGGCTTGTTTTATCAGGTTTACGCTGTAATCTTTTCAATTATATATTTCAAACTTGGGGACGGGAATAACATCAGATATAATGGAATTGCTGATGGAGTTTCCCACCTCATGCTCACTCTCACTCTCAGACTGTGGATATGTAATTATATGCAAAAGGTCATCTGTATTTCAAGCATCTCAGGTTTATCTTCTTTTGATAACTTCTTTTTAAAGTGCAGGTTAATTTGCACCTACCCATATTCTATCATCATCAAAGTAGACTATATAAATGAAGTCCTAGAATAGAGGACTGATGTGCTTCAGTTATAAACCGAGATTGGCCATTTAAAGTTACAGAACACCTGAAGACTGTTTCCATTCTAGGCTATATGAATGGCCACAGGACTACAACTACAATGATTTGTACACAGGGATAGAGGGATATTACCTTCCAATAAATGTTCAGAAAGACATTGAGAAAACAGCATTGATGTACAGTTCCTTCCTTGGCTTATTGAAATTCTATTTAGAATTTGACTGTTAAATTGCGCTGTCTCAGGATTATTCATTAACGTGTGAATTGTTGGAACTGTAAGGTCAGTTTAGAATTTTATGCTTGTACTTTTAATTTACACTTATATGAATAGCCCTGTAAGTGTATGTCTGTATATAAAATAATGCATATCTACAAGACATTAAGTAGTTTTCTTTATTTTTTCTGTAATTGATTATTTTTCTGTTTTTGCAGAGAGGGTTACAGACTCCCATCTACTGAACCATAAATGCTTCTCATGTGGTTAGACCGTTATTATTTCCTAACTTTTCCTGTGGAGAAGGTTGAGTGTGCGTGTGATGGACCATAGGAATACTGCTATGTTAGGAGTAGGATCTGAAGCTGAACGGCCTGTGCAATCCTCCGGTGTAGTGACCAGTAAGAGAGAGACCGCACAAGAGAGCAGTGGCAAGGAGCTGGAGAAACAGAAGACCACCATTTCTGAAACCACACAAGGCAGCTCTAGTGGAGACGCACAGCAGTTCTTGGTCACAGAAACAAATTTTTCAGAGGGCAATTTAAAACTCAAAATTGGCTTTCAAGCCAAAAGGACAAAAAAACCTCCAAAGAACCTGGAGAATTATGTCTGTCGCCCGGCCATAAAGACAAGTATAAAACATACACGTAAAGTTCCAAAGGGTGGGAAGATGCCGGAGGAAAGGAATGAACCCATTGCTTCCAAACAGGTGGGTCAGCATGTCACTTTATAATGTATGAATTCAACATAAAAAGTAAATCCTTGGTTTAAGTCTTTGATGGTTATAGAAAAAAAGGTGGGTTTTTTCTAAGTTTTAGTGGTTTTCCTCCATACTGCCAAGACAGTCTAAAACATCTATATTCTTTTCTTTAATGATGTCTCTTGGTGATGGATGTTTTGATGCTTGCCACACATATAATAAACTGAGTGTTGTAGAATTCTTCTTTGTTTGCTCTTTTATATGTATTCTTACTTCTTTTCATAAGCACTTGTTAGCAGTTTTCTACAGTGATTACATTAACGTAAATGTAGGTTGTAAGACTGTACAATACTTAAAGGGGCACTCAAAGCACTGTAACTCCTACACCCCCTTGTACTGGTTATGGTGCTAGAAGGCTGCGGGCAGAATCCTCCTATTATCCGGTTTTTAAACAAAAACTAATTGAAATAAAACAAGAGTCTCTGAGGAGGCCATCACTTTATTCACCATTCTAATCTGAATATTCTACTTCCTCATTATCAATGACTATTTTGTACAGAAATGGCCAAAATTGATGTTTAACTTATGGCTGCATTAGCAATTTGGTTAGGGAGTCAAAATGCTGAAAGACAGGTTGACTCGGAACTACAGACGGCACCCACAGTGTACTAACACTGTAAGCTCTTAAGCTAGTTGTGGTTATGGTTCTTAGAGTATTCATTTAATTAGACAAACTGGTAGCAAAGGAAGTAGACTAAAATCTAGCATTTAGTATGCTTTCATGTAAAGTAAGGTATTATGTGATCTTATAATCTAAAGGAGATCGTGGGAAGTGAAACAAATGGTATCAGGAATTACTTCACATCTGTAACCGTTAAACCTACCAGCAAATATTCCTGGTGGATTGTCTGGCAAGAGCTTCTGCTGACATTTTCTGATGAGACCTTAAGGTTTTTCACAGTTGAACTCATTTTCTCTTACTGGGTTTACACTAAAATGAGAATTGCCTGAAATTCAAAGTGAATTTCAAATGTGAGACCATAGTATAAAACAGGGCTCGACAAATTCCAGGTGCCAGGTCGCCATTGCGACTAGAAATTTTGCCCTAGCGCCTGGGATTTAAAGCCCTTTAGCTAAAGGCAACGGAGCCAGCCATTCGCCCTGAGGAGTGTGGATGGCCAGCTCAGGGAGTGTGCAGGCAGCCAACCGGCGGAGCATGCAGACGGCCGCCCTGGGGAGCATCACTGTGGTCGGCTGGGGCAGCGTGGGAGGGAGCAGTGATCTTCAAGCAGCTCCCCTCTGCTCCCTCGCGCTGTTTATTGATGCTGTGAGCCGGAATATGACGTCATTCAGGCTCCGGAATCACTACAGGGAGCAGAGAGGAGCCGCTTGAAAATCACTGCTCCCCCACACGCAGGATGAGCAAGCAGCCCCACTGGACCCCAGGGAAAGTCCACTCCGCTCTGCCAAAGGTAGGGAGGCTGGGTGGATTCAAATTAAAATGGAAAGTATGTGTTTGTGTGTCTCTCTCTCTTGGTCAGTATGTGTGTCTCTCTCGGTCAGTATGTGTGTCTCTCTCGGTCAGTATGTGTGTCTCTCTCGGTCAGTATGTGTGTCTCTCTCGGTCAGTATGTGTGTCTCTCTCGGTCAGTATGTGTGTCTCTCTTGGTCAGTATGTGTGTCTCTCTTGGTCAGTATGTGTGTCTCTCTCGGTCAGTATGTGTGTCTCTCTCGGTCAGTATGTGTGTCTCTCTCGGTCAGTATGTGTGTGTCTCTCTCTCTCTCTGTCAGTATGTGTGTCTCTCTCTCTCTGTCAGTATGTGTGTCTCTGTCTCTCTGTCAGTAGGTGTGTGCGTCTCTCTCTCTCTGTCAGTAGGTGTGTGTGTGTCTCTCTCTCTGTCAGTAGGTGTGTGTGTGTCTCTCTCTGTCACTATGTGTATGTTCCTCTCTCTGTCGGTATGTGTGTCTCTCTCTCTGTCGGTAGGTGTGCGTGTGTCTCTCTCTCTGTCGGTAGGTGTGCGTGTGTCTCTCTCTCTGTCGGTAGGTGTGCGTGTCTCTCTCTCTCTGTCGGTAGGTGTGCGTGTCTCTCTCTCTCTCTCTGTCGGTAGGTGTGTGTGTCTCTCTTTCTGTCAGTAGGTGTGTGTGTCTCTCTCTGTCAGTAGGTGTGTGTGTCTCTCTCTGTCAGTAGGTGTGTGTCTCTCTCTCTCTGTCAGTAGGTGTGTGTGTGTGTGTCTCTCTCTCTCTCTCTGTCAGTAGGTGTGTGTGTGTCTCTCTGTCAGTAGTGTGTGTGTGTGTGTCTCTCTCTCTGTCAGTAGGTGTGTGTGTCTCTCTCTCTGTCAGGTGTGTGTGTGTCTCTCTGTCAGTAGGTGTGTGTGTGTGTGTGTGTCCCTCTCTCTGTCAGTAGGTGTGTGTGTGTGTCTCTCTCTGTCAGTAGGTGTGTGTGTGTGTCTCTCTCTGTCAGTAGGTGTGTGCGTGTGTCTCTCTCTGTCAGTAGGTGTGTGCGTGTCTCTCTCTCTGTCAGTAGGTGTGTGCTTGTCTCTCTCTCTCTCTGTCAGTAGGTGTGTGTGTCTCACCTCTGTCAGTAGGTGTGTGTGTGTGTGTCTCACTCTTTGCCGTAGGTGTGTGTGTGTGTGTGTCTCTCTCTGTCAGTAGGTGTGTGTGTGTCTCTCTCTCTGTCAGTAGGTGTGTGTGTCTCTCTCTCTGTCAGTAGGTGTGTGTGTCTCTCTCTCTGTCAGGTGTGTGTGTCTCTCTCTCTCTGTCAGTAGGTGTGTGTGTCTCTCTCTCTGTCAGTAGGTGTGTGTGGGTGTCTCTGTCAGTAGGTGTGTGTGGGTGTCTCTGTCAGTAGGTGTGTGTGGGTGTCTCTGTCAGTAGGTGTGTGTGGGTGTCTCTGTCAGTAGGTGTGTGTGTGTGTGTGTCTCTCTGTCAGTAGGTGTGTGTGTGTTTGTCTCTCTGTCAGTAGGTGTGTGTCTCTCCCTCTGTCAGTAGGTGTGTGTGTGTGTGTCTCTCTGTCGGTATGTGTGTGTCTCTGTCGGTATGTGTGTGTGTCTCTGTCGTATGTGTGTGTGTCTCTCTGTCGGTATGTGTGTGTGTCTCTCTGTCTGTATGTGTGTGTGTCTCTCTGTCGGTATGTGTGTGTGTCTCTCTGTCGGTATGTGTGTCTCTCTCGGTCGGTATGTGTGTGTGTGTCTCTCTCGGTCGGGGTGTGTGTGTGTGTGTCTCTCTCGGTCGGTATGTGTGTGTGTGTGTCTCTCTCGGTCGGTATGTGTGTGTGTGTGTCTCTCTCTGTCGGTGTGTGTGTCTCTCTCTCTGTCGGTGTGTGTGTGTGTGTCTCTCTGTCGGTATGTGTGTTCTCTGTCGGTGTGTGTGTGTGTGTCTCTGTCGGTATGTGTGTGTCTTCACGGTATATGTGTGTGTCTCTCTGTCGGTATGTGTGTGTCTCTCTGTCGGTATGTGTGTGTCTCTCTGTCGGTATGTGTGTGTCTCTCTGTCGGTATGTGTGTGTCTCTCTCTCTCTCTGTCGGTATGTGTGTGTGTCTCTCTCTCTCTGTCGGTATATGTGTGTGTGTCTCTCTGTCGGTATGTGTGTCTCTCTCTCTGTCGGTATATGTGTGTCTCTCTCTCTCTGTCGGTATATGTGTGTGTGTCTCTCTCGGTCGGTATATGTGTGTGTGTCTCTCTCTGTCAGTATGTGTGTGTGTCTCTCTGTCTGTGTTTCTCTGTCTGTGTGTGTCTCATAGAAACATAGAATGTGACGGCAGATAAGAATCATTCGGCCCATCTAGTCTGCCCAATTTTCTAAATACTTTCATTAGTTCCTAGTCTTATCTTATAGTTAGGATAGTCTTATGCCTATCCCACGCATGCTTAAACTCCTCTACTGTGTTAACCTCTACCACTTCAGCTGGAAGGCTATTCCATGCATCCACTACCCTCTCAGTAAAGTAATACTTCCTGATATTATTTTCAAACCTTTGCCCCTCTAATTTAAGACTATGTCCTCTTGTTGTGGTAGTTTTTCTTCTTTTAAATATAGTCTCCTCCTTTACTGTGTTGATTCCCTTTATATATTTAAATGTTTCTATCATATCCCCCCTGTCTCGTCTTTCCTCCAAGCTATACATGTTAAGCTCCTTTAACCTTTCCTGGTAAGTTTTATCCCGCAATCCATGAACCAGCTTAGTAGCCCTTCTCTGAACCCTCTCTAAGGTATCAATATCCTTCTGAAGATACGGTCTCCAGTACTGTGTACAATACTCCAAGTGAGGTCTCACCAGTGTTCTGTACAATGGCATGAGCACTTCCCTCTTTCTACTGCACATACCTCTCCCTATACAACCAAGCATTCTGCTAGCATTTCCTGCTGCTCTTTTACATTGTCTGCCTACCTTTAAGTCATCGGAAATAATCACCACTAAATCCCTTTCCTCATATGTTGAGGTTAGGACTTTATCAAATATTCTGTACTCTGCCCTTGGGTTTTTACGTCCAAGATGCATTATCTTGCACTTATCCACATTAAATGTCAGTTGCCACAACTTTGACCATTTTTCTAGTTTACCTAAATCATTTGCCATTTGGCTTATCCCTCCTGGAACATCAACCCTGTTACATATCTTAGTATCATCAGCAAAAAGACATACCTTACCATCAAGACCTTCTGCAATATCACTAATAAAAATATTAAAGAGAATGGGTCCAAGTACAGATCCCTGAGGTACCCCACTGGTGACAAGTCCAAGCTTCGAATATATTCCATTAACTACAACCCTCTGTTGCCTGTCACTCAGCCACTGCCTTACCCATTCAACAATATTTGAATCCAAACTTAAAGATTGCAGTTTATTGATAAGCCTTCTATGTGCAACAGTGTCAAAAGCCTTACTGAAATCTAGGTAAGCAATGTCTACTGCACCACCCTGATCTATAATTTTAGTTACCCAATCAAAAAAATCAATAAGATTAGTTTGGCATGATCTCCCTGAAGTAAACCCATGTTGTCTCTGATCTTGAAATCCATGTGTTTTAGATGTTCATCAATCCTATCCTTTAACATGGTTTCCATCACTTTCCCCACTACTGAAGTAAGGCTTACTGGCCTATAATTGCCCGACTCCTCCCTATTACCTTTCTTGTAAATGGGCACAACATTCGCTAACTTCCAATCTTCTGGGACTACTCCTGTTAACAATGATTGGTTAAATAAATCTGTTAATGGTTTTGCTAGTACACCACTAAGCTCTTTTAATAGCTTTGGGTGTATTCCATCAGGTCCCATTGACTTATTTGTCTTTACTTTTGACAGTTGAAATAGAACCTCTTCCTCTGTAAACTCACGTGTAATAAATGACTCATTTATCCTTTTTCTCAACTGAGGTCCCTTTCCTTCATTTTCATCTGTAAATACAGAACAAAAATATTCATTGAGGCAGTCAGCTAGACCTTTATCCTCTTCTACATACCTTCCTTCTTTTGTTTTTAATCTAACTAATCCTTGTTTTACTTTTCTTTTCTCATTTATGTATCTAAAAAATGTTTTATCCCCTTTTTTTACTGACTGTGCTATTTTCTCTTCTGTGTGTGATTTGGAAGCTCTTATAACTTGCTTAGCCTCTTTCTGCCTAATCTTATAGATCATTTTGTCTTCCTCACTCTGGGTTTTTTTATAATTCCTAAATGCTAACTTTTTGTTTTTAACTATTTTGGCCACATCTGCGGAGTACCACAGTGGTTTCTTGAATTTTTTGCTTTTACTGACAAGCCTAATGCAATTTTCTGTTGCCTTCAATAGTGCAACTTTTAAATAATCCCATTTCTCTTGGACTCCATTTAAATTGCTCCAGTCTGATAATGACTCCTCTACCCATATTCTAATTTTAGAAAAGTCTGTTTTTCTAAAGTCTAAAACTTTGTTTTTTGTGTGGTGTGACTCAGTCACTGTTCTTATATTAAACCACACTGACTGATGATCACTGGATCCTAAACTTTCACCTACAGTAATATCTGATACCAAATCTCCATTTGTTAACACTAAATCTAGTATGGCCTCTTTACGAGTTGGCTCCTCAACAACTTGTTTTAGAGACAATCCCAGTAGGGAGTTTAGACTATGTGTGCTCCTGGCACAAGTAGCTAATTTTGTTTTCCAATTTACATCAGGAAGATTAAAGTCACCCATGATGATAACTTCCCCCTTCATTGTCATTTTAGCTATTTCCTCAACTAGTAGATTATCTAACTCTTCAATTTGTCCTGGGGGCCTATAAATCACACCTACACGAGTTACTGTGTGATTACCAAATTCTAACGTAGCCCAAACAGACTCTATGTTTGCCTCACTAACTTTTATTAGGCTAGATTTTATGCTATCCTTCACATACAAGGCCACCCCTCCCCCTTTCTTGCCTTCCCTATCTTTCCTATATAAAGAGTACCCTGGTATTGCTATGTCCCAGTCATTTTTCTCATTGTACCATGTCTCAGTAACAGCGACTAAATCTACACTATCAGTTGCCATTATTGTCACAAGTTCATGGATCTTATTCCCTAAACTGCGAGCATTTGTAGACATGACTTAAGCTGTAGTGGTTCTGGTGACTATAGTGTCCCTTTAATAATTGTATATTTCTCGTAATTTAAACTTCGCTAGTTTTTTTTTTTTTTAAAAACTGGCTCCTTACTTTTTTAGTTGACTCCTAGATTCCAAACAAATTTATCAAGCCAGGTATAAAAACTGAACAGCAGAATTGGACTGGGGATTTTTTTCTAAAACTAAGTTTTTACAAGCAATATTTGAAGTGTCTGATACATTCTGATACTGATTTCCAAGTGTTGCTTATATGAATAGACTAGCTCGACATATTACATTTTTATCATAACATTGTTAAGTTTACTTTGTGGTGAAGGTAATAATTGAAGTTGTAAAATATTCGCTGTACCTTTTTCATAGTAACTAGCACCCCACCCATTCATCCTATATTTCTAGCTGATGTGTTCTTGTAATATGGCTGTTATTTAGTCCAACTTGGCTACTGCTTCTCCATCTTCTAATACATCAACTTCTTCCCTTACGCCACCATTGCAAAATTCTACTACTCCACTTCTGCATCAGTGCCCAGGGTCTACTACTCCACTTCTGTATCCATGCCCAGATTCTGATCCTTCTTTGTGTATCCATGCCCAGATTCTGATCCTTCTTTGTGTATCCATGTCCAGGTACTGATCCTTCTTTGTGTATCCATGTGTCATGAGAGTGGGCTATAGGCCCAGCCGAGACAGTGGGGAGAGTGTGGAAGTGACAGGGTTAATGACACCAGACCCCTGGTTACCTGTTGCTTGTTTCAGCAATCACTCAATTAACCTCTACAATCCCTTCTACACTAACCCCCTAGTACACACTTTACCGCCACCACCAAGACTTTTAAACCCGGGCGTCTTAGGTTATCCCACATGCAGGAGAACAAATAGCAAAACAGTACATAAATTAAAATAGGAGAAAACACAAATTCCTGACAGTATGTATTTACCCCATATAGAATTCTTGTGGGAGTCTTAGATGGTATAGGTCTCCTAGAAATTGCTGACCAAAGAAAAAAATAAATAACTCTCTAGATAGTCCAGCACCCTCATTAATATACCTAAACTAGTTGTTTCTTAGTGGGCAGACCCCTGGGGGGAGATCAGAGAGGGTTGGTCTGGCAGTTTATTTCCCACTCTATGCAATTCCTTGTGTCCAGCGCTGATGATGGCTATCTAGAAGTTTTATGGTCTAGGCCTGGTGCAAAGACCACAATAAATGTAATCCCAAGGTTTACAAAAAAAATTCTTAACATATATCAACACACATCAAACACCAACTCATGCTTATGGCATGACACCATGCCCAGGTACTAATCCTTACTTGTGTATCCATGCCCAGGTCAGGTTCTGTTCCTTCATTGTGGATCCATGCCCAGGTTCTAATTCTTCCTTATATATTAATACCCTGGTTCCACTTCTTCCCTTATGTATCCATGCCCAGGTTCTGGTTCTTAATCTTCTCAGGCATACAGTCTCTCCTCCTTGCAACCATACCTATCTTCTCCTTTTAAGTGTTCTCTGGCACCAAATCATTCCACATTGCACAGCCAATCTCCTATTCTGCTCCTCTGACTTCCAAGGAATAGACTCCTTCCCTTATGAAGCCCTGTTTTGTTTCTGCTTTCAAAACATCAGTCTGCTTTGTTACAAGCTCCTTTCCAAGTAGTATACTCTACATGCAGTCCTAAGTGAAACCTGAGATTTGAAACCTTTATAGTTTCTACGTTAGAGGTAATATAGGTGGGGCATTTAACCCAAATGTTTTCCGAGGTGAGCAGATCTAAGCATTATTGTTTTTTTGTGATGGACATGCGTATATAAAATAGTTTTTACCTGACAAAGACGTGGGTGAGGGGATCTAAGTCTTATTATTCCCATCTGTTTAATTCGAATACCTGAGGAGGATATCAGCAAGGGTGTTTAGCCTTCATTGTTTTATTGGGATGGACATGTTGAATCTGTTAGGGGTTTATAGGATAAGGGCAAATAGCGTATTGCTTTGTTTGCTTTGAAATTGCTGTTGGTGATTTTTAAAGATACTCTGTGGTATTTTTAGCTGTGATGAAGAAATTTTAGCATTAGGCTGTATCCGTGTGCTTTGCCTCGTGGTTTCCATGGTGATGGCTGACCTAATTCAGGAGAAGGATACAGGCGAGAGTTTGTCAGAATGCGCGTTGAAATTGTGCAGTAGAGGTGATTGGGGAGACGCTCAATGACAAGATCTATTTCAGAGAATTGTTTAAGCCAAAAGCTGGTGAAATGTGTCTGGAGGAAAGCTGAGCTCAATGCTGTATCTCTGTATTCTGAAAATGCAGTGTTTTTCATCATACTAGCAAGAGGTATATTGCTTTTTTTTATTTTTGTGCTGGATTACTGCTTCTAGGCCCAGATGTAGTGTGTTTGGATTGCTTTGAACTTGGTTTGCTGGCCAGGCTAGTGACATCCAGAGATGCCGGGGTCTTGCAGAACTGGACGCAATCAATGCGCATAACATTCCCCTGCAGTTCAACTGCTGGCTTTATGACCATGAGTGATTCAAAACATGACCATATAAAGGTGGATTACAAGCCATATCTGGCCCAGAACCATTAAAAAGTATATATTTCGAAAATGTTAACATGCCATGCTGTAATAAATGAGGTAGTTTGACAATTTAGTGTAATAATTAGGATTCCAGTGAAATACCCGGTTCTCGGTTTAATAATATAGTTTCTTTGCATCTCAGTCCGTATTAATAGCACACACAAAAGTGGCACATTTATGCCATATGTCCAAGGTATATTGATGCCAAATATTTTTAGGTAGTATATCGATGTCCACTTAACAAATCCTTATGAAAACTGGGAATGTTGTTTTGGTAAATGCATTTGGTCTCTGCATTCCGTTTGTGATACAAAGATCATCACTTCCAGTTACTTTGAATAACCATTCCCACTAATTCCATTCAGGGTCTGGTCGTGATTTCCAGAAGTTGTCCTACAACTGTTCTGTATCCAGGAGGTTCAACCAGTTAGCAACATTAATAAGAACATAATTTTTTTTTTTTTTAAATAGCATTTCCCATCATGCATTGGGTGAGCAGGTTTGAACAAATAGTTCACAGAAGATTGAGTGCTGGAAGTAAAATTAGCCTTTGGCAATCAAGCTACATAAGAGTAAATACAAAATGATTGGTGCAAAATAAATACGGTATTTATTATTCTTCAAACACTGTGCACTGCAATTTGTGTATCTTTAGCAAATAATAGTATACCAATGTTTGTTATCCGTAGCATTGTGACTTTGTTTAGTTTAAGCAGATCAACAAATAAATACCACTTGTAAAAATTGATAGCCCCTTACCTGTGAGGGATGTGATCAATAAAGTTATAGATTAATGGCAACAGTATAATATCTGTCAGTACAATACATATTTTCTTGTGTGCCATTTGTGTGGTTGCTTTCATATGATGTGTGTTGTTTTTGTATTGTTAAGCCTTAATAGTAGCTGCTAAATTTTCACATGGTATATTGTTTGATAGTGGCTTAAACACAAGTGCCTGAAAGCCACCAGTTATGGAAGTATATGTAGTGATTTTGCATAGATAACATCTTCCAGAATGCTCACTTGACAGGCTAGGTGAGAAATCTATTCCTTCCCACTTTGCTCAATAAAATGTATTGAAGGGGAGTTATGGCCTGCAGCCCTTATAGACCGAGCACCGTAGGGTCCATAAACCCTACAATGCTTCATTGTGCTTCACAAAACATCACGCCTTGTACATATTTGAACATTCATCCCTGCCTCTGATTAAGGCATGTTGTCTGTTTATCCCTGCATGCAGTCAGCCTGTGTTTGTGTCTGTTTATATATTCTACAAGTTCAAAATTACTTTTAGCAAGTATTCAAAAAAATAAAAGAATATATCTGTGCTATATTTGTTTTTTTTAGTTGCTTAACAAACCGCAACATGGAGGACCATTATTGATATAGATATATATCCGTCAGACCCAATTTCCACTAGCGATTGGCAAGTGAAAATATAGTTTTGGGGAGTGTAGATTAACATAATATTTATTTACTTCCCTCTACAGATCAATAGAATATAAATAAAATCCCTCCTCCCCCTAGAAACCTGTTCTATATAGGAAAACAAAACATACCAATCAAAGCTATATTCCTTCCATTCTACCTCTGTCTACCTCAAACAAATCTGTATGTAAACTATCAGAATTTGGAGTTTCCACCAATATTTCAGTTTCTGTTTCCCATTGGGGAGTACTGTGCTGCTGTAGGTTTTATTGTTTAAAGGGTTGCTCCAACAAAAACTGTCTTTTTATAAACCTTTACAACAAAAATTAAAACAAAAATCTAAAACCTGTGTTCTAGTAATGAGGCCAAGTTCTTCCTGCAGCCCTTTCCTCCTCAATTAATGTAATTTTCCATCTGGGGGACAGATGTCATGGAGGTCTACCTCTGATGGGAGGACATGTGTGGCATGGAGGGGGCCGTGCTGCTATTGGACGCCTGTTTTCAGTATACCGTGCATGTTGATGTCACGCATCCAATATGCACAGATTTCACATTAGCCATCTGGAATTGAAACAGAAATTTAGTTTCACCAGCATCTTGTTTTGTCAACTTGACTTCTATAGATAACTACTCCCTACATTTTTTAATATATTCTATGACTACTTGAGCACTCATGAATTATTTTTTTTAAATTCACTTTTAGGGAATCATATTGAAGCAGATTAAATAACGTTTGTTTTTAGTGACACAGCCTAGTGATGTTTCCCTGATACTGCCGCCTCCTCCTCTCCGCTTCCTTGGTGTTATCATGGTATGTAAACTGGTACATACGGTATAAGGTGGAGTAGGGCGAATTTATTGTGTGCATATACTCCACTTTATACCGTATGTACCAGTTTATGTTTGTGTGAGGATAAAGGGAAAACCCACAATAAGGTGTTTTTTGAGTATTTGTCATTCTATGTTAAGTGTCACTCATTGGGATATTGTTTTACTAGTTATCATGGTATGTGTTTGTTTTTAAAGGACCACTAATTAAACCTAGACAACTTCATAAAAGCATTGCAGTTTACTATGTATGTATTTAAGTGGAACTGTCACTGCCTGGGGACAATGGAGAATTTGCCTGTTGGTTTGAGACGGGCGGCAGAGAAAGGCGAGTTTAACTTACTGGTACCTCTCCCTCATGGGCGTCTCCATCATCTTCCTGCCAGTTCTCTTCTGCAGGAGCTGACGTCACGTCTGTACTCTCGCAAATGCGCGAAAGTGCATACAAAAAGCCAATTTCCTCAGCCGTCACTGGATTGACAATTCTTGGCAACGGAAGCTGCGCCCAGTGTCAGAAGTGTCTCTGTATTTGTTTTGATTTTGACTGGGTTGGAATTTCCGTGAAATTACGACACAGTCTGAGTTTTTCTAAAAGAGTGGAGTATTGGGGTGAGGGCAATGCCGCTTATGGATGTATATTGCAGGATTAAATACGCCTCTAATGGCTTTCTACCTGCCACTAATGCGGTTCCACTGTGAGCACAGAGTCAAATTTGGGTCTCACAGCTAACCGTCGTTTAATTGGCTGGCCTCCCATGTATTAGCCATGCATGCACTTTTCGCTTTTGATTTTTTTGGATAAAAGAGAAGTGTCGGCTTGACATTTTGGGCTCAACAAATCCCAGGTCACTATGACGACTAGGATATTTTTCTTGACTCCTGGGATTTTTTTAGCCAGTTCAGCAGTCTCACCCCATCCCCCCCCCCCCATCTTGATGATCTCAGACAAGCTCAGCGCTCTGCCTCATCTGACGGAGGTGGGCGGAGTTAAGGCGCATGCGCGGCCAACGCATTAGTCCCTCCCCATCGGAAAGCATTGCCTTAATGCTTTCCAATGGGGTTTTCACTGATGCTTGTGCAGAGCGTGAGGACGTCCAGCGTTGCTTAATGGGCTCCGAGTCCCTTAGAATCCCGGAAGCGCCTCTAGGGTCTGTCTGCCGCTCGAGGCAGTCTTAGTGCTGCACAGTAATCATTGCAGTTTCTAAAACAAAAAATAAAAACTGTAATAATTTACATTGTAGTACTAAGAAGGACAGGGACAATGCCCTCAGACCTCTTCAATGACATTTAGTGGTCTGGGTGTCTATGGTGTCCCTTTAGAATTGTATTTTTGTTGTTGAAAATAAAGCTTTGTTTAAAAAAAAAAAAATCTGGCTCTTAACTTTATAGTCCAAGCAAATTTGTCAAGCCCTGGGGTAAAGTAACTTTAATTTGGGGTGGGCAGCACTTTGTGGCATGCCCTTTTCTTGTGAAAACATATATGAAGTATGTTTATTTACTGCAGTGCACACCAATAACTGTGGAGTCAGGTTTTTTTGGTTTTTTTTTCTCTCCTCCTCCACTGTCCAATTTCAGTTGTGCTTTAGCCACCTTTTAGGCGAGTTTTGTTTACCACTGAGATCTGTAGCTGTCTTGCTGTTGTTTTGTGAATTATGTTCTTGCACTTTCACCATAACTGAGATTTTGTCACGGCGCAGGGGTATCTGTATCGACGCGATCGCGCCTGATTAGTGCGGCCGCGCCGATACTTCAGGTAAAAGTAAGTCCCTGATTTGGTGGCGGCAAAAAGGAAAAAATGTACTTACCTTAATTGCGGCGGAGTGCCGCCCAATCTTCCAAGAAGACTGGTCCCGGCTGGTGTGGTTTTCTAAGGACACCAGCTGCTGTGGTCCCGTTCTTACTGTTAAAGGGCACACTGCCAACATTAAAGATGGCGCCGGCGTGCGTGTGATGTCACGTCATCGACGCACACGCACGTTTTGGGGTCACAGGCCATGTACTAACCAATCACAGCACTGAGAGGCCTATTTAAACCCTGTAATGTCTTTTCTCAGTGCCCTGTTGTGGTTTCCACTTGTTGGTTGTCGGAGAGCACGTTCTTGGTATATTGTTCTGGTAATTGACTTTGGCTATTATTTTTGACTTTCCCTTCTTCTGGTATCCTGACCCATGGTTAATTATTCATATTGTCTCATTCTGTTTCCCCGACCTTGGCTTGTGCTTTGACCATTCTCTTTTCCGCTACGTCTGGCCATTCTAAGGTCCGGTATACGTTGTTTGTGTTAATATAGTTCTGCGTGTTAGGTCACACAGTAATCGTGACAGATTTATCAGTTGCTATAAAGGGCTACTGAGTCCGTAGTTGCTGTTACCATAGAGATACTCATAGTTTGTTGCTTCTCTTGATAATTACTTAGGTCAAATGACCAGTTATGGTTCTAATTGGCAAAATTCATTTAAAACAATCAACTTTCTACTCTATTTTGTTGTGCTTATATTTACTAAAGGCAAATTGGGTTGCAGTTATTTATTTTAAGTGAATTTTGCAAATACAAAGCATAATTTCAAACAGGCCCAAATCCTGGGGACCCTCAGGTCCATTTGAATGCTGATTGACTAAATCTTGTGAACAGTGTTCGTATAGCTGCATTCAAATGCTCCCAGATGGTACCAGCTAATTTTTGCTAAGACCCAGAGGCATTCCGATTTTTATGAATAACCATGTATTGACTCCTCAAATCACTGCATCTTTTCGCTTTGCCATTGTGATCTGTTACCCATAGAATTTCTATGTACTTTGAATGTAATATTGACTCCCAAACCTTAGGCCTAATTTGTGGCAACTTAATGGATAAGGAATGTGATAAACTAGTTGTCTGTTTAAACCATGGGTAGTCAACCTGGCCCCTAGCGCCCACTAGTGGGCGGTTTGGGATTTCGTGTGGGTGGTGGTGGGTTCTGCAGAAAATGCCTGGTGGGCCTCTATAGCCATGGAACAAGGCCAGCAGGGGAGATCCTTTTATCTCCCCTGCCGGCCCATGCAGGGCCAGGCTTGCTGTAATCCCTCTCGGGCTGGTGAGGAGATCCAAGGTCTCCCTCACTGGCTCGCTGATGCTTAGTTCCAGCAGACGGAGGGAAGGGCCTGGGAGTCTCTGTGTTCCTCCCGCGAACAGACTGGTCGGAGCGTTGACGTGCATTACCATGGCAACGCTCCGATACAGTGCTGTGCTCGTAGGAGGACAGAAGAGTCAACCTGCAACAAAGGAGCTGCAGGCTAAAGTGAACATGCCACCACTGGATCACCAGGGCTTTTGCAGTATTATGTCCCCCCTCCCTGGTAAAAGGTAGGAAGAAAGCAGGGGAGACATTAACATAGAGCTTTTCACATCTCACCCACCTGCACACAGCATATGCACCCTTTACACACGCACACGCACGCACACACACACTACACCTCTCACTCGCACACACACACTGCACCCATTGCACACACACCCACCACCCTTCATAAACACACACACACACACACAGCACCCCATTCACACGCACACATAGAAAAAAGTAGAATAGAAATTAGAAAAAAAAGAAATAAAAAAGATAAATGTAAGTATTTTTATTTATCTTTTTAACCCTCCTTTCTAAAAAAAAAAAACACACAAAAAAAAAATCACACTTGCGCTATACAATGAGTTACTGCGGCACTGTTGGGTGGTAAGGAAATTTTACCATCAACAAAGATGCAAAAGTGGGCGGTAGGTATTAAAAGGTTGACTACCCCTGGTTTAAACGGTCTGTGAGGTTCAAAAGGATGTGTAGCCTGTTCCTCCAGAAGACATAGAGTTTGAAAGACCTAATTTGATCTTTTTCTGCATAATCAGCTTTTCCGTGACCTGTGTGGTCAGCTGCCAATACTGCGGAGGTGGGCACTTCTGCTAGAGATATTTTGCAACATGTCTACTTTCTCCTAGTTTACTTCTCTTCATGAGTTACATCCTGCCACCGCGGCTCACCAGTTGAGTTTTCATCAATCTTATCATGATATGGGATATCTGCTAATATCACAAAGTGCTAGTTGTACTGCATAAATGTACTTTTTCCATGCTTAAAGGCACACTGTAGTCCCCAGGCACTGTCCCTCTATTCAGTTTTAAGCCATTTTAGAGCAGTTTAATACTAAAATGTCAGCTGACACTCAACCAATCACAGCTGCCCATTGCTGCTCAGGCTTATACTTAATCATTAGCCAAATCAGCACAGGGGAGGGTCTGCTGTAGGGCTACTCTTAAGCATTAAAAGATGAAAAGATTAAATACTGGTGAATGATATTATGGCACCAGGAGATCCAGACACCATAATGATATGAAGCAGATACAGTGCCTACGATGTCCCTTTAAATATAAATAAAGATATATATCTATTTATTATACACCAGGGCTTGACAAATTTGTTTTGGAATCTAGAAGCCAGCTAAAAAAGTTAGGAGCCAGTTTTTTGTTTTTTTTTTATTAAGGGACACTGTAGTCACCAGAACCACTACAGATTAATGTAGTTGTTTTGGTGCCTTTTCAACGTAAACGCTGCCTTTTCAGAGGAAAGGTAGGGTTTACATTGCTGCCTACTAAGACCTCTAGTGACAGTCATTCAGACGGCCACTAGAGAGTCTTGTCAGTGCTCTGCATGGAGGCGCTGAATGTTACCCATAGAGAACATGTGTAATATCCTCATTAAGATCTCAGCTGTGGAGGCGGGACAAGCCACAGCGAAACCAGCACAGCGTGGGAAAAAAAGGTGAGTAAAAACACCAATCCTGTGATCGGAAGGGGGCAGGTACCTAAACACGCAATCTCTGACACACACTCACACTCTCTTTCTCACACACTCTCTCGAACAGATTTATATTTTTAATTATAATCCACCCAGCCTCCATACCTTTGGGAGAGCTGAGTGGACTTTCCCTGGGGTCCAGTGGGGCTCCCCTTCCTGTGTGCGAGGGAGCAGTAATCTACCTGTGGCTCCTCTCTGTAGTGATGCCAGGGCCTGAATGACGTCATATTCCGGCTCCCGGCATCACTAGACAGTGTGAGGAAGCAGAGAGGAGATGCAGGAAGATCACTGCTCCCTTGCGCGCTGCCACCTCCATGAAGCCCAGGGTGGCCGACTACAACGCTCCCTGAGCCGTCTGCTTCCATACCTCCCCCGGTGGACAGCTACAACGCTCCCTGAGCGGCTGCCTCTGTGCTCCCGCGGGCGGGCAGCCGGCCGGCTCCATTGTTTGCCCTAACGAATTGCCATAATGCAGGTAACACATGCTCTTTTGTAACCAGTGAAGGGAATATAGATTGACTAGGCACCTCTCTGATCAATTGTCGTTTGAGATCCTTGGCTCATAAACACTGCAGGTTCATCCATAGCAATCATGTTGGACAGATTGTACTTAGAAAAGTCGATGCGATCAACAAAAGACTTGAATGTAAGTGCACATTTAATAATTTCAGTATCTTCTAGCTTGAAAGTTGCTGTCGATCTTCTTAACGACAGTTCGTGACGCTTAAGAAGTCATCCAGCCAGTGTTGTGATGCTCTGAAATCTTCTAAGGCGATTTAAACTGTGGTGCCATTGCAAGGGCAAATGCTTGAATATCAGCTATCAGCCCTGTGCACAACCAAAGCCTTTGCTCTCCTGTCATCAATAAATTCTCAGTCGATCCCTTCCAGCTCAGGAAATAATGGTTGCCGCTCTGATCCACACTTGCGCTTCTTGGCATTTCCCTCGTCCACCTGTTGCTTTAGAATATCATGCTCTGCTCGCCATTTTCTGATCATTAGGACATCCAACTTCATCTCTTTGCACAAAGCCATAAGAATCTTGCCCTGGGAATCCACCACGATTCCTTTCTTGTACGCGATGGAATAGCTCTTTCTTTCCCCACTCATTTTGTCTGTGTGTCAAAATATTACAGACTGCCGTTTTTACAACACTGTTGGTAAGTGAGGATGCACTACTGTAGCAAGCATGTGCCAGCAAGCAGGTCTATGTTCATGGAAATTCACCGAAACATATACCAGTTCAATAGTGCATGGAATCCTGCAAATCTATTCGGGCAAACTTTCCCGAACATAATTAGCTTACTCGCAAATGGAATCCAGCGAACTTATGTTTGGGAAACTTCCCCGAACATAAATTAGCGAACGCCATCTAGGGCTTATTTTCAGGGTAGGGTTTATATTACGAGCATCACCCGAAAATAAGTTATGGCTTATTTTCGGGGGATGTGTTATTTTGGGGGCAAGACAATAGATATGGTATGTGTTAAACCAAAAGACAGTTGTGTTTATCCCAATTAATAACTGTCAAATTATCCTACCACGTACACTTGATTGCAAAACTTGACATTTCAAGATAAGCTTGATTGTTCTGAATATTTGATACTCCATGTTTGTGTTAGTATTTGTAGTTTACTTGCGCCAATGGATCAATTTCTTTGCAAATATTAGGCACAATTCAATTTTTATCATTTGTTTAGTCCCACAGTTTGAGTTCCACGGCTTAGCATTGTTACAGAACATGCACATTTCTTTATCTATATTTTTACGGGGGATACTGTAACTAAGGAAATCTGTAATGCCACATAGATGGCATAACCTGTTTACTCCAAGATCAATCCATTTGTATGACATTGGGATGAGGTAGAATAGGAAACTTTTTTTTCCAAAAATCTTGGCCAACAATTTTGCAGGAACTGATGTTAATGAGTTCAGACCAGGTGAACTTCCTAAGGAATGTTTCCAACAACTAATTGATTCTTTACCTTACAAATATGTTCTTTACAATGTTATACAATATATGCATTACAAAATGGCCTGTGAGTATGCGTATTATTTTGTCTTGGAATTGATGTCTGTTTTGTAGATGTAAGTATTAATCTACTGGCAATTTTTGTCAGTGACAGAGTTTATGAAAATCAATTTTTTGTTAATTATTTTTTTTTTTTTTTTTTTGAGACCAGTCTTGTTTTCCTAATGGTTCATTGTGATGCAGTTACATGCTTGAGGAAATTCAAAAGGCAGTCTTAATCTCTATGTGTGTATGGGTTCTTCTGGCCTGAGTCACGGAGCTGACCGTTTCTGTGTTTACACTGCAGAGTTTGTGCATCAGTCTGTTTGAGGATGTACTTTTTGAAGAAAAGGAATCTGACAGCCAGTCTATGCTGTATTATAGCAAGGCTCCCTGAGTGTATACAAAGTTCCTTAACATGAACTAGCAGACTTTGATTATGCATTTTGCTAAGCTAAAGGGCTTGTCAGTGTGAGTGTGGTTATCCTCCTGAGCTAGACATGCTGTCAGTTTTTGTGAGAGTGTGCTGGGGAATGGGAGGTATTGAATACAGTATTGCAGGATAGACTGTGATATAGGAACAATACAGTGTTGCAGTATAAGTGTGAGGGATACGGTATTAGTTTGGGGCTAGACTTGGGAGGACTGCGCACAGGACTGACTGCTGTGTAGGATGATATGGGGTGATAGACTGAGTGCAGTATTTTTGTAAGAGGTATTGAACACACTGCATTCGGAGGCTTGAGCGGTGTTGGTTGGGGACAAGTGGAATGATGGGAGACAGCCTGCGAACAGTGGGGGGGAGACACTGACTGCTCTTAGTGGGAAAATCTAAATGCATTGTAATGCTATAGGAGGAGAGACTGAACACAGTGTCATGGCACAGGGTAGAGACTAGGGATCGACCGATATTGATTTTTTAAGAGCCGATACCGATAATTTGTGCACGTTCAGGTCCATAGACGCTAACTTCTGATAATGATATTCTGTACATTTACCATTTAAAAAAAAACAAAAACAATTTCTACACAAATCTACTGTTAACTGAACATGTTTATTATTATTATTTTTTATTTTTTTTTGCAAATCTTTTTTTTATTAAAGGGACACTATAATCACCCATACCACTTGAGCTCAGTGAAGTGGTCTGGGTGCCATGTCCCCCAGGTTTTAACCCTTCAGATGTAAACATAGCACGGTTAATCTTCCTGACAGCCACTAGAGGCGCTTCTGTGACGCTGGACGCAAAATTCGCATCCAGTGTGCAGAACATCCATAGGATGGGGGAGTAGAGGTCGTCAGCGCCGAGGGAGCCCTGGATAAAGGTAAGTGGCTGAAGGGGTTTAAACCCCTTAAGCGCCAAGGGTGGGGGGTGGGGGGGTCCTAAGGATGATATAGTGTCAGGAAAACGAGTTTGTTTTCCTGACACTATAGTGATCCTTTAAGATAAATGTACAAAATATACATGCCTGTCAGAATTTGTTTTCAAGAATATATGTATGTGAAGTGGATGCAGTGTGTTTTTGTGTAGTGAATGTAGTGTGTACCGTGAATGCAGTGTGTGTGTGTGTGTATAGTGAATGCAGTGTGTGTGTGTATAGTGAATGCAGTGTGTGTGTGTATAGTGAATGCAGTGTGTGTGTGTATAGTGAATGCAGTGTGTGTGTGTAGTGTGTGCATAGTGAATGCAGTGTGTGTGTAGTGTGTGCATAGTGAATGCAGTGTGTGCATAGTGAATGCAGTGTGTGTGTGTGTATAGTGAATGCAGTGTGTGTATAGTGAATGCAGTGGGTGTGTGTGTGTGTGTGTAGGTATGTTATGTGTAAAATGAGGAGGGAGGGCATTTTAATTGTTTTAACGTAAAAATTAATTTTTAATTATGTTTTAGTCCCCCATCCCTGCTTCTTACCTGGCCAGGGTTATGGCATTCCCTGGTAGTCCGGTGGCATGGACAGAAGGGGCCCAGCACACTCTTACCTTCCCAGCGGCTTTCTTCAGCTCCCTCGTCTAACTCTTTCGGCCTGTGTGCCACTCAGAGCGTTGCGATGTTAACTCTGACGGCCGCGGGACTTGCAAGAGTTACACAGGGGAGCTGCTGGGAAGGTAAGTAAGTGTGTGCTGGGCCCCCTAGGACCCTGATGGCGGCCCTGGTCTGCATTATCGGCAATATCGGTATCTTTATTGGCTGATACCGATAATGCTTAAAATACAGAATATCGGCCGATAATATTGGCCAGACTGTTAATCTGTCGATCCCTAGTAGAGACTGAGTGAGTTGTCATGGCATGGGGAGACTCGTTGTTGTGTTGGAGGGAGAGACTGAGTTGCGTTGTGTGGGGAACCGAACTCTGCATCGCAATGTGTGGGGAACCGAACTCTGCCTCGCGGCGTGTGGGGAACCGAACTCTGCCTCGCGGCGTGTGGGGAACCGAACTCTGCCTCGCGGCGTGTGGGGAACCGAACTCTGCGTCGCACCGTGTGGGCAACCGAAGTCTGCGTCGCACCGTGTGGGCAACCGAAGTCTGCGTCGCACCGTGTGGGCAACCGAAGTCTGCGTCGCACCGTGTGGGCAACCGAAGTCTGCGTCGCACCGTGTGGGCAACCGAAGTCTGCGTCGCACCGTGTGGGCAACCGAAGTCTGCGTCGCACAATGTGGGCAACCGAAGTCTGCGTCGCGCCATGTGGGGAATTGAAAGTAGTGATGTGTTATATGGAGTGGTATGGGGGAAACTGAACATCGCGTCGTGGTATAAAGGAGACTAAGCACAGTGTCATGATATGAGGGAGACTGACGCACCGTCGAGGTATGGAGAAGTGAGGGGGGCGAGTGAGAGCAGTGTCTTAGTATGGAGGAGTGGGGGACTGAAAGCAGTGTCTTGGTATGGTGGGGGGGAGAATGATAGCAGTGTCTTGGTATGGAGGGGGAAGATTTGCAGTGTCTTGGTATGGAGCGAGGGAAACTGTAAACAGTGTCTTGGTATGGGGGGAGACTGAAAGCAGTGTCTTGTCATGGAGGGGGGAGACTGAAAGCAGTGTCTTGGCATGGAGGGGGGAGACTGAAAGCAGTGTCTTGGCATGGAGGGGGAGACTGAAAGCAGTGTCTTGGTATGGAGGGGGAGACTGAAAGCAGTATCTTGGTATGGAGGGGGGAGACTGAAAGCAGTGCTTGGCATGGAGTGGGGGAGACTGAAAGCAGTGTCTTGGCATGGAGGGGAAACTGAAAGCGTGTCCTGGAATGGAGGGGGAGACTGAAAGCAGTGTCTTGCATGGAGTGGGGGGAGACTGAAAGCAGTGTCTTGGCATGGAGGGGGGAGACTGAAAGCAGTGTCTTGGTATGGAGGGGGGAAGAGACTGAAAGCAGTGCCTTGGTATGGAAGGGACAGACTGAAAGTAGTGTCTTGGTATGGAGGTTAGAATGTACAAGGTGTCAAGGTTTGGGAGGGTGGAATGAACCCAGTGTTTTGGGAGGAGGTGGTAAATGGAGCACAATGTTGTTGTATAGGGGCAGGATTGATCGCAGTCCAGGGAGGGAGCGTGTTGTGTAGTACTGGAGGACAGCAGCTGGCATGCAGCCTAGTCTCTCTGTGGCAGCAGTTGCTATTATGCAAATACAGCTTAAGCTTCACATTCCTCTATTTTTTTCATTTCCCCAACTCGCAGTGTACTCAAAACAAGCAGCTGAACGCGGCAGTCACAATCTTTCCTCTTGCTTACAACATGAAACAAGGTGCCACATTTATTTCCTTAAATAACTGGCATTGTGTAAGCAAACACTCCCGTACGCAGCCGTGCAAATGCTGCTGCCAATAGGGGAGTAATACTACCGTTACTCGTTCCTCCCCTCTCTGCCATTTTGTTTCTTCAGCTCAGCTAGCAGAGTTTGACAATATTATTTATTTTTATTTTTTCTACCTCTCTTCTATTAATCATCTCTCCGCAGTGGGATTGTGATAGCAGGTTATTGTTCTCCTAAAATCCAGCTGAAGGTAATCCCTAAAATGGAATGTGTGAGCTAATGACCTCACACTCCTCTCTGGGCTGTTTGTCAGATGGCTTGCTTTACAGTTCAAAGCATCTGCTCCTGCACAGACAGAATTGCATACATCATAACTACATAAAACCCGGCTTAGTTTAGCGAAACACCACTAATTTTAGGATACTGAAATGTCTGCGTAAGTAATATATACTAATGTTGAAATCTGACACGCATTCATATGTGTATACTAAAATTAAGGAATTTCCTGTTTTTACTTTAACTGCATTTCACAGCATGTGTGTATGTATTGAGAGCAGTGGGGAGTTGCTACTAGAACAGAGGTGGCCAAAAAGCAGGTCCGCAGATTTTGCAGAGCTGCAACTTCAAAGTTGCTTAAGGATGCGAGAGCATCCTGGATGTTGTAGCTCTGCAACAACTTGGGAACAATTTCCTTGCCACCCGTGCTGTAGAAATACTTGAGATAAGTGCTGGTTTCTGATTGGCTTCTTGGTATTTTTTTTTTCTTTTTAATCCAATCTAGATCCTGCTACAATTTCAATCAATAGTCAATTATCAGACTATTATCCTGTGTTTTGTGAAATGCAAACATCAAGGCATCATTGGCAGGTTCCTTGCAATTTAAAAATATATTTGAAAAAACTAAATGTGCTATTTTATATAAAATTGTTCAAGCATTGCGGTCTTATAAAAATTATAATCATTACACACTGCACTTTAGCAGTAGGTCAGAAATGATTGAGGGAACTGCAGTATCTAAAAACGCACACATTTCAAATCACTTCTAGACTGCTGTAATTCCCTCTTTGTAGATATATATAGCATAAACCTAGAAAAGATTATGCAATCCGAGTTTCACCTACATTTTCCATTATATCTAATTGCAAACATAACAAATATGCACAATTCTGCTAGTATGTATGACATCATTGACATTCATTTCTTAATTTTTGTTTTATTCTGGTCTTTTCATAGGAACCAGCTTTCAAAGCGCACAAGAAGTCGGGAGATGTTCCAAATCTTGACTGTAAAAAAGTGGAGTGTGTACATCTCCACCCAGAGGAAGGACATCTTTCCAGCTCAAGGAATTCTTCACCTTTGCACTCAGAAGTAACTGATCAGACCAGGGCTGCATCATCTGGACTTAGTAGTAACAAAGACCATGACTTAAAGGCCAGGTCCCTGGTAAATGGGGCAAACTCACGTGTAACTGAGAAACTTGCTCAGCTTATTGCAACCTGCCCTCCTTCCAAGTCTTCCAAAAACAGAGCCAAGAAGCAGGCCAGTGCAGCCCCTCATGGTATGGTCACCGAAGCCAATGAAACACTTCCTTCTGCCTTAGAGCACTTGAAGTCCTCTTCCTCTTTAAGCAGTGGCTTCCCCGAGGACAAGGAAAAAGTTAATTTGCCAGAGAAGATGAGCAGTAAAGTGTCCGACAGGGGCAGTGTCCGACCAGCTAAAGAAAGCATCCTAGAAAAGTTTTGTATTAGAAAAGAGATGCCCAGTACAGAAAAGGATGTTCTCGGTGACCGAACCTCCATCCCACAGGAGACACCTTTGCTTGGGGAAAAGGGCATTCCTGACCCAAGTGTACAGGAAAAACTATGTCCTGTATATTGCACTTCATTGGACTTTAGGATGGGTGTGGCATCTGATGCTTCAACCGCAGTGTCTCCTTTCAGTGCAGTTGGTGAAGGAAACCTGCCTTCGCCAGCACCAGCAACTTGCCTGGCATCCTCTGGCAGAAGCCCAAATGTGAATAGCCCTAACTCTCCTGATTCCTTGCACTTAAGTCCTGTCTCCAATCATGTGGAATGTATTAATGAACCTAGTGACAAGAGCCAGTTTTCTTCGGAGAATCTAGCAATTAAGCCTGGCCACAAAGCCTCTCATCACAGTTCAGACTTTTTACAGAACGATAAGAGTTGTAAAGAATTGAAAATTGCCCGCAGTGATAAAGCAAGGACTCTCTTTCCTTCCAGGCTTCATGTAACGGAAAAAAAGCCCACGCAGCGGGTTGAGCCAGGTAGCCACAAGTCAGACCCCTCAATTGTCAGCTTTGCAAGCCTCCTAAGGAAAAAGCAGCTCCTTAAGATAGGCAACATAACAGACAAGCCGTTTCACAATGTGCAAAATGTTAATACAAACCTTCAGATAAAACACTTCAAAAGAAGGAAGGGTAAGAAACCAAGGTGGACAAAAGTGATAAACAAATCAACAAAAGAGACAGAGGAGCGAAGTGTTGTAAAATCCTACACAAACCATAAACCTGAACAATACCTATCCCATGTTACAGAAACCGCACTTTCTAAACCAGGCATCTTCAACACAAGAGAATCATCTTCAGTGTTAAATGTAACTCACAAACAAGCACAGAGACTCTATGACACCCATCAGACCTATACAACAGTTTGTGGCCCTAGAGACCCTGTTGTTGGTCATAAACCCAACAGAGGGAAGTCTGGTAATAAGAACATGCCACATCTGGATGGGCCACCCAAAAGAGCTCTAAAAATCCCAGCTTCTAAAGTTCTGTCCTCCCAATCAAAAGAAGATCAGGGGCCTCCAGTCCTTCAGCCAGAAGTGGAAATTCCCTCTTTGAAACCAAATGCCTCAACCCAAATCTTTCCTAGAAAGCGAGGACGGCCGCGGAGGGAAGCTGCCCCACCACTAATGAAGGCTCCGCCTGTTCTTTCAGTTGCACCTTTTGTTGATGCTGATACAGCACACATAATGGATGCTGAAAGTGACAGACCACGAAGTGGTGATCTATCAAAAAGCAGAGACCTTCCTCATTATAGAGAGGAACCTCACAAGTTCAATGAAATTTGCTCAGAACCAGACAGAAAATCCACCAAGAAAAACAACGGACAAATTATGAAAACTATTATTAGGAAGATAAATAAAATGAAGACCATAAAGCGGAAGAAACTGCTAACTCAGATCTTATCCAGTGCTGTAGAACAAACAAACAAAGGGAAAGTTCAGTCAAAGCTTCAAGGTACAGCCTCCACCCTTGCAGCTACTTTTAGTACCAAGTTAGGTCAACAAATAAACGTGAGTAAGAAAGGAACTATATACATTGGAAAGAGAAGAGGCCGGAAACCTAAAGCAGCATCTGATTGCATAATTAGAAAAAGTTCATTGAGTGTCACTACAGGCCAGCAAACAGTAAGTCAAGTCACACCAAGTGTAATATCTCCAGGGGCATCCAATTCAGAGATTCTGCCTTCCCCTATTGGTTCTCACTTGTCTGGAACCAGTGGTGCCCAAAGCCCTGTTGGCAGCGATGCCAGCTTTGTAGAACCAAGCTTGGTGCCATACTTACACATGCATTCCAGACAAGGAAGTTTCCTTCAGACCCTTGCTATGAGGAAAGCATCTAAGGACACCAGACAGTTATCTCCCCCAGCTTTGCTTCCGAATTCTCCCTCTCACTTAAGTGAATTGGCATCACTGAAGGAAGCCACCCCTTCACCTATTAGTGAATCACACAGTGATGAGACTATCCCAAGTGACAGCGGTATTGGAACCGATAACAACAGTACGTCAGACCGTGCCGAAAAGTTTTGTGGCCAGAAAAGGCGGAGGCACTCCTTTGAGCACATCTCTCTACTGGCTCCAGAAACCTCAACAGTCTTGAGCAGCCTTAAGGAAAAACACAAGCACAAATGCAAGCACAGGATTCATGATTTCCTTACTTTCGACAAAATTAAGAGACAAAAGAGAAAACGTAAAAAGAAGTATCCTCAGTTGCGGAGCCGTCAGGATCCGGATTTTCTGGCTGAACTCGAGGAACTTATAAATCGTTTGAGTGAAATCAGAATAACCCATCGCAGTCACCATTACATCCCGCGGGACTTGCTGCCAACCATATTCCGCTTGAACTTCAATAGTTTTTACAGTCATCCAGCCTTCCCTTTGGATCCTTTGCACTACATCCGGAAACCAGATTTAAAGAAGAAGAGGGGCAGACCCCCAAAAATGAGGGAAACAATGTCAGAAATGCCTTTTATGCACAGCCTAGGATTCCCTCTTTCTGGTACCGGCTTTTATCCCTCATATGGCATGCCTTACTCTCCCTCGCCTCTCACCGCTGCACCAATTGGCTTAAGTTATTATGGAAGATATGCTCCTACCATTTACCCTCCTCCTCCTTCCCCTTCCTTTACTACCCCGCTGCCACCTCCTTCTTACATGCATACAGGTCATTTGCTCCTGAATCCTGCAAAGTATCATAAGAAAAAACATAAGCTGCTTCGCCCAGAAGCTTTCCTCACCACCAGCAGGACTCCTCTGCTTTCTGTGAGCACCTATCCCAGTGTACCTCCAGAAATGGCGTATGGCTGGATGGTGGAGCACAAGCACCGCCACCGGCACAAACACCGCGAGCACCGGTCGTCTGAGCAGACACAGCTCACTATGGATCATCTTTCTGGGGTCGGTCCTTCAAGGACTGTTTTGGAATCTTTAAAGCGTTACAAATTTGGGAAGGATACAATGAGTGATCGGTACAAACACAAAGAGAAGCATCATTGCCACTTGTCTTGCTCCCACCTATCCCCTGCTAAAGGATTATTAAACAGAGATGAACAGTGGTCAAGGAGAGATCAGTCAGAATCCAGCTCACTGACTCCGTTGCAGATAGACTGCTCTGACAGCTCCCCAGGCCTTTCACTGGGTGGCTTTACTCCTTGCTCCGAGGCAGCAAGCAGTGACGAACATACAAACCTTTTTACAAGTGCAATAGGGAGCTGCCGGGTCAGCAGTTCCCCACATACCGGCATGGGACGTAAACTGGTAAACGACAGCCCAAGCTTCTTTACAGACAGCTCCTTAAATCGGTCCTTGAGGAAGGAGCAACTGCCTCAAAGTGAAAGACCCCGCCAGGGCCTGTCAGGTAGGGCACCCTCTGTGTACCATTGCCTCATTTCTATTCATGATGTGTACAAGCTAACATCTCCAGGACCCTGTCTTGGCAGTTTTTTTTTTTTTTACTTGGCACTTATTTTATATCTTCCTGTCTAAGCTATGGTTCGAAAATAGGTGCTGCTCAAAATGGAACCAAAATAAAAAGCCCAATGCCCCGACCTTTATTAGTTTAGCTGCAGTAATCTAAGATTCATACACATGTATCAGAAGAACATTATACGCCTTATCCACTGCAAAGGAAGTGAGCAATTTGATCCAACCCCTGTGGCACACATAGTGTTTATTGCACCATAGGGGGTCAACTATATATTATAATTATTGATTAACCTAATTCACTCAGTAAAATTAGAATTTCACTGGCACACATTTTCAGGACAATAAAGATGTAAATTAACATGTTAAAGGTTTGTTTAAAAAAAAATATATATATATATAATAAAGCAGAAATGCAATAAATTGTGTTCTATTATGTAACACATCTGGAATAATAACTAGATTTATACTGTGGGATATGTTTATATTTATGGGCTAGCTGATTAAGAACTTGCTTGCCCCAGTACAGGAGTCAGAGGCCAAGAGCTCTGGTATGTTGGTACCAGAGCACTCTTAACTCTTTTATGACACACAAACTTGGTTGTTATAATGTGAAGTCCATTTCTGCCCAAGCCTTGAAGAATCAGAGGGAGTGTAAGAGTCCTAGTGTTTGTCATAACTCTAAAATAATTAAACCTAAATTGGGTGGGTGTCTCTTTTAAGGAAGTAGTATCAGACTAGTGGTAGATGAAGCTCGCAAGGGAAAGGATGTACAGTTTTCAGGTTTTTATTTTCTGTAATCATATTGTTTAACAAGTCATTTGCAATGTACCGAAAGATGCCTTCCGGTTCCCATGGATACCCGCTGTTAAAAGGATATGTGTAATAGTGGAAATATATGTAATCTCGCCCTCACCGACCTCTATTACAGATACGTGCTCTAGTTGTTTTGGTTTGTGGGGGATTGCAGGGGGCATTCTTGTAGCCCAATTAATCACATGCTAAAAGGCCAGATTTCTCTGCAAACTTTACATTTCTAGTTATAAATATCACAACTGCAGAGAGAGGCCTTTTTGATTTGTGTGATAACTCTCATCAGATCACAGTTTACAATGTTTCTATTTTAGTTATCTTCTTAGTTGACCAGTGAGTCTGCATTCCACATTTAATCCTGTCGGATAACCTCAATTTGCATGTTCCTTCCACTGAAATATTCTGCCTAGAGAGATTGGAAAAAAACAGGTAAAGCTGTGTGTCTCTAGAAAGGATGTTGGCTTATACAGGATGATTATTAAAGATGTGGAGTTATAGAGTTACTCTTAGCACCTTGACCGCTTTTGCTATCCATAACTCCATAACTCGGTAACTCCATCTCCAGCATTGTTGGGATGTCATCAGCTATCCCAAAACTTAAGTTCCAAAGTTCCATGCACAGAATGCCATTCATTGTCAGCTGGTGCTCTCAGCCAATGAATGGCATCGGCAGCTCTGCAGAAGCCGGATATAAATCACTAAAGTAGCAGTGAGCCTTTGATCCCGGGCGGACCTTAGTAAAAGCACACACCACTAGTAATGGGACAAACTGTTGTACAATTAATATGGCCAGGGTATTTCTATGTAATATTCTGTGGGCCATGTGCTTCCCCCCATTAACTCTGCAGGTAGAAACAATGACCTTCTGCATAAATGCTTCACTCAACCATTGGAGTAAAATCTGCTCTTTCAATCAGATAGTCTGATAGAGACCATATAATTGGTACAGCATGGCATCATTGATCTCAGCCAACGAGGGATGCTGTGTAGCAATGTGGAGACCAATGCCGTCAGGGAGAAAAGGAAAACTACCTGTTTAACTGTCTACAGCTAGGGCCCAGGGACATAGATGACAACCATGGCACAATAGCATTGGGGATACGCATTTGTATTCCTAATGTTATAATGTTTCTTTAATGCAGAATTTAGACTAGAGGAAGCCACAGATTTAGAGGGTTTTCATTTTTGTTCCAGTTTGGCTATTTTTGTCCAAAATGTTACATTTCCATGCCAAATTCCTATGTAATAAATAAATCCTGTGGAGTTCGCTGTCTGCATTGAGACGTTATGTTAAGCTGGCAAATGAGTCAACACATGGAGCCTTTTGTTTGCCAAGAGTTAATATTGGTAGATTCAGGATAGATATGCAGTCTGCTGTCTTTGGAAATGTGCTAATACAGTTATGTTATGTTTGTTAATATATGCTCACACAGGAAGATTAACAATATTGAGTCTCCTGTCTGTCAAGAGAGATTATGTTGGTTACTACAGGAAGAATGGTAAGTAGGGGGAGTTTGTTTGACTAGTTATGTCAGTCGATATTAGAATAGTAAACTTCATTTATGTTGTGGTTTGGTTTTTTGCTAATACAACAACAGAAACAAAAACTGTATGGAAAGAATAGTAAAGATACGGAGCCTGCTGTCTGTTTAGAGAAGTTATGTGGCCTGGTAGAGGAAGATGGTAACAGATAACACCTTTTATCTCACTAGGTTAGCTAGTGCAGGAAGTCTAGAAAGAGTTGGGGTTCTCGGAATGCCTAGAAAGCTATGTTTTCCTCTGCAATATCTTTGCCGGTTCTCATACAGTTTGTGCATGAACTGCATTAGCACACAGTACTACGTCACCAAATAATTGGTCTTGGTTACAAAATGTCGGCTAAAGTTGCAGACCATGATTAATAAATTATTTCTTTTGTATTTCCATATTTGTTACCTAAATGTTGCATTTAGATTTTCAATTCACTGAAAAAAAGAGAGCAACAGAAGGACAAAATGCTCATGGTTTAGATATATTGGTGTCAAATACTTAGATTCAAGCTCTAGTGTTTCTGAGTACCGTAACTTGCAGCACAATCCTGAACCTAATTACACACTTATAATTGGACATTGAATCAATTCTTTGCTATGGGGGATTTCAACATGTTGGAGGACGCCTTCCTGAAAGTCCAGGTCGGCAGCCACTAGAGGCAGTCATTTTACATTGCAATTTCTCTGAAACTGCATTGTTTTACATTGCAGGGTTAAAGGACCACTATAGTGCCAGGAAAGCATACTCGTTTTCCTGGCACTATAGTGCCCTGAGGGTGCCCCCACCCTCAGGGTCCCCCTCCTGTCCAGCTCTGGAAGGGGGAAAGGGGTTAAATCTTACCTTTTTCCAGCGCTGGGCGGGGAGCTCTCCTCCTCCGATCCTCCTCCTCTCCTCCCCGTCGGCTGAATGCGCACGCATTCAGCCGGTCGCATAGGAAAGCATTATCAATGCTTTCCTATGGACGTTTGCGTGCTCTCACTGTGATTTTCACAGTGAGAAGCACGCAAGCGCCTCTAGCGGCTGTCAATGAGACAGCCGCTAGAGGATTTGGGGGAAGGCTTAACCCATTCATAAACATAGCAGTTTCTCTGAAACTGCTATGTTTATAAAAGAATGGGTTAACACTAGAAGGACCTGGCACCCAGACCACTTCATTAAGCTGAAGTGGTCTGGGTGCCTAGAGTGGTCCTTTAAGGGGACAAAGACATTGCACCCACGCCACTTCAATGAGATAAAGTGGTCTGGGTGCCTATAGAGTCCCTTTTAAGGGGTTAATTGTAAAATTAGTTTAGTGACAATATGCAATATATGTTAGACATCTGTCGGTTGGTCAGTGGTTTTAACTGTTAATTCATTTCTCTAATTGAGAGAAATAGCAGGTCTAAAATTGGCTGAGAGGTGTTAGCCACTTTTCCTGATCCCTAGTGAAATTGCAGATTTTAAAGGATATGGTTATAATGCCAGATATCTCTAAAGCAGAGTTAACAATAGCCTTTCCAGCTGTATTTAAATGTTGTCCATTGGCTGAGAATGTCAACAAATTAGTTCAACCAATGAATTCTGTGCAAAGAAGGGCAAAACTGATTCTAAAGTGTTAGAGGAACTACTGTTTATGAAGAAAATAGAGTTCTAACTGTGTGCATCCAGAGCACCATACCAGTTGTCAAACTGTTAGAAAAAATAGTTTGAATCCTTATTGTGTAACTGCACAAGAAAATTCCTGGTACCATAACTACAGCATGCTGTAATGGTTATGGTTGTCTCTTAAACGTAAATTTTTAAAAAAAATTTTTTTACCTGCATCTATTTTAACGCATTTTGTCCATAATGTTTTGCAGTACTGTAGTAACTGCTGCAAATGAATCATATTTTTCAGAATAAATTAATCATCCTATTTGATGTTATTACAATAGTACATAGTGGTGTCTGAATTCTAGGGCCAAACCGTATTAATTAAAATGTAATTTCTCTCGGGTTGTATATATTGTCTTGCATAAAAAAATGGTGTCTGCTCTCGCCAAGGATCCTGGCATAACCTGTGTGGCTCTCTTACGTTAAAAGATAACTACAGATTTAGCAAAGAAAACGAGACCAAAATCCCAGCTTCTCATATCCGAGAGATCTTGTTTTTGACTTAAAAAAAAACAAGAACAAAAAATAACCTAAATTAAAGGTGCGGGTCTCAATTTCTCAGGCAGGTTTGCAGAGCTACAAAACCAAGCCGGCCCCTAGCGAGACATTTGCACTGCTCCAGATGTGATGACATAATGCGTTTGGCATGTGGCTCCATTTTCCCTCCGTACGCCAGTTTAGTCCAGCTAGAGGTAACTGTGACTTTGCAGAAGGAAAACACGTCAGGTTAATGCAGAGAACTATTAATAGTTAGATTGTAAAAGCATCCTTATTATGCAGACACAGACTGTGAAACCTCAACGTTGAAATAGTGACCTTGAAAGCACATCACACAGTCCTAATCAGAGGGACATTTAGCAATGAGTTCTCCTGGGACTCACTTTCCAATTAGACTTATCATTCATAATGTGCAGCTGGTATTGTAACCGAGTAAACTTGCAGAAGCCAGACACAGAGAGATGGATGCAGGTTTTTAGGAAGTAAGAGGTCTTTATTAACATACCGATCGGGTCTCAGATGAACGAACGTTCCAAAACAGGTCTGAGGGCCGAACACATGGAGTACATGCTTTTTATAGAACTATAACTCCTCCCATTAATAGCTCCACCCGCACATACCCATAACCAATCAGTGGACAGGATTTGGATTTCCTTATATGGGCAGACCACATGGCTTATCCGAAACAAAGGAGAAAGGAGTGTGATTTCAGTTCCTGCATTCCTGCACATGCTCAGTACATTGATGACAGTATAAAACATACACATATGCCACGTGGAAATCTCGGCCTACTAAATTTACATTTCACCGGAATTCCATCACATTCCCCCCTTTGATGCCTCTGATACAAAATTATTCCAGATGCATTACCAATCATAGTTTACCAACACCTCTCAAGTAGCCATAGACCAGAACAGACCTTGTAAGCATCTTAGCATCATCACAAACTCCTTCAGCATTCCTCATCCTGAATATGTTCTCTTTGGGCTAGGGATTCATATCTTTAGACAACCATTACATGAGCAACGGTCTTTCTTTCTATAGTACTCTCTATGATACTACGTATAGATCTGACCACTAATGGAATTAGGCAGGGCAGAAAGAGACATAAGAATATAATGAATACTACTCCTCCTACTAACGCCTTAATCCCTCCAAGCTGCTCATACCAACTTCCAAACCAACTACTAGGATTATACCCATTCCAGACCTGAGTAGGTACATGCGTCAGTTTAACCATGTGGCTTGTTAGTTCAGCCACTGCCCGCCCTTCATCATCTATGTACAAACAAAAGTTGCTGAGATTAAACTTTCCGCATGCACCTCCCTCTACTGCTAATAGGTAGTCCGGAGCTAATCTGTTTTGATAGATGGCTGATCTCATCTGAGTATTTTGCTTAGCTAGAAGATTAAGTGCTTGAGCTGTCTCATTAGTGATAATCTCAACCACCGCCTGTAGTCTTATAATACGGTTGAGCATATATATTGGGGTTCTATATCCATAGGTACCATCTTCTGCCCAAGTAGCAGGTCCATAATAATTAATAATGCGTTGGGGAGGCTACCCATCATCTTCCCAGCTACCTATATTCAAGGATGCTCGCTTCTTTTTATGATTTACATCATAAACCTTAACTCCCAAGGTCTCTTCTGTCTCAATTGGCAACAAGAAGGAGGATGGTTTGAGCATACTTAATACACATGCCCCTTCCCAATCTTGTGGTAACTCTGAATATGTTTTTTTACCAAAGATCCAATATAAATTCGCTGGGGCTTTCCAATTGGATGTAGCAGATAAGTCAAACCATACCTCTTTTAAATGGGTAATTGGGAAACGGATTAGTAGGCTGTGAGACATTTGAAGCTGACCACCAAGTAGTATTTTTAGTATAGGCATTATAGGCTTTCTGTCCTAGACATATTAACTCGCCAACAGGTGTGGTATACAATGGCCCTTTCCTGGCTAAACATACATGACCTATAATAGAGGTTTTTAACCACCACTCTGATTTACCTCTAGTACTTACTTGATCATCAGACTGAGAAAGTATTTGTTGTTCATCTGTCTCAGAACCAGGGTACCATACTTCCTTTGCCTCCCATGGCCACATGGCCAGCTTCAGTCTTCAACCACTCCATCTCTTGGGTTGTATATATCGGAGTCCATTGAGACAGAGGTGCCAGCACAAGGGCAGCAACATACCCCACATATTCCTCTTGCCCGGATTCAGCGGCATGTTTTGCTGCACTATCGGCCATGCTTTTTCCTTTTACTACATCACTATCACATTTCAGATGTGCCCTGAAATGTATAATACCAACTTCCTTCGGTTCCCATTGCGCCTCTAATAGTTGGAGTATTTCTGCTGCATACTTGATTTCTTTCCCTTCAGAATTCAACAATCCCCTTTCTTTATACAATGCTCCATGGGCATGGGTGGTTAGAAAAGCGTATTTCGAATCTGTGTAAAAATTCACTCTCAACCCTTCAGCTAATTGCAAGGCCCTTGTTAATGCAATCAGTTCCACCTTCTGTGCTGATGTCCCTTTCGACAGTGGCCGTGCTTCTATCACCTTGTCTATGGTTGTTACCGCATGCCCTGCATAACGTATACCTTCTTTCACATAACTACTACCATCCGTATAATACTGTATGTCCGGATTCTGGATGGGGAAATCATGAAGATCAGGCCTGCTTGAAAACACTTCATCCATTATCTCCAAACAATCATGTTGACAATCAGTAGTCTGGGGCAGAAGGGTAGCTGGATTCAAATTATTAACAGTTTTGAGGTGTACTCTTGGATTTTCAGATAACATAGCTTGATATTTGGTCATTCGACTGTTGCTAAACCAATGATTATCTTTGTAATCCAATAGGGTCTGTACTGCATGGGGTACTCGCACATAGAGTTCCTGACCCAATGTGAGCTTGTCCGTTTCTGCTACCAACATGGCAGCGGCGGCCACTGCTCGCAGACAATGTGGAAGACCACTGGCCACTGCAGCCAACTGTTTGGACATATAAGCTACAGGTCTTTCCCATGATCCCAAATACTGAGTTAATACTCCCACAGCCATTCTTCTTTGCTCATGTACGTACAGATACAAAGGACGCGTGTGATCTGGTAGACCTAGGGCTGGGGTACTCGTAAGTGCTTTCTTAACATCCTCAAATGCCTTCTGTTGTTCAGAGGTCTACGAAAAGGTGTCCTATTCTGTGCCTTTCACAGCTTCATATAGAGGTTTTGCCAGTATCGCATAATTAGGAATCCATATCCTACAGAATCCTGCTGCTCCTAAGAATTCTCGCACTTGTCTTCTATTCTTAGGTATAGATATCCGACACACTGCTTCTTTTCTTTCAGGTCCCATTATTCTTTGACCTTCGGAAATATGGAATCCTAAATATTGAACAGTTGACTGGCACAATTGCGCTTCTTCCTTGATACCTTGTATCCTGCTCTCCATAGAATGTGAAGCAAATCATAAGTTGCATGTTGGCATATCTCGTTAGTAACAGCCGCTATCAAAAGATCATCCATGTATTGAAGCAATACACATTCTCCTGGGATGGACTTGAAATCTTGCAAATCCTGGCTTAATGCAGATCCAAATAGGGTAGGTGAATTCTTGAACCCTTGAGGTAGTCTGGTCCAGGTCATCTGACACTTTGAACCTGTAACAGCATCTTCCCATTGGAAAGCAAAGATACACTGACTCTCAGCAGCAATCCGAAGGCAAAAGAAAGCATCCTTAAGGTCTAGAACTGTGAAGTAGGTTGCCCCACCTGGTATCAAAGCAAGTGGATTATAAGGGTTGGGTACAACTGGGTTTATATTGACTACTGCATCATTAACCGCTCTCAAATCTTGTACAGGACGATATTCATCTGATCCTGGTTTCTGAACAGGTAATAATGGAGTGTTCCAGGGGGAAGTACAGAATTTTAGGATGCCATACCTTACGAACTTATCCAAGTAGGTCTGTATGTTTTTCTTAGCCTTTTGAGGTATATGAAACTGGTGTAGGCTCACAGGATAGGCCCCAAGCTTTAGTTCAATATGTATAGGTGGAATATTACAAGCAAGCCCAGGTGGATTATTCTCTGCCCATACTCCTGGAATGTCAAATAAAGGTTCATCATTCTTAGGGTTTACACTTGTCATTATGGAGTAGAAGCGCCATTCTTCTTCCCTTGGCACCGATCCAGCCATTATGCCTGGTAATCCATTAAACCTCAGAGACGTTGATAGATTGGGTAGAAAAGTTATCTGGGCTTGAAGCTTCGATAATAGATCTCGTCCTAGAAGTTGAATCGGACACTCTGGCATATATATGAACTGGTGCTTCACCAAATGGCCTCCCAGAATGCAAGTGCGACTTTTAAGAACCGGTCTAGCTGCGCTTCTCCCAGTAGCTCCTATCACAGTTATAGTTTTTCCTGAAGGCAGAGCCACCAGTTTAGTCACCACGGAATGTTCAGCACCAGTGTCAATCATGAAAGAACTTCTTTCCCCCTATTGCTACATCGACCATAGGCTCCGCTTGACCAAGGGGGATGGAGCCCGGTCGGTATCAATAGTCTTCCATGATAGTGTCAGCCAGACCCACAAAATCTCTATCCTCTCTATCTCTTGGTCTCTGAGTTGGTGGATAATATCTATCTCCTTGAATACTCCCTCTACTATTCCCACCGTTCCCTCCAAAACTTCCTCTTCCTCTATAACTACCACTATAACCTCCCCGTACTCTTCTCTCTCCTTGTCTATTATTTTCATAATGCTCTCTCTGTGGACACTCATTCTTCCAATGTCCTTCCTCTCTACAATACGCACATTGATTCCTACTTAAAGGTCCCTTACTCAGCCTATTCTCGACTCCTTTCCCTGTCTTTCTACACTTGTGATAGCCACCGCTAGCATATCTGCCTTCTTCCTCATTTTACGTTCTTCCTCCCGCTTTATCTCAGTTTCCCTATTCATATATACTTTATTTGCGATCTCCATTAGCTGTGATATGGACATCCCTACAAATCCCTCTAACTATTTACACAAAGATTTAGCCTGACCCAAACCACCTATATTAGACAGGCTGACTACAGAGCGTCTAATTTCCAGATAAGCACCTGCACTCCTTCCCTCCAGAGGGAGGGGGCAATCCAATAACCGGTTCCAAATATAAAACCCCTTGTGGGCCTACCGCTCTAACGGTATCAGTCTTACCTCTTCGTTCCTGAACCTAGGCTCACACTCATTGACAGGGAACCCCGGTACTTACTATGTAAAGGCCGATGATCTCCCGGGCGAAGCAGCCCAATGGCGCCGAGATGAAGGGATGTCCATGCAGAAGTTCAGGGGTGCTGCCGTAGAGAACGTTGGTAAAAAGTTTACTGTCTCAAATCTCTGCGCCAGCTTCCGTGTGATGAGGTTCCCGGACCCAATGCACCAAAGTTGTAACAGAGTAAACTTGCAGAAGCCAGACACAGAGAGATTGATGCAGGTTTTTAGTAAGTAAGAGGTCTTTATTAACATACTGATCGGGTCTCAGATGAACTAACGTTCCAAAACAGGTCTGAGGGCCGAACACATGGAGTACATGCTTTTTATAGAACTATAACTCCTCCCATTAATAGCTCCACCCACACATACCCTTAACCAATAAGTGGACAGGACTTGGATTTCCTTATATGGGCAGACCACATGGCTCATCCTAAACAAAGGAGAAAGGAATGTGATTTCAGTTCCTGCATTCCTGCCCATGCTCAGTACATTAATGACAGTATCTTAGCTACGTGTAACTAACTGATACAACATACACATATGCCACGTGGAAATCTCAGCCTACTAAATTTACATTTCACCGAAATTCCATCACAGTATAGTCTCCCCCCACCCCCTTGTCTACTTTGTCATTTGGCATTATAAAAGGCCTGTTTTTAGTGCAACAACATGGTGCTATAAAAACCTGTTTCTAAAAATATTTTGAGGGCAGGTCTTAAAGGCCCTATGTACACACCCTGAGATTTAACCAAATTAACAGCTGGTTGTTTAATAGATGAATAGAGATTACTAATAGTTAAAATAGGGACAGTACTGTTATCTATCCATATAGATTTATACCCTGCGAAAATGGCAATCTAGTTAGTGGCCCTGAATGCTTGCAGTGCTATTTCTGCCTAGAAATAATAAAATCTGTGACCAACATTTTTGAAAAGGCGTTACATGTTGCTTTATCCACCAGGTCTTAAAATCTAGTGGATCTTACCATGGAAATCTGGGAAATGTGTTTGCGGTGGTCTGGTTTGCCTTGCTTTGATGTTTTTCTTGCAGTGGAGTACAGGCCTTGCAGTAGCTGGTACCCATGTGGGTTTGAGTTCTGCACACAGCAGTGGTCTATACTGCAAACCACACGACGGAAACACACAGTGGGTGGAGCAATATAAATAAATAGTATATATACTTGTATACTCTCTATCTTCGTATGTTAACACCCTAAAAGAGGGAAAGAGATATAATAGTGCCGATAAACCAGAGTAAAACAGTGAAATACACTCACAAGGATAAAGCTAGTTTTTGCACTGGGCTCTAGTGTGTAATACATGGATTCTTAGGGGAATCCTGATCCGTCCTCTATAAGGTGGTTTTAGCGTGCAGAGAGTGCTAAAACGTAAAAAGTTCCATAGCATGTTACTGTATAACCAATGGTAAAAGGAATTGCACTCAGTTGTACTGCAAATCGAGTTGCCTATCCTGCAGTGGAGTGGTTACTGAACTGTTGTATAGCGACATGTGCAATACATTGATGCAATTAATAATACAATGCATTGGATCATCCGGTATTAGAACTAGTGCCATACAGGGGTTTATTCACCATAGGAGCATGAGCAGTGACCACCCCCTTCCCGTTGTGGGAAGGACGCTGTGCAGTGGTCCTACTTGTAGTGACATTTCTTGAAGTAGACGCAGTGGCTTATCCACTAGTTAAGTGTCATGCATAGCCTTATCCTGCTGTGGAATGCCTGCAGTACTGTCCAGTGGCGTGTACTGGACCAGTATAGACTCTGCATATAAGGTCGGTATCGGGCCAGTATAGACTCTCCACATTTGACTCCGTATTGTACCATGATACACTCTCCTTATATAACTCAGTATATATTTTTTTTACATTGTAAGGCTTTATATACCATTGGCATTCGGTCAATATTGGGCTCTACAGCACGCCTCTGCAATTTGTAAAGTATAGTAAAATATTGCAATACTAGTGCTGTATAAACCTCCCATAACCGCACAGACATGCCATTGTAATCTTTGTATTACACTATTAAATCTCTTTATAGCAGCCTTGTACCAGCTGTTCAATCTCAGTCCTGCACCACAAATTCTTTCTATATTAGTTCTATTAGTAGCATGTATAATCTCTACAATGCACCACAAACTCTTTCCATCTTCTTCTACTAGCGGCAAGTTTAATCTGGGTTATACCAGCAAATCATTACAGTTTGCAAGTTTTACTAATACAGAGGAATTTACAGGTACAATACTGAGATTAAGCAGTCTGCAGATCAGATTAAAATAGATTTACCAGTACACCACAGACATTGCTCAGATTGCCTGTAAATTGAAAAGATTTACTGTTATAAAACAGACTTTATGCAGATTGATAGTAAGCCTAATCTGGAATATATAATATTATGATATATATATATATATATATATATATATATATATATATATATATATATTACACTTGTAAATCTGACCGTATTTCACTAGCAGCCTGGGTAAGCTTCCATCCCCATTATTAAATACATTATAGCCATTATGCAATAAAACTAATTACAGAAATGTAAATAGAGACTTTAAAAGTATCAGCTTTTGCTGCATGCGGCAAGATTTGTTTGGAGTTTAGTTACTTAGCTGTCACCAAACTAGGAAGTGATTTAGCAAATAACCATAGCTTTCTGTCAAGAATACACTTATGTGTACTTGGTTTTTCACACACGACTAATCCATTCTGACTTTATTTTGTTAAATAAGTCATGACACGGTGTAATTTTTATTATTTTTTATAAAGTGCCAACAAATTCCGCAGCGCTGTACAATGGGTGGACTAACACACGTATTTGTAACAAGACGAGTTGGACACACAGGAACAGAGGGGCTGAGGGCCCTGCTCAATGAGTTTACATGCTAGAGTGAGTGGGGTATAGTGACACAAAAGTAGGTTGATGGGATATGTCATGACATATGTAATATGTCATGTGTTGTTCATGTGAAGTTGTATTTATCTAATTAAGACCTGATAACGGACAGATGATTGCAATTATGTCCTGATATGTAAAACCATAGAATTCAAAGTGTGTGTACTTTCTTTTTCGTGTGACGGTTTTATCCTTTATATAGTATAGTACCAACATATTCAGCATTGGTTTACAGTTATACAGTGCGGACATATAACACCAGTACTCCTGATGTTGTAAACTACATCTCCCCTAATGCTTTGCCGGCTTTATAACTACAAGCGCATTAGGAGAGATGTAGTCTACAACATCTGGAGTGCCAAAGGTTGCCTACTCTTGCCTTAAACCAGGGTGTCACAGACAGAATTAATTGCTATCCACGACAAAGGAAAAGGTGTCAGCATGAATGTGTTAATAGCACCAGGCCTCGGGTTACCTTATCATTAATATCTTCCAGGGCACAAAGCAATCCGCCGCCACCACCAATATGTAATATTGGTGTCTATGGTTACCCCATACTTTTACAAAAACGTAACAGAGGATATATGAACCATGTGAGCCAGTGTCCAGGTTTCTAATATCAGTCTGTCAAAGCACAGGTCTCTGCCAGTTTGGTAACTTTACATGTTCTACAGAGACTGCAATGTGCGTGTTACGTATATGAATTAATGACGTTATTGTTTATTATAAACTTCCGGTTCTGTATACACTAAACATGACAGCTTATAACATCCCGCCAGGTTTTAGGTCATTACCTCCTGTAGTGTAATTACAACTTGAGCTGTACTGGGTTCATTGGATAGTGCCTGAGCCCATGAACACAGCCAATAATTAGGAGCAAGAAAAATGTAAGTGACGTGTACTCTCATCCTTAAACATTGCTTGCTACTCTCATACACAGTCACTTGCACATGCTGCGCATACGCAGCTGTACCTATTCATATACATACAATCACACACTTGTGCTTACATCTGTCAGAATATAGACAGCTTTATGAATCCCTGCTTCCCAGGACAATGTGACGTCGTTCTACTTCCCGGTGATGTGAGCCAGGACTCTGTGTAGGAGTACATGGGGAACCCTGAAGCTGTTTTTGCCAACAGAGCGCATAGAAAGTCTGCTTCTTTGCTGCGTATGGAGGCCAGTCATGAGAGCTTGTTTGATTTTCCCCAATGCCTGTCAGGGAGGCGAATTCTCAGTCCCTGTTCCCATATCTGTGTCGTCATGGCAACCTAGTCATTGGAATTACGGAAACCTGTAATGAGAATTTTCATTTTCAACCTCAGTTTGCTTCATTCGTAATAGTTCTGCACAGTAATGAAAACCGCAAGCAGATTAATTTGCTGTTTTTGTAGATTAAGTATATTTAGACTATAGTTCAACGTTGAAAAGTGATAGTTGGACAGCTACTCCCATAAAACACTGCACATACCTACCAACAGTCCCTTTCCCTGGATTTCTTGCTTTTGGGGACACAAAAAAAAAACCCCAAAAAAAACAAACGTCCACAATAAATGCAGGGCAAGTACATCATTAGCGGCACTCCCATTGTGCAAAGTGTACTCAGGGCAAAGGAAACGCTTCAACAGCAATATGTAAGTGGGGTTGGTCAGAGAGATTTCTTGTCAGCCTGGCTTGTATGCATGCTTGCAAACATGGCAGCATAATCCAGGAACAGATAATGCCATGAGCAGCTGTATGATTGGGCCAAATAAGCACACCCTGCAGGTTGGTATAGAAAGGGATTAAAGGACCACTATAGGCACCCAGACCACTTCAGCTCAATGAAGTGGTTTGTGTGCCAGGTCCCCGTAGTTGTAACCCTGCAGCTGTAAACCTATTTTTACACTGCAGGGTTAATCCAGCCTCTAGTGGCTGTCTCCCTGATGGCCACTAGAGGCCTCTTCCGCGATTCTCGGTGTGAAAATCGCATTGAACTCACGCAGCATGAGTTCAGATCTCCATAGGAATGCACTCAGTAATGCTTTTCTATGGGTGGTTTGAATGCACGTGCGGCTCTGGCTGCGCATGCGCATTCAGCTCCACTTGGGAGCTGACGTCGGCAGGAGGAGGATAGGTCACCAGCGCGGAGGGAGCCCAACGCTGGGTTAAGGTAAGCGGGAGGGAGGGGACCTGATAACACTATAGTGCCAGGAAAACGAAATTGTTTTCATGGCACTATAATGCCCCTTTAAGCTGTAGGGGCTCTGGTGACTATAGTGTCTCTTTAAGAATTGTATTAAAAAAAAAAAATAATTTATTTATATTTATATATATATACACACACACACACACACACCAACCAACCAACCAACCAACCAGGCACTCTACCCATAAATTGTGTAATAATGATTACAAAAAACACCAGTGTGCTTCTCTGTGTGTATGTATATGTGTGTGTATGTGTATATATATATTTATATATATATTTATATATATGAAAATGAGAGCACTCACTGGATTTAACGCAAATAATTTGTATTTAAATAGTGAACATACCAATCAACGTTTCGACCGTCCTGCGATTATTTCTCCATGTGAAAAAATAGGCATTTAATCCAACTGGTCAACGTTTCAGTTCACAACTGTGAACTTTCCTCAGAACACCGTGTCTTTTTATAGAATATATATATATTATGATCCTTGTTTGCAGATAGCATGGTCCTCTAGGGTAAACAACAGGCACAGTCCTTTTATTTTCATATAATCCAGGCACTTTATTTGTAAGTCCACACAGCAGCAAATGAAAACATAAATATAACACAAATCCCTATAAACAAAAAGCCTAGCTCGCCTGAGCACTTACTAACATTAGGTTCCCTATCTCTCAGAGGTTAAACTAGAACAAAACAATATTGGTTTCACCAACCTAGTGTCTTTGTCAGCTCTCTGCACTCCAGTGCTTAGTCAGCCTGTTGCTTTCCTTTCTACACTCCCAGTGCTCCAAGCCAGCCTTGACTGCTTCCTTCTGCGCTCCCAGTGCTCAGTCTCCTTCACTCTCTCACTGGAGAGAACAGCCTCTCTCCTACCTGCTTCCAGGGAGGAAGCTAGCAATCCCCCTTTACCTGCCTAGCAGGGAGGGGTTTATTCCCACTGCTACAGCTCATTATCTGCAGTTGAGCAGTGGGTTGGAGACAGTTCCAAAAAACTCTGGCCTGGACCTTATTTCTCCCAGTTGTGTATAAACTGAGGAGTGGAGCATTGGTCCACCCTGCTCTCCAATTGCGCCACCCCAGGGGCCCATAACTAAACATAGCTTTGTGTTGTACACCACACATACAACACATACTTCCCCTGGGGTCAAATGTTAAAGGCCTCTCTGCCTTCACTTTATCACAATATATACACACACACACATAAAATTTGTTGGTGTTTTGCACTCCTGCTTTCCTCTTGGTTAAATGCCTGGTGCTCAGCTGCACAGCTGCTCATTTGATGTCCTGATGAAAGTTTGCTGATGTAAACTGAAACGTTGGCAAGTTCTATGGATTAAAACCCTTTTCGTTTTTTTTTTTTACAAGTCCTTGAGTGCTGGCTTCATTTGGCAGATTATATATATATTGTGTGTTTGCCTGTTTTTTTTTTTTTTTTTGGCCTTATGAGTGTATTCGACCAGTAAATCTTTCATGTTCAAATACTTATCCGCTTGTTTAATCTCTGTTGCTTCTGTAAATGTTGTCATATTAGTCTTACTAGCAGCTTGGTTTAAAGGACCACTATAGTGCCAGGAAAACATACTTGCTTTCCTGGCATTATAGCCCGCCGGGCTCTAGGGAGTGGAAGGGGTTAAATTTACTTTTTTTTTTTTTTCTCCTCCTTGTCATCGGCTGAATGCCCATGCGCGGCATGAGCCGCGCGCGCATTCAGCCAGTCCATAGGAAAGCATTCTCAATGCTTTCCAATGGACGCTGGTGTCTTCTCACTGTGAAAATCACAGTGAGAAGCGCGGAAGCGCCTCTAGCGGCTGGATTATCCCTATTATAAACATAGCAGTTTCTCTGAAACTGCTATGTTTATAGAAGAAATGGTTAATCCTAGCTGGACCTGGCACCCAGACCACTTCATTAATCTGAAGTGGTCTGGGTGCCTATACTGGTCCTTTAACCTTTGTATTGCACCTGTAAATCTCTTTAAATTGTTCTCTCCAGCCTAGTTTAATCGCTTGGTATGAAACAGCATTGCCACATTACAAACAGGATTTCTGTACAGTGCAGACCTAAGTAGGCCCACAGAAAGAAACTTCACGATAGATTTTTTTTCAATTTTATTTTTTTAAGCTGTCGGTCAGTGTAACAGATTTCCCCTTTAAATTTTTGGGGGATAGCATTATGAATATGCTATGGTTAGAATAGTGATAGTAAGTATAAATGGCAAATACCCCCACGCGTGCACATTTTGTTGATTGTTCTGCTCTTGGCCCAGTAACTCTTGAACATAGAAGAAAGACTGTAGTCCATTATTGGGAACATTCGTTGTACCATAAGCACTGTAGTGATTTAGAGGGCTTAGAGTCTAGTTAGTGCTATTTATTTGTCAAACTACTTTGAGCTTTGGGAGGGGAGATGAACCAAAAGGGCAAGTTAACACAAAGCTCTCTCTATAGGTCTCATCTGCACCATAGCAGTTCTGGTATCATCAAAGAGTCTATATGAGCATATAGCTAGGTGTATATACTTGCTGCCTATTTTTCCCCACCCCTTGACAGGTGTCATTTTAACAATATGATCAATGTTATTCACTTCACCTGCCAGCGGTTTTATGTTGAGACTGATCAGTATATGTTAAAGCAGGCTGTCTATAAGTGCACTGACAATTGTCAACATGATTGTTTTTCTCCCATAAACCTCTAGATATTTCGTTAAATCTCATTAATCAAACTTCTCAATAAGCCCAATAGCAGCCAATTATACAAAGATGTAAAGTATTACCCAATGCACTATGACCAGTTCAGTGATATTAAAGGGGTCATTGTGCCTTGAATCTGTATGTGTGCAGCGTTCTGTGTGAAACGCTGCACATGCGAAGTTTAACCACTTGGCTGCCGGAGGGTCAACACCTAACCCGGAACAAGAGCTCCCGGTTGGGTAATGTCAGTTCTGTGCCAATTTTGTTGCATAGACACTCCTTGATTGGATGAGAAACGGTTAGCGGACGCACTCAGCCAATGAATGAGTGGCCGGATCAGCATCCAGCTTCAGCAGCTCAGTAGAAGCCTAATGTTGTAAATCTGCCTACAGAGGAGAGCCAACCCCCAGCAGGAACATGTAACTGTTGCAAAATGGTTTGCCCCATTACTAGGAACGACTACTACCATCATGACGAGACTGTAGTGGTCATGATGGTAGGGGTAACACTTTAATCTCCCTATTATTGACACTGTGGCCCGGTTTTCTCCAAGAGCTGGATGTGTCAAAATGTGCATAGTGTTTGCTAGATCAGCATGTGCACTCCTCATGCACAACTTGAGGCGGTTTAGGCAGCAAAAAATGAAAGGGACACTATAGTCACCTGAACAACTTTAGCTTAATGAAGCAGTTTTGGTGTATAGAACATGCCCCTGCAGCCTCACTGCTCAATCCTCTGCCATTTAGGAGTTAAATCCCTTTGTTTATGAACCCTAGTCACACCTCCCTGCATGTGACTTGCACAGCCTTCCATAAACACTTCCTGTAAAGAGAGCCCTATTTAGGCTTTCTTTATTGCAAGTTCTGTTTAATTAAGATTTTCTTATCCCCTGCTATGTTAATAGCTTGCTAGACCCTGCAAGAGCCTCCTGTATGTGATTAAAGTTCAATTTAGAGATTGAGATACAATTATTTAAGGTAAATTACATCTGTTTGAAAGTGAAACCAGTTTTTTTTTTCATGCAGGCTCTGTCAATCATAGCCAGGGGAGGTGTGGCTAGGGCTGCATAAACAGAAACAAAGTGATTTAACTCCTAAATGACAGTGAATTGAGCAGTGAAATTGCAGGGGAATGACCTATACACTAAAACTGCGTTATTTAGCTAAAGTAATTTAGGTGACTAAAGTGTTCCTTGAAGTAAATCTTTCTTCTTTGACATCAGTGGAAGAGGGAGGAAGTATTTTGATTGAAGTGTTCTTTGAAAATTGATTCAGCTGTAAGTCCCTGTCTAAAATATAACCATAGTTCACTTTGCCAACCACGTCAATGGTTACATGGTTAGTACTCTTAGTGTTATAATAGAAGTGTCATCTCTAGCTGTGAACAGATACTTGCTGAAGTGCTTTATGTTTGAAGTGTGTGTCCTTTTTTTTCATTTTACAAAAAGTGCTGATTTAAATATAATTTTACACTTTTATAAATTAACCATGCTAAACCACCTCCCACCACCCCCCATCGGTCCTGTTATTTCCTGGTTTGTTTAGCTCTGTGGAGTTAAACCAGGGCTCGACAACTCCCAGGCGCCATGTTACTATGGCGACCAGGAAATTAGTCCTGGTGCTTGGGATTTGTGAGCCTGCTCAGTCCCCGAGGTGACCAGGGATGGAGGGGGCGTCCGGCAGGCAAATGGAGAGCTGAGGGAGGCGGGCTGCTGACTTATTGCGGTGGCGAGAAGGGAGCTGTAATCTCCCTGCTTTGCCCCCTCGCTCGCCTTGTAGTGCTGCCGGGAGCCAGGTTATGACATCACTCCAGCCCCCAGCTAACTAAACAGTGCTCGTTTGGGAGCAGAGCATTGAGATGACAGCAGCCCCACTGGACCCAAGGGAAAGCCTATCCATTCCAGCTCTCCAAAGGTAGGTATTTGTGAGTGTGTCTATGTGTTTGTGATTGTGTGTTTGTCTGTGAGTGTCTGTATGTCTGTGTGTGTCGGTCAGTGAGTATTTGTTCCCTCCAATCGCATGGGAAAGGTGTATTTACTTACCATTTCCCCACGCCGTGCTGGGGACACTGCGGCTGGCCCCACCTCTATGACCTCTTGACGATCTCAGCCAATCCAATGCTTCCCCATAGGAAAGCATTGGGAAACTATTGCGCATGCACGGCAAAATTACACTGCACCAATTTAACTTCTCATAAAGATGCATTGAACTAATGCATCCCTATAGGGAACATTATTGTAAATACTGCACAGTGTGAAGCACTTACCCAGGAAGCACCTCTAGAGGCCGTCTCAAAGCCTGTCGCTAAAGGTATCACCAGGCAGCAATGTAAACACTGCCTTTTGTCTGAAAAGTCAGTGTTTACATTGAAAAGCATTCAGGGACAGGATATAGACTTCTGGTAACTATAGTGTCCCTTTAAGAATTATATTTGTGGCATTGATTTCTCTGGCTCCTAACTTTTTAAGCTGGCTCCTAGATTCTAAGCAAATTTGTCAATCCCTGAGTTAAACGCAAGAGAGATTGTCCAGAGCACCTGCCGTGCAAAGACATCTCATTGAGCTGCATTGGGAAGTCTGATTGGACAGCCGCAGAGACATTTGGGAAGAAGGGGAGGACTTGCAAAGGGTGTGTATAAGAGATCTGCAGCTTTTACAAGTTGTTTTTATATGTCTCCACAATGAAAATGTGCACAATTAGTGCATGCATGTTTTCATTGGTGATATATGTACTAAATAGATTTATTCGGACAGTTCGGAGTAAGTTTATTTGGACAGTGGAGTGTCCCTTTAAAAATGCTGCTTTCGCATATCCCTTTAAAGGTACTCGTCAGAGTACTAAGGGGGAGAGCTAATAAAAGGGGGAAGAGTGGCTTGCAACTTTTAAAGCTGTTTTGTGGTTTTTTTGTACCTTCAAAGAAAACAAGCAGAAAAAAAATACATGTTTTAAAAAGATGCTTTCTTTTGGGAGGTATATCCACTAAATTGTTTTAAAAATAAATTTTAGAAAAAAATGTTCGAGTGTTCCTTTAATGTAAATCTGTCATTACAGGCTTAGTTCAAGTTATACCTTCTTAAGTAATGAATATATAATTAGTCATAAAGCAAAGTACAGATTAATTGTTTGGAGCTGTTGACAAAATCCTTACCTCCTGTCCTATGACTGTAATGCTTTTTGCTGTCATAGCACCCATCTTTACATTCCTCCTCTGCTTGGGAATGCTATGCAATACAGAGCAGACAATTGTTTAGAAATGTACAGAATCAGACCTGCTTGCAATGGAGAAAGTCACAGCAACTACTGCACATGGATTGTTGCTTAACCTCTTAAGGACCAAACTTCTGGCATAAAAGGGAATCGTGACATGTCACACGTCATGTGTCCTTAAGGGGTTAAAGGAGAGCAGAGGAACTGCCTGTAGCGTTTACCTGCATTCCCATGTCAATCACTTCTTTGCATACACACCATGGCATCAGCATACCCTGTATAGAAACTGATGGACAGTGAGATTTCTTTAAAATACCTTAACATTTGTTTGTAAATCTGCTTAGATATATATATATATATATATATATATATATATATATATTTACGTTTTCTTTCATTTAATATAGCATTGTGTTTGCCATGACAGGTATACTTGGATTTATTTGTAAAATGTAAATGCAGGAGGGGGCATGATGGGCAGTGCTCTGCTTTCCCCACTTAATGGCCTATCATGACTGTTAGTGTTTCTGATGCAGTGTCTCTGTACAGGGAATCCTAAATTGCTCCTGTTCTTTTTATTGAGGTTATGCTGGTGTGAGGAAGAACATGCACCTGCACAGTCTACCCTCACTTTTCCCCTATACAGCATGTACATACACTGTTTTTGCCTCAAGTCATTTCACAGCTTGTGATAAAATGGGCACTGAGATTACATTCTAAAATGTGCTTTATCCTCCACAGCGTCTCAAGAACGGATTCTCAGACAGCCGGAGAGTTCGAACTGTAGCCCTTCGCGTAGGAGGACAGCATCAGAAAGCACGGCCTCTTCAGGTACTTAATAACAATATAAGTGTTGGGAGAGGATTTTAGAAAATGTCACTGCTGATTAAAAGTGAAATCTCTTTCGAGGGTTGCACCTTTTGTTTTTGTTTTTTTTCACTGTGTGGTGGCACTCTTCGCTTTTGTTCGCTCTGTAGAACAGACATAACTTTTCCCCTCTTCGTTTTTACTTTGTGGAATTCATGCTTCTTTAATTGTGCGCTTTCTATTTTAAGCAATTTGTTCTCTGCAGGGCTTGTGTATATTCTAATTATAGTCCCAGTAATCCCTATGCATATCTAGGCAGGCAGGGGGCATAACATGGGACTTATTACAGTAGTTTATGGTGGGGGGGGGGGGGTACATGCACACTTGTATTACTGGCTGGCTATTTGCACTGACTTTTTACAAATAAGTTATTACCAACATTATTTTATACACGGTTTATTAAGCAGTTTCCTATACATCGTACACTGACTTTGAATGTTTTGAGAGCAGTATGCAGTCTTTGCAACCTCTCTCCTCTTTCTATGACATAGGTTTTCAGTCTGTGACAGGGAATACACCAATCAGAGGCTTCTCAGTGAGAAGGCTCAGTGCAGCAACCACGTGCTCGTAAACTATTGCTGCTTTTCAATGCTTCTCAATGAGCTGTAGTACAGTCCATTAAAAATGAGGGAAGACAGACGTGTTGTAGCTTAGTCTCAGTGACGACTAGGGAGGATTTTCTGTCCCAAAAATAAAAGTAGCAGTTTCATTTAATATTGGGTCGATAACGTACAGGCCCAGTATTAAATCTCAGGTTGATTTTACTTTGGCGCACTCCAAAAGTACTAACATTTTATTTTATACTTTTCCCATTAAAGGTTCTACTAGAAAACTGTTCCATCCACCTTTTATTTTGTATCTCTAGACTAAAAGAGATGCTTTGTAGCCTCCATAATTGACTGTGATTTGTATCTGTGTGACTGTGACAGGGTTTCTAACTGCTTATTTGTTGGTTGTAGTTCTTGCAGGAAGGCTGGGTTCCTCAGCAGAGGAGTCAATGGACAATTTATTACAGCGTATGGTACATGGAGAGAAGCAGGGGAGTATGGACAAAAACTTAGAAGCAGTCCTTATCTCTAATGCCTCTGTTCCAAGAAGCCAAAGCAAGCAGGATAACTTGCTTATTCCAGCTGCTGGCACCGACTCCTCATTTGATGGCATGGGCACCCGAATTCCTCATCACCTAAAGAGGACTATGGTCGAAGCCATGCACAAACAGGCACATAATATGTACAACTTTGACAAAATCCTAGCAACCAAGAAGAATTTGGACCATGTCAATAAAATATTGAAGGCAAAGAAGCTGCAAAGACAGTCGCGTACTGGAAATAACTTTGTGAAACGGAGGCCTGGGAGACCCAGAAAATATCCACTGGAGGCTGTAGTCCCAGTGCAAGCTGCTCAGATGGTCACTGTTACAAGTGAGCGAGAAAGCTGTAATGTGAGGCCTGATACGGTTACTGACGTCATTGAGGCTGTAGTGCAGAGCATGAATATGGGGGCTGAGCACAACCAAGGCTGGAAGAGGAAGCCAATAGTTATCGAGAAAACGACCAAGAAGCGACAGAAATGTTTGACTGAGGAGGATCATGAGATCAGCACCAGGTAATTTATGCAGGACCAGCTTTATACCACTGATCATATTTATATTCCCGCTTTCTGCCCTGCAAATCAGCTACAAACTTTTTTTTTTTTTTTATATTGTGTACAAGCAATCCTGAAAGAAGGGCAGCAAGGTCTTTTTAATGATATATATATCAAGATAGCCTGGAAGCCTACATGTAACTTCATGACTTGGAGCAGATAAAGGTAGGAAGTCGCGAGGCAAAGCTACAAATACATTCATGGGATTTACCAGGTCATGCTTGGATAGGCACACTATGCTCTTCTGATTGGTAAAGTGAGGAATACAACATGGGCTTTTAGATCGGGCATAGGCAGGCAAGGTGGAACGGTTTACTTTATTCAGATGGCAAAAAATATATATATATTTTCTTGATTTGCAGCCTTTCAGAGTTTGCTGTGGTTGACGTAACTGCGACTCAGGAGGTGGGCAGGACCAGTGAAGAATGCTCCCGTGCTCTCCTGCATCGTGTGTCGCCACTCATCCCACGAGAGAAGAAAGTTATCCGTCCTCCAAAGAAGAAATTCCAGAAAGCTGGACTGTTTTCAGATGTCTATAAAACAACAGAGTGAGAGAGGGATGGATCTGCAGTTTTGGCAAGAGTGGGGGGGACAAGATAATTTTGCCAGAGGTGCTAAGATGTCTAGGGGATTGATTAAGTGATACTGTGGTGTTGTATCTTGTCTGACGTGGAGGACATCTATGGTGGAATGGAAGGGTGCAATCTAGCGTCTGTAACACTGCTATATTGTTTGAACCGCTCTAAGAGTAGCAGCGTGTTTTCCCTGAAAAATGGCAAGCAGTTTTCCAAACCTATACTGTGTAAAATGTATTTCATTTCACTGCTAGCACAGACAGACTGCAATGCTGATTGTTTGAGAGAAATCTGTGCTTCCAAATCTGTAACTTTGCTTTATATTACCCATGGAGAAGAGCTTGAAACTGGAACATGTGTTACAAACACGTTGAGCTATATTCTAGAAATGCACATTTAGTAAATAATTGCTATAAGCTTAAAAAGTGAGCTACATCACCATTCTACATGGGGAGTAAAAGGTGAACTATATCCCAAATAAAACAAATATTTTGTTAAAGAGCTGAGCTATATCCCAGATATACAGGGTTAGTATAGAGCTGAGCTATGTCCCAGATGTACAAGATTAGTATAGAGCTGAGCTATATCCCAGATATACAGGGTAAGTATAGAGCTGAGCTATATACCAGATATACAGGGTTAGTGTAGAGCTGATCTGTATCCCAGATATATAGGGTTAGTATAGAGCTGAGCTATGTCCCAGATATACAGAGTTAGTATAGAGCTGAGCTATATCCCAGATATACAGGGTTAGTATAGAGCTAAGCTATATACCAGATATACAGTGTTCGTATTTAGCTATAGCCTAGAAATGCAGAGTTAGTATAGAACTGAGCTATATCCCAGATATACAGTGTTAGTATAGAGCTAAGCTATATACCGGATATACAGGGTTAGTATAGAGCTGATCTGTATCCCAGATATACAGAGTTAGTATAGAGCTGAGCTATATCCCAGATATACAGGGTTAGTATAGAGCTAAGCTATATACCGGATATACAGGGTTAGTATAGAGCTGATCTGTATCCCAGATATACAGGGTTAGTATAGAGCCGAGCTATATCCCAGATATACAGGGTTCGTATAGAGCTAAGCTATATACCAGATATACAGTGTTCGTATTTAGCTATAGCCTAGAAATGCAGAGTTAGTATAGAACTGAGCTATATCCCAGATATACAGTTTTCATATAGCACCGCGCTAAATCCCAGATATACAGTGTTCATATAGCACCGCGCTAAATCCCAGATATACAGTGTTCGTATAGAGCTGAGCTTTATCCCAGATATACAGGCTTCGTAAAGAGCTGATCTGTATCTCAGATATACAGTGTTAGTAAAGAGCTGAGCTAGATCCCAGATATACAGGGTTCGTATAGACCCAAGCTGTATCCCAGATATACAAGGTTTGTTTATATATCGCTATATCCCAGATATACAGTGTTAGTATAGAGCTAAGCTATATACCAGATATACAGTGTTAGTATATAGCTATATCCTAGATATACAGGTTTAGTATAGAGCCGAGCTATATACCAGATATACAGGGTTGGTATAGAATTATATCCTAGAAATACAGGGTTAGTATAGAACTATATCCTAGATATACATGGTTAGTATAGAGCCGAGCTATATACCAGATATACAGGGTTAGTATATAACTATATCCTAGATATACAGGGTTAGTATAGAGCTAAGCTATATCCCAGATATACAGAATTAGTATAGAGCCGAGCTATATACCAGATATACAGGGTTAGTATAGAACTATATCCTAGATATACAGGGTTAGTATAGAACTATATCCTAGATATACAGGGTTAGTATAGAACTATATCCCAGATATACAGGGTTAGTATAGAACTATATCCCAGATATAGCTGAGTTATATCCCAGATAAACAAGGTTAGTATAGAGCTAAGCTATATCCCAGATATACAGGATTAGTATATAGCTTAATCCAAGATAAACAGGGTTAGTATAGAGCTGGCAAAACACACAGATTGGTGATTACTGTGTATAGTGCGCTTACAAATGTAATTGAGTTAAAAATAAGCAGCTACACACTCTAGTGGATACTCTATCCCCACTAATTATAGTAATGAACCAAAGTGAGCTTAGTACAATCTGGATATAACGTCCAGACTCTACTAATCAAATGAGTGGAGCGCTAAAGGTATAAACATACCCTAAAATAGTGTTAAATCTCAGATGTATATCAGTACATATAAAGGAAACAAAAAATAAAACACAATATAGTGTAAATCCACAGGTGGTAATGTATTTTGGTGATAATTCAAGTAGTCAAACTCACATTGATCAGAGCCTCAAAGGGACAGGCTCAAATCACTTGCACAGTAGTGTCGTATGGAGTCTCCCTTTCTCTCTCCTTTGAGGAAATCCATTCCAGGCAAAAGGATGCAGTGTCTCCATACGACACTACTGTGCAAGTGATTTGAGCCTGTCCCTTTGAGGCTCTGATCAATGTGAGTTTAACTACTTGAATTATCACCAAAATACATTACCACCTGTGGATTTACACTATATTGTGTTTTATTTTTTGTTTCCTTTATATGTACTGATATACATCTGAGATTTAACACTATTTTAGGGTATGTTTATACCTTTAGCGCTCCACTCATTTGATTAGTAGAGTCTGGACGTTATATCCAGATTGTACTAAGCTCACTTTGGTTCATTAGTATAGAGCCGAGCTATATACCAGATATACAGGGTTAATATAGAACTATATCCTAGATATACAGGGTAAGTAAAGAGCTGAGCTATATCCCAGATATACAGAATTAGTATAGAACCGAGCTATATACCAGATATACAGGGTTAATATAGAACTATATCCTAGATATACAGGGTAAGTAAAGAGCTAAGCTATATCCCAGATATACAGAATTAGTATAGAGCCAAGCTATATACCAGATATACAGAGTTAATTATATAGCTATATCCTAGATATACAGGGTTAGTATAGAGCCGAGCTATATACCAGATATACAGAGTTAATTATATAGCTATATCCTAGATATACAGGGTTAGTAAAGAGCTGAGCTATATCCCAGATATACAGAATTAGTATAGAGCCAAGCTATATACCAGATATACATGGTTAATATATAACTATATCCCAGATATACAGGGTTAGTAAAGAGCTGAGCTATGTCCCAGATATACAGAATTAGCATAGAGCTGAGCTATATACCAGATATACAGGGTTAATTATATAGCTATATCCTAGATATACAGGGTTAGTATAGAGCCGAGCTATATCCTAGATATACAGGGTTAGTATAGAGCCAAGCTATATCCTAGATATACAGGGTTAGTATATAACTATATCCTAGATATACAGGGTTAGTAAAGCGCTGAGCTATATTCTAAATTTATATTGGTTGTTTATTGAGATGCATAATATTTGACTCCTAACAGCTGTATTTCTTCCTATCTTTAGCCCCAAGTGTCGGATTTTGCAGCTGAAGAAAGAGAAGCTGGAATACATCCCTCGAGACCATGAGTATGGTCTGCTGCCAGCCCCAATTCATATTGGTGAGTATGTACAGAGCTTTCTAGGAGTAGCAGATGGATACCTTCTATTACTTCCTTTTAAATGTTTTGGGGATACCTCCATGTCATCCCAGTCTAAAATAGGGTGCTTTTGAGGTATTCAGGTTTGTTAGGATACCTCTAAGCCCTCCCAGTCTGTCAGGAGATTGCCCCAATTCTCTCAGGTCTCAGAGAGTGCCCCTGATTCCTTTAGGTCTGTCAGAGAAAAGCCTCTTCATACCATAAGCTCATCAGAGGGATGTATTTTGACACCTTTCTATCTAACAGGTGAATTTTTCTTCACTCCTCTCCAGGCTAGGAGAGCTTTACCCTTCAAACCTTTTCGGGTCTAGCAGAGTGATGCCTCTCAATCTTTTTCCAGTGTAGCAGAGTATTAGACCTCTGTCCGGACGAGCAGAAAGATTACCCTCTGCCCTTTCCAGGAGAGGGATTACCCTCCATTTTTTCCAGGACAAGGATTACTCTCCATCTTTCCCAGAACAGGAACTACTCTCTGAACTTTCTTGCAGAGGGATTATCCTCGGTCCGGCCTGGCAGAGGTATTACCCTCGGCCGGCCTGGCAGAGGTATTACCCTCGGCCGGCCTGTCAGTGAAATTACCTACCGACCGGCCTGGCTGAGGATTACCTTCCGACCGGCCTGGCTGGGGAATTACTTTCCGACCGGCCTGGCTGAGGAATTGCCTTCCTACCGGCCTGGCTGAGGAATTGCCTTCCTACCGGCCTGGCTGAGGAATTGCCTTCCTACCGGCCTGGCTGAGGAATTGCCTTCCGACCGGCCTGGCTGAGGAATTGCCTTCCGACCGGCCTGGCTGAGGAATTGCCTTCCGACCTGCCTGGCAGAGGAATTGCCCTCGCCACGGTCTATCAGAGAGATTACACTCGGTCCTGTCTGGCTCAGGAATTATCCTCAGTCCTGTCTGGCAGAGAGATTATCCTTGGTCTGGTCTGTCAGAAGAATGCCTCTTGATCCCTTCTGATCTAGTAGTGGGTTAGCCCTGTACACAGGTAGTCAATTTTAAAGTCTTAGAATAGGCTCCTCCTTTGTGCACACAAGGAGTCAGTTACTGTTACTGCGCTCTGTACGGAATAACCCCTCATGAATGACTGAGGGGAAGGTTTATACAGACACTGGATCCCTGCCATGACTTGTGAATGAGGCTTTTGTTTTACACAGTGAGGTCATCACAGAGAAAGCTAATTCCCAGCAGATTGAGCCGTTTCCTGGAACTTGTCAAGAAATGAAACTCAGAAAATGTAGACAAACTGTGAGTTAGTTGTAAGAAAATATTTTTCCGCTGGAGGCTGAAGTCCTGATATTGAGCTCCCGTCTAGGGAGGCAAAGCTTCTTTTACAGAGTGCTTTGCATTTTGTGGATTTCTCAGGTTGCCATTTCATTAACAAAATATAATCAGGCTGTTAAAGGCGGCAAGGAAACGCGTACTTAGAGATTGAGCCTTTAAATGCATTACATATATTAAATGAGGCACTTTACACCTGAAGATATGTTTTGCTTTCAATTAAGTAATATATGGATAGTTCATACCTAGTCGGCCTGTATTGTATCTCTCAGGATGAGCAAAATTGTTGGGAGTTAAGGATGGGTGTCACATGTCCCATCAGAAGATCTACCTCTTCCTTTTGTCATTCTCACCTCTTTCCTCTATACCTATGTTGAGGTGACTAAACTTAGAGGAACACTCCAAGCACCATAACAGCTCACTCACCATTAAGTTGTTATGGTGCATGTAGGTCCTTAGTGCCATCTTTCCTTAAGATGTTAAATAGTTTACGAACAGTTTAATCCCAAAGTTACATAGACTGCATCAACCAACTCGGCCCCACTTCTTCCAGGAAAGTCAGAGGCTTCAGTGAAGGAGACCTTGGACTGGACCCTTGTGATAGTAGCTGCTTACGGTCTCAGACTGTAACTAGCTTATCATTAGAAAAACTGCGTGTGAAAGGTACTTTGGCAGGCCTCTTAATAAACTTAATAAGTGGTTCCCTTAGTTCCTATAAATGGAATCACTTTTCTCCAATTATTATCACGTTCTGTTAATCAAACAGTAGTAGGATGTCTTATTTCTTGGATCAGGAAGATGAGGCTTGAAGGTAATTAGTAGACAGGGATGTGTTGTGTTATTAGTCTAGATCAGGAAGAAGCAGCTTAATGATTATTACTAGATAGGGATGAGTTGTGTTGGTAGTCTGGCAGGCCTATTCAATTATTAAGTGATTTTTTTTATTTTTTTTTATATTAGAGATTTTGTTGAGTTTTCATAAATGGGAAGGAGGTAAAGGGAGAGGGGATCGGTTATCGTATAATCTTGTACAGCAAAGTGCAACTGTCAGAACTGATAGGTATGGCTTGAGGCCAATAAGATGCATACATATATGCTTTGCAATAAAGAATACATACACATATGCCTTAAAGTGAAAATTTTAATTCTCGTTTTCTCCTGTGTTCCAGGGAAATATCTGAGACAGAAACGGAGTGACTTTCAGCTTCCCTATGATATCCTGTGGAGTGGAAACACAATCAGAGTAAAATTCAGTTTTTAGTTCTTGATATCCTGTGGCAGTGGAAACACAATCAGGTAAAATTAGTTTTTAGTTCTTGACCCCTATTGTTGTTTAGAGCAATATCTCACACTTTATTTTCCTGTCCCACTCACACTGATTTCACAATGCTTACAGTGTCATGACGAACTTATTCTGATTAACTTATTCCACTCATACATCTTACACACGCTTCAGAGCCTTTTCCTACTCACACTTAACTCTTAGCTGCTCTAGTATCACGTCCCATTCACCCTTTGCTCGTAGCTACACCAGTGTCTTACACTTATCTTGCAGTCATTCCACATTTGCCCCACTCACACCTACGTAATGGTCACTCCAGTGTTCTATAGCACTAACTTTCATAACATTACAGCATTCTATACAATGCTCAACTTCAACACGCAGTGATTACAGTGTACTGTACCGTGCACGCTCATTACAGTGTGCTGTCTCATTTACTCTCATCTCACAGCCACTCCACAATCACATTCCTTGATCCTGCCTCATCCTTTCACACTCATCCTGACTAATCTAGACATCCACCCACCAGCATTTTTTTGTTTTTTACATTTGTACAAAACCCGATCCCTAGATCTGTTAAAATTCCCCTCGAAACACTGCCGGATAAATGTGTTCCTTTCCTCCATAGTACAAGTTTCTCTGCTTTGCCCTCTCACTCGCTGCAGGCTTGTGACTCTTATTTTGATAACAGGCAGTTAAAGCGCAATCCTTTTTTAGTAAGGGTCTTCTGGGAATTCACATGTACAGCCAGCAGCAGCCACATTGCTGGTTAGATTTTTCTTGGCTGCTGACCAAGGGAATGGAATTTATATTTCACTTAAAAGCTGAACATCTGAGAGCATTTTAACAGTTGACTTCTTTCAGTGTTCGTGAAAATAGCCAAATATAGATTGCCCATTAATCTTGGCGGGAAGTGAGATCTGGTGTTTTCTTCGTATGAGCTCATAATTTTCTATGTGTACCTGTGTGTAGACAGGACCACCTCTTGTTCCCAGAAAATAACCCAAATATCATGATATTACACATTGGGTAACGCTGTTATATCCATTGCCCCCTCCTAAATTAACTTGCAAATAGCTCCCCTTACATAGACTCTTGTGCGTTTATTAGTTAGGCTCAAAATGACCGCACAACAAATGTAAATCACAATTAATATTCTCTCCCTTTTATTATTATTATTAATATTATTATGATGGACTGTATTGATAATACACACAATAATGAGCTTGGCCTACTAGGCCAGAAAGTAGCTTGGCCTATTAGGAGCCTCCTTCTGGACTAGAGAATCTGTTTAAACTGTTTAACACAGCACTGCAGAGGTTAAGTGTAAGGGAAGGGGAGAGCAGGGGTTTCTGGGAACTGCAATTTATGCATCACTTTTGAATACTTTTAGGTAAACTACAATACCAAGAAAGCTTTGGTGTGTTTACCAATGATGATTACTGCTAATAGTTGGTAGGGAAAGACAGAACGCCAACTATTCTATACTAACAGACTATTGTTTTGAGTTACATAGGCTGAAAAGAGTCATGTGTCTATCAATTTCAGCCTTTCTCACTTTTTTTTTTGCGATTTGATCCAATAGAAAAAGCATTTTTTGAAGCACTTACAATTTTTAAACAAACTAGGGAAAAAAATCCTTATTTACCCCAGACGGCAGTCAGATTTATCATTGGATCAAGAAGCTTTTACCCCACAATTTAAGAATGATATCCCTGAATATTATGTTAAGTATGCAAAACATAAAAAACATCTGTGCTTATATACTCATTTCTTTGTAGTTGTACAAAAAGCCTGATGTACCTCTCTACAAGAAAATCCGTTCAAGTAAGTAATATTTATTTAAAGTCTACATCTCTTGTTAAAATCACAATTACTATCTATTTGTTCTGTGTGTCAAGCAACATCTTCTGTTTTTTCTATGTCCGATGTAATATCCTCAGTTGTGTATGCTCTGCCCCATGTAATATCTTCATTTAAATATCCTGTACCCCAGGGCTTAACAAATTCCAAACGCCAGGTCACCATGGCGACTAGAAATTTTGCCCAGGCGCCTGGGATTTGTCAGTCTTTTACCTAAAGTGCCTAGCTGGGCAAACAATGGAGACAGCCGGCTGCCCGCCTGCGGGAGCATGGAGGCAGCCGGCTCAGGGAGCGTTGTAACAGTCTGTATGCAGGCGGCCGGCTAAGGAAACGCTTTATAGCCAGCCGCCCTGGGCTGTATGGATGCGGCCAGCTCAGGGAGCAGGAATATGATGTCATTTCCGCCCCGGCATCACTGCAGACAGTGTGAGGGAGCTGCAGGAGACCCCAGGGAAAGTCCACTCAGCTCTCCCAAAGGTAGGGATGCTGGGTGGATTAGAATTAAAAATATAAATTTGTGAGTGTTCGAGAAAGTGTGTGTGTGCATATGTCTGTCAGAGAGTGTGTGTCTGTTTAGGTACCTGCCCCCGTCCGATCACATGATTGGTGTTTTTACTCACCTTTTTTACCACGCCGTGCTGGTTTCGACATTACTTGTCCCACTTCCATAGCTGAGATCTTAATGATCTCAGGTAAGCCAATGCTTTCCCATAGGAAAGCATTGGGAGGATATTACACATGTTCTCTATGGGTAACATTCAGCGCCTCCATGCAGAGCACTTACACGACTCTCTAGTGGCCGTCTGAGTAACTGTCACTGGAGGTCTTAGTAGGCAGCAATGTAAATGCTGCCTTTTCTATGAAAAGGCAGCGTTTACATTGAAAAGGCTACAGGGACATGCTATAGGCACCACAACAACTACATTAATCTGTAGTGGTTCTGGTGACTATAATGTCCTTTAACCCCTTAAGGACCAAACTTCTGGAATAAAAGGGAATCATGACATGTTATGTGTCTTTAAGGGGTTAAAAAAAAAAACTGGCTCCTAACTTTTTTTAACTGGCTCCTAGATTCCAAAAAATGTATCAACCCCTGCTGTACCCCATTTGAAATTACCTACTTTGTAATCTCACCCAGTGGAATATCCCCTACTATTTTTCTTCTACCCGTATAATGGTCTCTGTTTAATATTTTGGATAAGATTTTTTAAATAATTACCCATATAATATCCCTGCTTTTTATTCTCTGCCCAGATAATATCCCTGCTGTTTATTATCTACCCGTGTAATATCCCTGCTGTTTATTATCTACCCATATAATATCCCTGCTGTTTATTATCTACCCATATAATATACCTGCTGTTTATTATCTAACCATATAATATCCCTGCTGTTTATTCTCTATCCATATAATATCCCTGCTTACTATTCTCTTCCCATATAATATTACTGCTTTTTATTCTCTTCCCATATAATATCCCTGCTGTTTATTCTCTACCCATATAATATCCCTGCTGTTTATTCTCTACCCATATAATATCCCTGCTGTTTATTCTCTAGCCATATACTATCCCTGCTGTGTATTCTCTTTCCAGATAATATCCCTGCTTACTATTCTCTAAACAAGTTGTAAAGTTTAATTAGAAAATTAACCCCTAGTGGTTGAATACAGCAGAAAGGAAATTAAGAGTGCTTTGTAAAACCTGTAACAAAACAAATCTACATTAGAGGCATACATGTAGCAGCTGTTGAGATTTAAAGGTATATACCTCTTTTGTAATGGAATATTCTCTGGACACTCACATATGAGTGAATCTCCTGAGTATAGATACTTAGAAGAAGTAAGGAATGACCCTTGATAACAGGCATATTATAAATATCAGTAACTGAATGGCACACTTTAAGAACATGTAGCAGCAGTGTTTATCTACTGTGTGTTTTACTTCAGAATCCCCTGAGATATATATATTTTATATTTTAGTACATTTACAATTTTTAATTTGTGGTACCTTTTAAAAGGAATTTTTAGTACTCTATTTTACGTCAAACAAATATTGATTTGTTGATTGGAGTAATATCCAGAATATTCATCAGTCTTCCTCATATGGAATAGACGAAATTATAAAGAAGTGTATAAAGAAGTTAAAAACACCTATTGCACTGCAAGGTTCTCGATTGGTGGTCAAATATATATTAAGATTGTTTTTAGGAATGAAGTCAAATCTATACTTGGATTTAAATAGCTGTTGTTTAGAAGCTATCTACACCTTATCTGGTAACAAGCGTTATCATATCTAATAGCACAGGTTGCACTTTAAGGATTTTGAGGCAGTATATATCATGATATTTTTTTCTAAAGGAGGTATCTTTTAAATTTATACTCAACAGCTGATATTTGTAATGTGTTCGCTAGTAAGGGTTACTTCTCCTTCTTTCACGCTCCTATGTTCAAAGAACACCTCATACCAATAGGTGTATCCCTTCAAATATAGACTTGAATTACTGCTGGATGTATCCCTTCAAATGTAGATTTACACTGCTGCTACATGTTCTTAAAGTATGCCATTCAGTTACTGATATTTAAAATATACCTGTTATCAAGGGTCATTTCTTACTTCTTCCATGCATCTATACTGAGTAGATTCACTAATATGTGAATGCCCAGAATGTTCCATTACAAAAGGGGTATATACGGATCTATGTGCTTTATATTTTACACATTAATCTGGATCGGATACAGACTCAGTGAAAAGATATCAATTAGGACAAAGCACAGACCAAATAGAAGTGTATTTTTGCAAGGTTCCTACCTATGTTGTAACCCTTGGAGTCCTGGAGGATTTAGAAGGGGCCACTTTATTGGAACCATTAAAAGAATACTGTATACACACTGGGACAATATCTTGCTTTGCATGAACTTTATGCTGGATGACATTTCATCTAAATAAGTTCTATTTATATTTTGCTCTCCAAATTTGAGAATCATTTCCAATTTTGTGCGCTAACTCATTGTTGTAAGTATTGAATTTCTGAGTTTTTATGGTTAGGGGAAAATAGAGGATAGCGGCACAGGGTACATATAAATTAATGAGATAAAATCTTTTATATATATATATATATATATATATATATACTTCTTAAGGGAAAGTGCCTCAGATTAATATTTACTAAAATGTACTGTTTGCTCCATTTAATGCCTCTTAATTATAGCTCTCTACTCTTAATAACATTCCTTTCATTCAGTTATCTGCTTGTCTTTCTCCATTTCTGTGCTTCATGTAATTTCACACTTTCTGTTCTCTCTCTATCCATAGATCTCGCAATCCCATTATAAGTCTTTGCATATACGTACGATTCATATTATATTTGCTTATTCTCTCTGCTCATTTATTATGCTGCTCTCAGAATTGTAGCTTACTCATTTTCTGTAAGTAACATTGATTTATTTTCTTCTTAAGATGTTTATGTGGATGTCAAACCATTTTCTGGTTATGAAGCCACCACTTGCAATTGCAAGAGTCCAGAAGGTGATGAGGAACGAGGCTGCGTGGAGGATTGCCTGAACAGGTTAGTTGTATGCAGCACAGTTTCTTAAATCTCTTTCACGGACCGCCACAAATAAGTAAATACAGTTCCCATTTTTATTGCTGATCCCCTTAGAATCTTTTTGACTGATCTTTGATTCATAGAATGTTAATGGACCTTTACAACCAGTTAGAGAAATATTCAAATACAGAATTACCGATTGACCCACGCATCTTTCTGCTTCCCTCCTAGAATGATTTTTGCTGAGTGCTCCCCTAACACCTGCCCATGTGGGGAACATTGCGCCAACCAGAGGATCCAGAGGCACGAGTGGGTGCAGTGCTTAGAACGGTTCCGAGCAGAAGGAAAGGGATGGGGCATCCGCACCAAAGAGCCCTTAAAATCCTCACAGTTTATTATTGAATACCTTGGAGAGGTCGTCAGTGAGCAGGAATTCAGGTATCTTCTAATGGGGTTTCAAGTTCCCTCTATTGAGTTAGAACATGTCCACAGGACGCTGCAGCCCCTGCACTTGACAACCTTGTGGTCCCACAGTTTGTACTGTGATGCTCACAGTTGCATATTGGGCTGCTCTTGACTCTTCCAGGTATGGTTTTGGATTGGTCTTTTTCAGACCAGTTTGACTCATTAATTTCATTAGGGACGGGTGCCCTTCTGGTTATATACTTTATTTCCACATGCCTCTCTCATGGTGCATTTGGATTTTAGTACTTCTCGAGCATAGAGGTTCTCCTGTTATACGTGATCCTCCCATGTCTAACAAAGCACTTGCGTATATCATGACAACTCATTGGTTATAACATTTATTAGTTCTTTATCAGTATTTACTTGTCTTCTCCTCCAAATCACAAATTTTAAGACCTTATGGTACAAAAAGCTGCTCTATTATAAGTCCAGGACATCCATTTCAGGAACTGGATGTCTCCTTCTTGGAGCTATAGACACTACTCTCCAAACTGCTTTGCTAATACTACTGAGGATAACACTGTCTAAATGCCTGTCTTTATAGCAAAGGAAATCTCTCTCTTCCTCAAGATTGTTAAGGCAAGATGACGATTTATATTGCAGCTGACGGACTTTTGGCAAATGCTGAGCAAGCTCGGTTAGTCAGATAATGCACTAATTTATGCTTCAATGACCTCACATCTTTGTAGGCCCCAAGTGTGGCATTACAGCATTAACGAGACTTGACAAACATATTCTTCAGAAACTCTGACCCCAGATCTATCGCCTTTGATGATCTGGGAAGACCACAAATGTCTCTTCAGATTGAGCAGCGATGAAAATCAATAAAAATAAAAACTGTGTATGAACAGGGACCAAACGTTAAACTCACTGCGTGGAAATAATTCACAGCACTGCCATTTCACATTCATATAACTGGAACTTCTCCAGTGGGTTTCTCATTCTTTTCTGAGACTTGTTTTATTTTCGTTTTAGAATTATAATATATAGTTCTGTAATTTGCAATCACAAACAGAGGGGAAAGTCTGTAGAGTTTAAACTTGATCACTATTTTACCCTTACCATTGAGAAGACACAGGCCGTACAATTGCCTATTATTATGGAAGAATTGTAATAATGACTCACTCTTATCATAAAGTCAAAGGAGTGATGAACAAAAGTAAGTTTACGTGGGAGCTCTGTTTAGGGGGTCCACATCCCACCAGGAACAGCAAAAAATAGAGGTCCACAGGCGTCACAACATAGGGTGAAGGCAAAAAAAAATATCAATTGGAGATCAGAAAGGACAAAAAAAGGACGATTAAGGCCTCTAGACCAAAACATTATATCTTTTTTTTTTTTTTTTTTTCCTATCTAAATATATCTTTTTTTTCCATCACCACATGTTGTGATGCCTGTGGACCTGTATTTTTACTCTGATCAACATAATCAATACAGTATGCTGTAGTGGTAATGTTACCTAGAGTATCCTGGTGCCGCCCTACAGTTTAATGTTAAGATTTTGACTGTCCCTAAGGCATGCGTAAGGATTAATGGTGCCCTTACATCACCCATACAAATAGCACAAGGCAGTGTAACTATTAGTACCCGTACTAAGTAGTACCACACTTTTCTCATGGGAGAACAAGAATAGGTCTCTTCTAATCAAATTTAATGTGTTTTCAACTTTATTTTCTTTTATCTGACCTAAAACGGAACACCCAAAAGTCAGAGATTTGGAATGTTGTTTTTTTTTTTATTTATTAAAGCAAACTTGGTCTAACTTACAGAAAAATACCAAAAGAGGGAGGTGGTTATGGATTCATATCTGGTTTTCTGATTTTTATTTGCAGATTTACAAATGCACATCTGGAGTTAAGCTGGTACTGTGATTTTTATTTCAGCTAAATTAAATTCCAGACTGACACAGTCCCCCTTTTATTTGCAGGAATAGGATGATTGAACAATATCACAACCACAATGATCACTACTGTCTGAGTCTAGACAGTGGGATGGTGATTGACAGCTACCGTATGGGTAACGAGGCTCGATTTATAAACCACAGCTGTGACCCCAACTGCGAAATGCAGAAATGGTAAGAATTTCACGTTGCATCTCATATTCATCCTACCTGGTCCGCTCTCTTAGCTACACCTTTTTACTTCATGACCTTACCACTCCTTGTCTGAGTTCTTATACAACTCCATTTCATCTCAACTGTTTGTCCTTTGAACCTCTTTTGTTTCTACACAATCTCTTATGTGAACTTTTCTCTAACTTCCTTTCATCCACTCTATTTTCATCCCATGTCTCTCATGTAGTTCTTCTGTCTGTGTTCTTTTGTTTGCAATTTTCGTCTTACATTTCTGTCTCTTCGTCCCAGTCCTGCTTCTTCCTATTCCCCATCTGAGCATAATCCTACCTCCTCACATTCCTCAACTGAGCCTATTCCTACCTCATCACATCCCTCAATTGAGCCTAATCCTACCTTATCACATTCATCAACTGAGTCTAATCCTACTTTATCACATTCCTCAACTGAGCCTAATCCTACCTTATCACATTCTCAATTGAGCCTAATCCTACCTTATCACATTCCTCAACTGAGTCTAATCCTGCTTTATCACATTCCTCAATTGAGCCTAATCCTACTTTATCACATTCCTCAACTGAGCTTAATCCTACTTTATCACATCCCTCAACTGAGTCTAATCCTACCTTATCACATTCCTCAACTGAGCCTATTCCTACCTTATCACATTCCTCAATTGAGCCTAATCCTACTTTATCACATCCCTCAACTGAGTCTAATCCTACCTTATCACATTCCTCAACTGAGCCTAATCCTACTTTATCACATTCCTCAACTGAGCCTAATCCTACTTTATCACATCCCTCAACTGAGCCTAATCCTACTTTATCACATCCCTCAATTGAGCCTAATCCTACTTTATCACATTCCTCAATTGAGCCTAATCCTACATTATCACATCCCTCAACTGATCTTAATCCTACCTCATCACATTACATACCTACACCTAATTCTGCCCTGTTCCATTCTTTACCTGCACCTAATCCTGATCATCCCATTACTTACTTCATAGTTGCCAACATTTGAAAAACATTTCCAGGAACACTTTGCATCACAGCTATAATTTGGTACCTTAAAATATTACCACACCCAGTGCCGCAAAGCTCTGCCCACCATGTCCGACCCACATAATTTATCTCCGCCTACTTATAGTACAGATTATAGGGTCTACTCAATAAAGAAAGAATTACAGGGAATTGAGATGGTACTTTTAAATTTAAGGCCTAAGTAGCAGAGTTGGAAAAATTCTCCCATTCAGCTGCACTATATCAACCTAAAGTTTGACATTCCCATCACAATTCCATGCAATTCTCTCTTTATTGAGTAGACCTTTATAACACCATGCATCCTTGGTATGTGATATATATATATTCACAGCACAGCATCTATATCAAGCAGGTACATTTTATTACTTGAAGGTGAGTTGGGTATCACTGACAGTACAAATATAGAAAGACTTTGTGCAGATGTACTTCAGTCAGAGAGTTGTGTCTACACCATAGAACATACATTAGTGCACAAAAATAATTATATTGGGGAGTGAATATAGTAGAAAAAAAAGCTCAAAATAGGAAATGAAAGCTATTAAAGGAGAATGTACAGAATGGAATTAAAGAGAGAAATGGGAGCAAAAGGAAAACATATGCACCCATTCCATTAGCCCCTTTTCATGCCACCAATTCAACATGTTAAATGTCTCAGATTGAGGCTTCAGTCACCACTCCACTGCCTCTGATTCTTCTAGTTCCTGGAGTCTGCGAGTATTATACAGAGAGCAGCACTATACAGGGAGCACGGACTATTCTGGGATTTTATACAGACAGACCTGTACTATACAGAGAGCAGCACTATACAGGGAGCACTGACTATTCTGGCATATTATACACACAGACCTGTGTAATACAGAGAGCAGCACTATACAGGGAGCACTGACTATTCTGGGATATTATACACACAGACCTGTATTATACAGAGAGCAGCACTATACAGGGAGCACTGACTATTCTGGGATATTATACAGAGAGCAGCACTATACAGAGAGCACTGACTGTACCTGGATATTATGCACACAGACCTGTGTTATACAGAGAGCAGCACTATACAGGGAGCACTGACGGTACCAGGATATTATGCACACAGACCTGTATTATCAATAAATTATCAATAAAATAAGCTTATAATTATTGGTACCTCCAACAAATGCAATACATACATACAATACATAAACACAGACTGCTGGGGTGGAACCTGACCGCTGATCAGATCAGACGTGCTTCGTCTGAGCTCCCGCATCTGAACCTGAAAATCGGTACTAACAGAGCCACAAGCAGAGACAGACCCACATCAGAGACCAAAATACTCTCCAGCCAACAGTGTACGTGGAGATACCACATATGACTCGGCACGGCATCGCAGGCACCCAATCTTGAGCTGGGACGAGACGGCTGCTCTCCCTGGTCTCCGACCACCGACTAGCTGTTCCCAATCCCCCACTTTCCCCTTTGGACTGGTGGGGGTTATCCCATTCCCCATGGGTGACCGCAACTGCTTCCAGCCAGGCCCAAGCACCTACTAAGCGATAGAACACAGACCGGGCAGTTCACCATAAGATGGCCGACACTCTGCAGCCACATGCTCAGCTCACTGGTGAGTTAAAGCAGACTGCACAGGAGATAACACTGCAGCGCCTGATTACAGCACTAGACAGCCTCTGGGAAGAGCCAGATGTACCGGCTATAGAAAGCGAGTGGAGGAGAGAAGGGCGGGAAAAGAGCCAGTCCACCCTGGGCACTCCTTATCAGGCACATATACCACATCACATGAAGAGCCCACTCGGAAGACCAAAGGGGAGTCATCCCCGGAGCACCGGCAAGGAGGACCCGATGCCACAGACGGCGACCCCCTGAAAGGGAAGAACTCGGCTGATGCCTGAGGCTGTGGGAAGGACCGGCCTGAACTCTGCCCCTTGCTGCCACTCAACCCCCTAAGCCTGCTACCAAGCCGGGGTATTGGCTGATTTGGGACTTACACCACAAGTATGATATGCTGGACTGTCGTCCCCCCTCTCCCCTCCTATATCAAACATACCAGCTTTACACGCAGACACACACACGATCACCTCCATAGTAAACTCAGAGGCTACCAACAAGTTGTGCACACCCGCAGGTCGTAGCTAATCCGGCATAACAGGGCACACGGCAGACACAAGCAAAACCACACAGCTGGCACTACCACACACTGTCTTTGACAGATGTAATCACACTGAAGCACCCAGCTCCATACCGGTCTGGGGAAGTAACTGCCGACCGGCACCACATACTCACACACCAAGTGCTGGAAACCCGTGGATTTATAGCCTAAACACGGAGCTTAAGCTACCATAACGCAATCCTGCTCCTATGCCCCTAGCCTGAAATACTCAGCATCTCACTATATCTACTATTGGTAATCCTTTCCTAGATCATAGTGAGCAGATTGGTCGACAGTACTAGTCTACCGATAACAGCATGTTTAAGCAAACACAAGCTCCTAAGTATCACTCAACGTGATTTATGCTTTATATTATAAAATGGTGCATGATTCAACTAATACCCCAATTGTAAAACCTGCTAATGAGTCTGAGGACTGCCGTTGGGTCACCTCTGGCATGTATGTAATGTTCAACTGCACTGCAAAAAAAAAAGACAGACTGCTGAATACGCTCACACACAGACTGCCGAGTACACACAGGCTGCTGAATACACACACACAAACACATGCAGAGTGCTGAATACATACAGACTGCTGAATATACACACACTGCTGAATACACACAGGGTACTGCTGTGTGTGTGTTTTGTGTGTGTGTGATGTTGTGCTTTATGTCAGTGGTACTGTGTGTGTGTCAGGGGTGCTGTTTCATGGTGGTGGTGAGTTGTCACAAGCTCACACACACCCACACAGGCACCCCCCAGCACCTCTCCACAGACCCCAGTAGCTGTGTCCTGAATTCCCTCGGACTGTAACAAGCTGTTACAGTCCAAGGGAAAATAATAAAAGCACATGGCTCTGCAAGTTGCCGGGCCTGTCCCGGTAGAGTGAATTGCCTGGGACAGACCCCAGCTTGCTTGGACTATCCCAGCAAAAACGGGACAGTTGGCAACTATGCTTACTTGTGCCTAAATGCTGCACTTTTTCTTTTTTCCTATTTGGGAGGGGAGGGGGAAGAGGAATCTTTATTTTATTTTCATAATAGGTCACAATACAGACAAGATATGTTTAGTATTGTTGTAGAATGGAAGAGCCTTCAGTGCTCCAACATCACCAGCACAATGGGGGAACTTATTTGGGGTCAGTGATGCTAAATACTGCTTTGTTCCTCCCCTGTACTTATTTTGGTTTTCTCGTCCAATCTCTTAGACTTTTCATTATACTGACTATCGCCGGGGAGAGGTGCAATCTCTCTGATTTTTCTCTCTTAATTTGTGCACTTCTTTTTTAAATGTATTGTTTTTTAATTTTTTTTTTCTCAGGTCTGTAAATGGTGTATACCGCATTGGGCTATATGCATTGAAGGACATGCCTGCTGGGACTGAACTGACATATGATTACAACTTCCATTCATTCAATACAGAGAAGCAGGTGAGGGAGTAATTATGTGTTGTGACCTCTAGTGAATATTTTTGTATGTGCATACTTTTGTTGACTTTAGTCAACAGACTAGTTTCCCATAAATCATTTAAAAAAAAAAAAAAATGTTTTTTAATATATGTGTGTTTATGTAAATGTTAATGTGAACATCATGACATTACATAAATATGTGTATAGACTGCATATAAGCCCCACACATGATAAATATCAATAACAGTGTGTACAGCACCTGCAATATAGAAATTACCCTTTTAGTAGCTGGTGCTATTTACATGTGTTCTATGCTTCCCAAAACTTACAGCAACTTTGCAAGTGTGGCTTTGAGAAGTGCCGTGGGATCATTGGAGGGAAGAGTCAGCGGATGAATGGACTGACAAACAAAGCCAACCAGCTACTTTCTTCTCATAGAAGACCAGGACGCTCCAAGGAGAAGAGGAAATCGAAACACAGACTGAAGAAGAGGGTAAGTAAAATGGAGCACTCTAACTTTGGTCAAAACGCATTATGGTAACTAAGCTGGACAGCCTTTATCATTCCCTTTAAAGAGCACAACTAGATAACTGGATATTTGATAACGGCTGTGCTTGACAAAGTTTGATATATTTTTAATAGTTTCATTTACTTTGATTTGTTGGCTTGCTGGGCAAAACATGTCAATTACACTCCTGTAGGATTTTTCCATTGATACGTTTAGCCTCATGGGGCTGCCCAGAACACAGAAGTGCGGCAGAGGTAAGGGTTTTTTTTATTGTTTTTTTCCTCCACTGCTTAATTCACCACTGTGTTTCACCATGCATTTCCTGCGGTGGCGGGACACGGAAATGTCTCACTGAGTGATGGAGAACAAAGATTTTTTGAAACATAAAGTTAAGGCCACAGTGCATTGCAGGCATACCCTTTTGTGTCTATTTTAATGATTAGTGAATTGAATACAAGGTTAAGAGTAGTCTATTTCTCTGACCCCTGCTGGGCAATTAACTAGCTGCATTTTAGGGATACTGTACACACACAAGAGAACTAATTTGCAGTGTCTTTGTATACAGTGCTTTAGCATAAACTCCATTCCCACAATCCATAAATCAGTTTAGTTTGCCAGTATACTGCTCGTCATCTCAGGTCCCTTATTTATGAATAGAATGTCTTGCTTTATACTCAAACATCTTGTTCTAATCAATCATTATTGTATTTGTATCACAGAGAGGTCACCTGCCTGAGGATCGTAATGACACAGTGGGTACCCCAACCAGACTGGGCCCACAACTCCACATGAAAGCAATGTCAAATAGAGAGAGGTACAAAACCAGCTCCTCTTACTCACCATTAACTGTAGCTCATACCTTACCTCTGACTTCCATCTTTCTAATCCTCCATCCCGTCGCACTATTCTTTTTCACCAATCTTTAACAGCTTTATTTTGCACGTTGCTCTGTACTTTATATCACCTGCACTGACCACTGCTTGATGCACACTCCCTGTGTATATAAACTCTGTCCCTGCTTCATTTGTTATATTAATTTTAATCCTACCTGATCTTCATTTCCTGAGTTATGTATAATCTTTGAACCACATGCCTTTTTTTATATTATCTCGTGCTCCCTTATTGATTTGCCTTAGACACCCTTACTTCTATTCGTATCAAGCTGTCCCTTCTTTTACCTGTCTACCCTGCTTTCCATTTTGCACTCACCATGGACTTTCTGCATTTTTCTCTCACCCTGCTTTACCTCCCCCTTGTGTTATATTACCACTCGCCCTATAATATCTTCTCATTTTTACTTTTCCAGAAATTTTGTGCTGAAACACCGAGTTTTCCTGGTGAGAAACTGGGAGAAGATCCGACAAAGACACGAAGAAGGAGTTAAGAATGACTTACATCCAGGATCCCTGTACACCCGCTGGAATGGCATCTGCAGGGATGATGGCAACATCAAGTCTGGTGAGAAATTATCATGAACCTAGAGCAGGGCTAGGCAACCTTCTGCACTCCAGACGTTATGGACTACATCTACCATAAGGCTTTTACTGCCATACACCAATGCATCAGGGGAGAGGTAGTCCACAAAATCTGGAGTACCAAAGGTTGCCTACCCCTGACTTAGCGGGTTATCCTCAGCTGAACATAGACCAGCTGCTTAACAACGGCAAAGTAGGTGGAAGGGCATATTACTGCACTTAGAGTGGCCACTCTTAATATAAATAGGAAATATCAGTGCTAGGAGAACCTAAATAATAAGGCCTAGCTAGAACAAACTCAAGGACAATAACAAAACCAGAAATCAGAAACAAGACTAGCCGGATAAAAACCCAACAAGGACTGTAACTGTGCTTTAGAGCCATGAAACTAAAATTGGTACTGGTCTAAAGAACAGATGGATCTAAATTGGACCAGGCCCTGACATCACACCTGCGTCAACTCGTGCATGCCCTGTGTGGCAAAAAAGATGCAAAGTTAAAGGACTCAAAAGTAAATAACATTTTCCAGTTGTCGCAGCTCATGTCCTTTAGGAATAAAATAGGTTGAAAAAGCAGGAGAATGTAGCATGGGTAGCGTTTTCAGATGGCAAGCTGGAGTGACTGCAGACATTAAACATTGTAAGATTTAATTGACACAAGTGCTTGATTTTTCCCCCAATGTCATCATTTGCTGCTTTAATCTATGGCTTCTAGGAGCAGGCATTTCTGTTTGTTAAAGTGAAATGATGAAGGCTGTTTGGTATTGACATGTAATGTAAGTCAATGTTTATGCAACACTTTACAATACATGTTTTCACAGCTTAGTTAAGAGCTTCCAGACTACCTCACCTGCGTCTACTAATAAATCAGTATTTTGATTACACTGAACAATGAGAAGTGCTCACTAGAGAAATAGGCCTTTTGTGTACATAGAAAAAGTCTTAGATCTTTGAGTTCAGCTCATGAAAAACGGGGGCAAAAACAAGTGTTGCATTTATAATTTTGTTCAGTCTATATTTTGGTTTTATATCTGGTTTTATCTTCTCCTAAATTTTGTTTCCTATTTAATTTTTTTCAGATGTGTTTATGACACAGTTTGCTGCCTTGCAAACCTCCCGCTCAGTCCGCACCAGACGCCTGGCAGCGGCAGAAGAGAACATCGAGGTAGCAAGGGCAGCTCGTCTGGCACAGATCTTCAAAGAGATTTGCGATGGCATTATCTGCTACAAAGGTGTGTGCAGCAAATCTGTTGAAGGAAGTTTGCTGTCCACAATGCACAATGGAGGTTTTCAAACTCTTGATTTACTGTGAACTATGAGACTAAGCAGCTGATGCTCATTGTGTGTTGTTGTGTTGTACATTTAATATTCTTGGCCTCATCAAACATTGATCCTTGGGATTTTTTTCCTCTACAGATTCCTCCAATCAGAACCTTGCAACACCTCTTCTCAGTCTTCCAGCCAAGAAAAAGTAAGTAAAACTAGAACCAGAGATAATTCAGAGCATTTCCACTTGGGAAGAGGCCGTGAAGTAAGAAGGTCATTTTCTCCTGGAGGGAAGCTGAGGGGTAACTGATAGGTGCTTTACATGTGAAGGAACAGAGTGGTAATCTTCTTCTAATGTTTTTTAGGAATAGTTTAGTGTAATTGGCATTAGTGTTCCTTGGGAAGAAACAAGGAGGGTAATTAGGATCAATGTGTCTTAGGAAGAGACAGAGTGTTAAGCAGGGTGAGTGTTTCCTAAGAAGAATAACAGTGGTAATGGGTCAAAGCCTCCCTCAAGAACAAGCAGAAGGGTAACTAGGGAACTCTACAACAGAAAGAGACAGAGGGGTAGTTGAGGTAATCTCTCCAAAAGTGAACTTACACGTGTCTTTTTCATCTTAAAGAAACCCTTATTACTATGAGAAAGTCTCAGACCCACTGGATTTGCTCACAATTGAGAAGCAGATCCTCACTGGATACTACAAGACTGTGGAAGCCTTTGATACAGACATGCTAAAGGTTTTTCGCAATGCAGAGGTTAGTCTGTCTGGGGAATTTCTCCTGGTGGTCACCCTGTATGGCTGTGTTTCAGGAAATCAACAAATACCTTTTAATTTTTTCAGAAATATCATGGCAGGAAGTCTCAGATCGGTAGAGATGTTTGCAAACTGCGGAAGGCATACTATAACGCCCGGCACGAGTCGTCTGCCCAGATTGATGAGATAGTTGGCGAGACTGCTAGTGAAGCTGACAGCAGTGAGGCTTCACTCTGCGACAAAGATGGCAACCACGAAAAGGATGATGATATAATTAGATGTATCTGTGGTCTCTACAAGGATGAGGGGCTAATGATTCAGTGTGAGAAATGCATGGTAAGGATGCCCTAGAATTTGGGTATGCTGACATTATACTCACTATTGGCCAGCACTCTGTTATCTGGATACAGGGAATGTCTTTAGTTAGTTTATGTGAGAGATTATGGTGACCTTTATCAACTGCATCATGGATTTTGCCTTGAAAAATAGTTTATGGTTTGAGAACATAGTTGACTTCTACTGGTAGAACACCAGGCTGCTTTTATAGTACAGGTTTTAGTGTTTTGGAGTACGAATTTTACTAAACGGGTCGGGAAAAGTTATGATATTATTATGTAATTGCCAGAGACCTGATTTTACAGTGTTTGGCTCTTTTGATTTCACTATTCAGGGACCCGATGGGAGAGTCCTCATTTTACAGTGCAGCCATCCTAATATTCCATCAGGTTGGGTGAAGCAGTCTGAAACTTTCTGGATTGGTTAATAGTCGTTATATTAAAGAATATGGAGTCCTTATCTTTATAGCAGAGTTGAGGGGTGTAAAAGGGACGTCAGAGTTTTGAGTATACTGACAGTATTTTGTGCTATACTTGTGGTATATGCTTTATTTAAGTTTGCCCATCTATCCTTGTGTGGATGAGTTTGGATAAAGAAGATGACGGATTTACCAAGTGACAGCATAGTAGTAGTTATTTTACTGTATGGATGCAGAGTGGCCTTCGGTGTCTTAGTTTTGGGGCTAATTAAATGCAGCGTAACTGCGTGAATTAATGACATATGGTGTGCTTACTTTTCAGGTTTGGCAGCATTGTGACTGTATGGGGGTAACCTCGGATGTTGAACACTATCTGTGTGAACAGTGCGACCCTAGGCCTGTGGTTCGGGTACGTGATTATCTGGTACATTTGATCCAAACACATCATGGCATGAACCTGTTCTGATATTTAATTACATTGGATGCAGATTACACACTTTGAGCCTGTCCTGATTTTGTGAAATCTGGTCTTAAGCCTTATTTCAGATCCACCTGTGTGAAGCCAGCCTAGAACCCTTGTGGGGCAGGTTAATAACATATATCTAAAGTTCTCATATCTTGGCTATGTTTTACAGGAGGTCCCCATGATTCCCTGCCCTCATTACGCACAGCCTGGTTTTGTTTACTTCATCTGTTTGCTGAGAGATGAACTGTTACTACGTCAAGGTGACTGTATATAGAGTTTGTCTAGATACCCGTGTGTACTGCCATGTAAATAATCTTCATGTGTTTATATTAACCAATAGCGGTCTATGCATTCCATACTTTATCCATACTTTGGTTAAAGTGTGGAGTTATTAAACCTGTATGCTGTATATTGTTACACTATTTTTTATACCCATACGTGGGAGAATAATACTTTTTTATATTGGATCTCTGCTTTGCTGCTTTTTATCTATAGCTATGTGGATATTTAGCAGTAATTGAATGCATTTGTGGTTATTAAACTGTATCTATGCTTGTGAGTCTGGATTTTTAGCTATAACAATATGTGTGTGTGGATATTTAGTTATGAGTATCTGTATTCTGCCTACTACATTGCAGGTTGTACTTTTTTTTTTGTACAGGTGACTGTGTGTACCTGATGAGGGACAGCCGCAGGACTCCAGACGGACAGCCAGTGCGACAGTCTTATAGGCTCCTTTCTCACATAAACCGAGAGAAACTGGACATCTTCCGTATTGAGAAGCTGTGGAAAAATGAAAAGTACTTTTTCTTAAGATTAAATATTAAGTTACTGGTAAATAATGCACAAGAAATTCTTGATCTAATATTGTACTCTGTTTTGGTTTTTTTCTCCCTAGGGGAGAACGTTTTGCATTTGGCCACCATTACTTCCGGCCACATGAGACGCATCACTCACCCTCTCGTAGGTTTTACCACAATGAGCTCTTCCGAGTGCCGCTGTATGAGATCATTCCACTGGAAGCTGTGGTTGGCACATGCTGTGTCTTGGACCTGTATACTTACTGCAAAGGTGAGCTATACCTAAATCAAAATTCAAGTGAATTTGCAACTGTTCACCTGTATATAGCAATCTCTTTCTCTGTCTGTTATGTAGGAAGGCCTAAAGGAGTGAAAGAACAAGATGTTTATATATGTGATTATCGTCTGGATAAATCTGCTCACCTTTTCTATAAAATTCACCGCAATCGCTTCCCTATCTGCACTAAAAGCTATGCCTTTGACCATTTCACGAAGAAACTGACCCCAAAAAGGGACTTTTCGGTAAGAATCAATGGTACAGCAAGGGAACACCTAGTGCTAATTATAATTTCTCATCCCTGACCTGATCATTGTCTTTTCTCATTTCACAGCCTCACTATGTGCCAGACAACTACAAACGTAATGGTGGTCGGTAAGTGGTTGTAATTTATTTTTATTTAATTTTTTTATTTATTGGAGACTTTGATTTCCAGGGTTTGTTAATGTGTAAATACCACGCTCTTTTTACCAAGATCGTCCTGGAAATCTGGACGCTCAAAACCGCCCACTAGGGACCTTCCACCTGAGGAGGACCCTCTCCCTCAAATGGATGATCTATTGGGAAGTGAAGAGATGCCGGTCCCTGAGGAGGCAGATCCTGATACCACCAACCTGGAGGTGCAGGAAACTCCAGTGGAAGAACATAGCCCCCTTCCCCACCACGCATGCTCTCCTCAAATCAGACAACAGGCGCAAAGAGAGAAACTTAACCAGATCCTTCTCAGGCTTCTTGAAAAGCTCCCTGGGAAAAATGGTGAGTCCCCAAGGCAGGGGATGCATATTTGTTATCTAGCGTGACTGAATAGTGCCAAGATAAAAATGTGTTCTTGCAATTGTCATTATTGATCACTATTGTGTTATTTGGTTCTCCCAATCACATGGCTAGTTACAGAGTTTTGCGTTAAGACTTTTGAATACATTTATTAAGGAATTTGTGCATTCTCCCTAGGTATCACTTGAAATACAATCTTAGTCCCCACAGCAGGTAAAAATTGAGATGGACAAATTGCTGTTAATTTTGTAGATAACAGAGCTTCTTGAACCTGTATTCAGTGGGGTGGTTGCAACGTGCATGCTCACTCCTGATGCATTGTGGGTAGCATGCATGCTCACGATTTCTTACACAGCAGAGAGGAAGTTTTCGTATTTACATGGAAACCAGCAATACATTGGTCATGTAGTGTAAATAGTAATGCAGTAGTAAATGATGTTTTCATGTCTGTTTTGGTCTCCCAGCTATTGATGTGACATATCTCCTGGAGGAGGGCCCATGCAGGAAGCTGCGGCGACGCACCCTTACACTTCCAGAGTGCATCTTTAAGAAGTGATGGGATAAACAGAGACTGCCAGTCTGATGAAAGAAAAGTAGAAGGGCTCACCAGCCCTGAACGAGTGAACAGGGGACAGTCTGTATAATCCGTGTCTTTGAGTACAGACCTGGAGCACTTACACAGTATTCGGTTTATCCTTTTGCCCCAGGTGGAAACTGAGTTTACTATTATTGGATGCAGGCATGAGCAGCCTCCCACACAGGGATTTAGCACTTACCTCTGGAAGGAGATTGCGCAGATGGAATTTATTTTAATTTAATTTTTTTTGGTACTGGTTCTTTTCAGATGATTTGATTTTAAGCTTTTGCCCTGCAGGTCCATTCATGCTGTGTGCACACTGTGCTACTTTTTGACTCTGCACTTTCCTGCAGTCTCTGTGCGCCCTGCACTCACATCGTTCAGCCACTCTGTGTGCGCTGTTTATTTCCCTTAGCTTTCATACACTCCTGGTAAAGCTGTCAGTGGTCTAAGGCTCAAGGACTCTGCTTTTTATTTAGCATTCATACAAATCAGCAGACTGTCCTCGAGGTCTTGTAATTTAGTGCATGATGAATCTGCAGAAATGATGACGGCTCTTGTTGGCAAAAGAAAACATTGGGTGGTCAATACCTGGCCTTGAAATCTATAGCTCACCTCTCATAATTCATGGTGTCCTATACTTCAATATCAAATGTCCCTATTAAATAATTGTTTGTTACTGCTTGGCCACATTATCCGAATACATAGCATCCTCTCTCTGGTTCCATAACCTTGGCATGTGCTGCCATGTGCATCCCCCTCTATCATGTAGAATTTCTACTACTCTAGTCTGGAGTAGATTGCAAACTGTACTGTGTGCTCTTCCCATGTAGAACTAGCTCTCCCTTGAGTACTGACTGTGACCCCTGCCACTAAACAGGACTAGTACTCTCCTGCAACATGTGCCTCAACCACAGAGGAGCACCGACACTCTCCTAACCAGGCAAAAATACAGCTCCCCTGAATAGTTAACCCTTTCAGCTGATCAGGAATAGCACGCCCTGTACATTGTGCTACTTCCACCGAGTAGTAATAGTATCGCATGGAGAACACGGTACCTACCCAGGAGATATAATATAGCATCATCTTGCCATTTGGTAATAATAATATCCTGTGTTTGTCTTGTGTAATATCCTTCCACTACTTGGCAATGGCAAAGCCCTATTTGCCCTCTGCTGCCAATCAATAATTGCACTGCTCTGTATTATATGTCACTGTCCCAGACAGGTAATGCATGAGGGCACATTACACAAGGGCCTGTATGAGATATTGATGTTGTAATATGTCAAGTAGTGGGGGAGCCATATTTCTTAGTAATCCAGGTGGAGGCGCACTTCCTGATCCTGAGACATTAGAGGTGGCGGAGCTTGGTGAAGCCGTCCCACATAATATTTCCGTATTTCCTGCATCATAGTGAGACGTAGGTGTTTGGGGCAGTCATTTGCAGTATCCCATGGGAGACATGTACTTTTATCTTTTAAAAGGTATAGCAGAGAGAGGCACCATGCAAGAAGTGGAGAGACAGCTCCAGCCATCATTAGGAAAAAGCTACAGGACCCCATTGACCCCTGGGTTGATGATAGAAATCTTGATGGAGGCAAACTTAAAAATAATACAATAAAGCATAGCTTTTGAATTTTATATATCTAGAGATATATACATATATCAAAAAGTCCTTATAAAAGGAATACAGATTGTTAAATAATGTGCCAAGTTATGTGTGTATATATTATATTGCTATGTAATATATATACATGAATATATTTGTATTGGTGTGAAGCAATATTGCGACCTGTCGGTTATTACACCGGCTCATGGCGTTCTGATGTATAATACCCGTTAATGTCATTCCACGAACCCTCGCACTGCCAGGACTTGCACAATGCAGCAAATCGCAGAAAGGGTTAACTTGTTACATCTTGATTTTGAGAGAAAAAAAAAGGTAAAAATAAAATCCTTTCCAAAAGAAAATATTTTATTAAAAAAAAGAAAAGAAAAAAAAAAGGTGTTTTGAATATTTTCTTATTTTGCAAGACTGAGAGTGGTGCATTCGAGTATACAATACTCGGACTGCTTTCAAGCCACACTCCGTCTGCTGTACTTTTTTCCAGAAAAAAAAGGGATTAAAGATGAAAAAAAATATGAATTATTGTAAATTGTGTGTAACACTAAAAAGGTCATTCAAAATGGCAGGTAGAGAGAAGCAAGTCTCTGTGACATTGTGGAGAGCGCACGTATCACGCTGTGACATCAAATTAAGGAGTCAGAGGCTTAAAAAATATTTTCAGACAATCAAAGGATTTGAAGCGAGCAACGCTATAAATATATACATATATATATATTTTTATTTTTTTTCTGTGTGTGTGCCTGTGTTTGATTTAATATTCGAGGAAGATTTTTTTCCAATTGGAAATAGAATTCCTTTTTTTTTTTTTTTGCCAGTTGTTTTATAATAATAATTGAAAAGAAGGTTTATCATAAGGTTTTTAAAATTCTAGAAGCACTACACCGTACGCAGTCCTGACCCGCCTGTCTGCGTGGCCGGTGCGCTGAACACGATGCTGCTAATATGTTTCATTTTTACATGCAGAACGAAATAGATCATTGTTTTGATGTTAATCTCTGTAAATGATGTTATTACCGATTCTAGCATTGGATGTACTCTTCAATCTCAGTTACTGAGACTCTAGTATTAAATGGAAAAAATACCTGTTTTCCTACTTACCACTTGTGTTTTTGTTTTTTGTTTGTTTTTGTTTTCTTTTTTTTCCCGTCTGTGTGGAACTCGTGTTTTAAAGAGGTATAAGTTCCACATTCTCACATTTAAAAAAATAAATAAAACACACTACTGTCCTATTTTTGGCAAGTTGAAATATAAGTATCAAAGGAAATATCTGACAGTCATTCTGGGGTCAGGAATGAATTTTTTCCTAGTTTGTTGCAAAACCGGATAGACTTCATACTGTTTTTTTTTTTTTGCCTTCCTTTGGATCAACCGAAAAAACAAATGTGAGGCTGAACTTGATCGATGTCTCTCTTCGTCTATCAAACAGCATTTTCATAACCTCGCGTTAATGTTTTTTCTGGAGTTCAGTAGCCTCGGCTAACATGATTATGCAGAGTGTTGTGTATTGAAAAGTGGTGCAAAGTTGTAAAACTGGAGTAATCCCCCAATGGAATGTGTTTTCTGATCCCATTAGAATTTTATAGTGATTGCCTCACTTTTAGAACTTTGCATCACATTTCGGATCACATCACTCTGATAACTCTCCTTGTTACCTCACATGTTGCGTTTGTTCAGTCCTCCTAGCAAAAGGGATGTTCACAAAAAGCATGGTATGTTTATAACGTGTTAAAGTGACCGTTTCATACGGCTGAAGAAGTTATTAGTGCCTTCTAACATCAGAGCCACAAAAGGGCAGGTGGAATAGCTTGAGTTGCTTTATAACATGCTTTTTAAGTTTAGGTGAAACTTCTCCTTTAACCACTCTTAAGTCCTCAAACTGTTGTTACTTTGAAAAAAAAAAAATGTTCTCCTCACTACATAAATGGTGAGATAATCCGTACATTTGATTCCTTCCTTAAAAATAACTAAACATAAAAAAAAAACTTATTCTCCTAAATTGGATGAAGTTGTAAATTTTATATGTTAATTAAAACTCAAGTAACCAACAGAACCTAGGTGCATTTGATCAGTTTTAGCCTTGTATTTATGCTGTATTGTACTCCATCTTCAAAACGTTTTAGTTCAAATTTTTTTTATTTATTTTTTTGCTATTTCTTCAGCATAAGCCTGCCCCCTTAGGAGAAGAAAGTGGATGTGGGGCAGTCATGTCAGCAGCTCAGCTGAAAATGATTTCTCATTGGACCAGCTCTATACGTAGACTGTAAGTTAAGGCCAGTCATGAAGAAATTTTGTGAAAAGTTTAGGCATTGCTAAACCTAGATTTAGCACAAAACACAAACAAACTGATGTAAAGAAAAGTTTCAACATTGATGAGTGCAGAACCAAATCATCTAGCCCATTTATATTGTACTGGTGCGTTTTTTTTGTGTTGTTTTTATGTGATCTAAAAAGAACGCAGGACCCTGTGCCTCTAAACTTTGTCAAAAACCGTAAGTGAATTATCTCTGTATTCTAAATTTCTCACATTCAAACAATTGTGTCCATAAACATTTTATTTGGGGATCTCCCTCTGCTCAGCTTTGTCATACTTGTGTGTATATCTAGAGACAGATATAGATAAAAACAGCACTCCATACAGAATACAGCTACAATATCTGACCCAAGAGCTTACAATATAATCATTAATACACATCTGTTTACAATTCATTACAGCCAGTGCAGTTTGTGTATATATATTTATAATGTATACTGTAGTTATAAATATTCTAAATATACAGCCCACAATCCAAACTCCAGCTTATAGCATTTTATTGGAATGTTCTTTCTACAGAGCGTCCAGCGTTGACTCATGCCTCCCATGCAAGTGGAGTGAGGCTGATGTGTGCCCATTGCCAATGTATCATATCAGGCCCCATGTTCTACATGGTAGTTGGCAGCATGTCCATGTTTATGCTCTATCGGCGCTATATGGAAAATGTTGGTGTTTTATGGTCTATGCCAAGAGAGGGCCAGTCTCTGATAACTGGTATGAAACAGACGATAAGGACCCTTGTTAATAACGTCCGAGTGACATCTCTTTCTTGCTGGGGCCCACAGAGGTGGTTTGTGTTTGTGGCTGTCTTTGGAAGAGGTTAAAAGTGGTTTAGTATGGTGAAATACTGTCCTACATTACTTTGTTTTTTTCTTTATCTTTTTCAATGCAGTGGTTCTCACAATATTAGCGATGTGTATCCGACTGGAACAAGACCAGTGTCCTGTCCACGACGGCAGCAGATCCAGTCCTCGTCCACTGTGCTTAGAAGCTGCAGAACATCACCTTTCTTAAAGCTCAGCTGATCCTGCTCTGTGCAAGCATGATCGCACAGTGCTCGTAGAGACCTGCAAAAAATATAAACAAACACAGTGTGATCACACAGGACTCAGACAGACCCATGGGAAGAAATACCATGCTATATCACACTACACTTGTTATGGCCCTCTAGGTTGAAATGCACAGCTGATGTAGGGTCCTGCAAATAGAGATTCACCGCATGATCGCAGAGCATGCAGAAATACAACTGCTATAATGTAGCACTTACAGGAAAAGCTCATAGCAATGCTTGCACATGCTGGTACCTAGACGGATATATAGAAAAACTGCATTTTAACACGAGACTGGAAATGGAAGTGATCTTACCTTTCCTTTTTACCAGTATTCTCCTGATCGCTCTTATCCGTGTCTGGAGGTAGCCCTGTGATGTGTTCTGGTGGAGGTGGCTTCCTTATGAAATCCAATACATTCATATTGGGAGTCAACCAACTGGAGGGCCTTCTACAGAGGGGGGGACACACTAAATTACTTACTCTATCTTCTTTACAAGTACATATCATACACATTTTACAATATTATAGTTTCCTTACTCTTTCCACAAATGCACCTTGGCCATCAGAACTGTATGCTGGTTATCACCTACCTCGATTTTATTTTTCCCTTTTCCAATTCCCGATAATGAGCAGAATTTGCACCAAATAGATGTCCAAGCCTGTTTCCCCAATCCTCATTACTCTGCGGCAGAACTTCATTCTGAGCATCTGGTTTAGTGCATTTCTCTTTCTCAACCGACACAGAGCTTGATCCGTTGTCTGAAGGAGTGGGTCTGCTAGAGTGTACCTTATCTTGTTTTGATCTGGGATACTGGTTGGGCTGCACTTTGGGTTTATTGCCTTCATTCACAGTTGAAGGATCTAGTTCTGTGGGCTTAGGTCTCATGGACTCTGAGATCACAGATGAACTTGGTTCACTCTCAGGAACACCCCAATTTCTCAGTTTTATCAAAGGTGCAAAGCCAAAAGAATCCTTTTTAGAAGGAATATACATGCGTGAAGCCTGGCTAAGATGTTGCCACCAGTTAGAAGTTGAATTCACTGGAGTGTCTCTACTGGGTGAGGGTTTCTCCAGTGTCTCCTTTAGGGGGGAAGACAAGTCCTGAGGGTTATCCTTGCAAATCAACAAGGTGTCCTCTTTACTTCCTACCAAATTGTGTGCAAACTGTTCTCCCCATTGCAGGATATGCTTAAAAGATTTCCCTCCCCAGGGGTCTGATACGATATGTCCATAGCTGTGACGTTGGTGGGTATCGGGAGGGTCCTGCAGCGGCAGGTGGTGATGTTCAAACAGTAGATCCACGTGGAAGGTCAGAACAGATAGAGGTTGCAAGATCAGAAGAAGCTCCTCAAAAAGCTCGGGCTGAGAAGTAGTGGCTAGTGTCAGGAAAGCAGTGGGACCATAAACGGTTGAGTAGAGATCTGTTGGATGGAGATTGGTAAGTTGTATCTGTTTTCAATGATCGATAATACTTATACTGAGCATGGCATTCATCGCATATTGCTTCTTTTTGATTATACTCATGTACCTGTATCAATAATTCACATACAATGCAGCACTGTGGAATATGATGGCATTTTAAAAATAACACATTGCTGCTTGGGTTTTAGTCCGAACATCAGGGATCTTGGACCTGTATCTGACCACAAACCGGATCTTAAATTGACCCCCTAATGGCACTTTTCAACTTGTGTTTTCTCAAAAAATTATCTGCAGCCTATATTTGTGAACACCTAAGTGTAACTGATACAGCCTTTGGGCACTAGACTTTAGTGTTACTCACCATAGGATTGATGCAGATGTGATAGCCAAAGATCCAACTGTTTAATGCTGAGAAAAAAGGAAAAAAAAATAGTCAAATTTGGGGAATGACATTTACTGACAAAGACACTTATCTTTCATGGTATGTCCCATTCAGAAGGTACCCACTTCCTGCATGCTTCAACCCCATCACAATAGATCAAAGCCTTATCCACTCTGTGAGTGACACCCTCTTTTTCCACTTACTTTAGTAGTCCAAAAATGAAGGCATTGAACCTTCTCTGGGGATCTCGGAGTTGTGAGAAACTACTGATGGAGTGAAACAGGTTGCGTGTAGACCCTGGTGTGGAATCTAAGAGAGAAATGTATTAAGATATCTGTAAGTTATTCAACCTGTTTTCTTTCGGACAAATGTTACGAGCTCCAATGCTACTTATGGTAGAAATTCTGCATTTTGTGACCCCCGAACAAAGATGGTGCAAGTCTCACCTTGTTTAATGGAGGTCTCAACCAAATTCCACGGACTCAGCCTCCTCCTTCCAATGATCACATCTTTCTGAAAAGGCTTCAATCCATTACTCAGCAGACCATAAATGGAGGGGCACAGGCCATTTAGGAGAAGATAGCCAAGCTCGGGACTGATTTTGCTGTCACCGAGTTGAGTCTGAAAGAATGTAGAGATTACGCACTGATCACAACATATCCTCACATTGTTTCCTCCTTGCTAACTCTGACCGCCATCATCTGTTCCCAACATTTACAGGACCTTTCAACTCTCAGAAACCACATTACCCAACTCAGCAACCCCTAAGTATGTGCTCTCTTACATACCTCTACTCACTCATCTCCACCGATCCTAGCTCTACTCTGACACTCCAATATCGATATCAGTGCCCCTTAATTCTAACACCACCTTCCTCATCCCAATAGTTCTTAACACGTATACCATCTCAAGCATACTAGTGCCTCTCAATTCTCAAACTACACCCTAATCTAAAACCTTTCATCCATTTCTCTACCCTTCAAAACATTTTGCATCCAGGTCTGATCTCTCCGGTACATTTATTCATCTCCTTACCGATCAGGCAGCCCATACATCACCGCTATCTCACCTTTTGCACTTGGTTTCTGCTGCTGTTGAAATGACGGATAATGTTGTCTACAGATGAACCAATCGCAACTAACAGACCTGGTAAAACGAATAGAGAAGCACAAAGTGAGAAATCAAGTTGTTCTGATCACAAGTGTGAATCATCTTGGGCAAAAAAAATTATAAGTCACATATATATTTAATTACACCATTATAGAGATGCACACCGAAAACATTTAAATTGTACTATTTTTCATGTAATACTTCATTTTCTTTTAAATGTATATTAAAGTTCAGCAAGGGCACACATGGCACAGCAGATTAAGAAATATTGTTTTCCCCTACACTATGTTCCCTTAAGTCCATTGACGATTTTTGCTCCATATTGGATGTATAGTGCAGGGAGGTCTCTTTGTGGATTAAGAGGTTTCACTAGTGGCAGGAAATTGCATTCTTTAGAACAGTGATTGAGAGGAAGCCAAGGTGGAGGCACACAGTTCTATTACCCGTAACCACTTCCTCTCATCTGAGTGGTAATGGTGCCTGTAGCTTTCTGGGTCCATCATACAATTCAGTTTTTATACTATAACTGTTTTTAAAAGTTTAAATACTGAGTATCCCTGTCTCCTTGTAACACAGCTCCTTTTGATGCACAGGCTAATGCTTCTGCATTAGCCCAAGTAGCCATAGATGGCAGGGATTTCCTAGGATCGTCCACTGTTGGCTCTCAACTTACCACAGTTGCCCCAAGCTGGTATGAATTGGTATGTCATACTTCTAGTGAGCTCCAGGCTCCATGCGGTTCGGGAACCTCATTCAGTGTTAAAAGCTTTTCAATATTCAATTTAACACTGAACTGTAGCATGGCTTGAGAGGATGCCAGGTACATAACTACTTCAATGAGATGAAGTAGTTATTATGCCTAGCATGTCCCTTTATTGGTTTCCCAAAACATTTCAAACAGTAAATATACGAGGTCTGTCCGGAAACTATCCAGCCATGTGATATGAAAAATAGAGACCTTTATTGAAGAAGATAAATCACTTTGTTCATGCAGCCCTAGCCATGTGCTTTACACAGCCTTCCTAAAGACTACCTGTAAAGAGTCATCTAATGCAGTTCTGCAACCTTTTAGCACCCGCAGCCCAGCAAAAGGAGGAGAAATATTTCGCAGACTGGGGTCAGCCAGAAATAAAAACCAATGGCATGTGTGAGGGGTGCAGTTTCTCCTACTCATCAAGCCAGCAAGACTTTAGACCTTATCTTCTCCAAACTTTGTTGTATCACTAACACACCCCTCCCTCTCTCTGACTGCCACCTCCTAAGCGGCAATCTTATTTTGCCCCCAGCCTGACTACCCTCACATGGCACACAGACTCTGAAGAAACCTGAAATCTCTTGATCTGCAGCAGCTTCCCGCTGACATCCAACCTCTCCTTCCACCCGTCTACTACCACATGTTCTTCTATGGAAACTACCCTATAACGCTACCCTCTCAAGTACCCTGGGTAATCTATGTCCACTCACTGCCCTTAAAACTAGACGCCAGACCTGGCATATAAAATCCACCCGATACCACAAGAGGTGCTCGAGAGTGGAGGAACATTACTGAAGGAAGTCTCATAGTATGGCTGACTTACGGCACTACAAATGTATGTTGCATTCCTACAGCAGGCCCTCACTCTTACAAAACAAACATATTTCACTTTCCTCATCTCCACCTTCTCGTGTGATCCCAAACCTTTAATTCACTAATGCACCCCATGTCATCTCTACCACCTACTAATCTCACTGTTGTTAATTTTGCATCTTATTTCACAGGAAATATTTTACACATGCAAAAAGAAATTGCTTTGTTTCTCCCTGTCTCTGTAGTCTTTCGAAAGAAAATCCTTAAAAACACACTTCTTTAGGGAGCCTATTCTATTTGCCCCCTTAAAGGAACTCAATAGGCACCCAGACCACTCCATCTCAATGAAGTGGTCTGGGAGCCATATCCCCCCACCACCCTCAATTTTAACCCTGCAGTTCAAAACATTGCCAGTCAGCAGGAACTGCAATGTTTTCAAGACAAGGTTCAAAGCCTGTAATGGCTGTCACTCAGACAGCCACTCGAGGCACTTCTGAAGACATAGCAGAGTAAAACACTGCTATTTCTAGCGCAGCATAGCTTTTTGCCATGCATGCGCACTATCCTCCCCATGCTTTCTTATAGATAGCGTTGCTAAGATCATCAATCTCAATGATCTCAGCCAAACAGGTGGAGCAGGTCCCTTTCAGCAGGGGTCATGTTACCTAGACAGTGACTAGGGCACTATAGCATTACAAATACGTATTTGTATTTCTAACGCTATACTGTTCCTTTAACTCCTCCTTCCTGATAATCTTACTCTGCTTCCTCCCATGTGCTGTGCTTCCTCAACCAAAATGCATCTCCCACCCTCAGGTATAACCAGATAATTTGATTCCCTCTATGTATGTATTGCTTGCCTTTGAGATTGTAAACTATTCTTGGAAGGCCCTTTATCTACTGTTCCTGTGTGCAAACGTGTTTCGTTAGAATAGTTTGTCTTGTTTTACCTGTCGTACAGCGCTGCTATATAGTTTCCAGCACCATGTTATCTGTACCCTCAAAGCACACTAGGTCCATTAACACTGCACCAACCTTTCTTTTCCTGCTGTAATGAGTCTTTCCCTCCATCTGCCATGAACTGCTCTTGGACTGAAAAATAAAATCAAGAAACAAAATCAGTATTGTTCTATCAGGTTGATATCACACACTCAAACGACAACAGACCACACTACTGACACTGTTCATACAAATCAATAGCACGCACACACACACCAGGTTTACAATAACAAACAGACGCTTACACATACAACCAAACCCCACACCTCGACTGAGTTTGCCCTGATAATGTAAAGTTAGCCCCCCAACAGGTACATTAGATCAAAACCTAGCTTCAGATGCAGTGTTTTCTGGGAGACAGAGCACATCTTTGTTTTGATGGGATGAAGATGAAAAGTGATGCCCTGTAGTCTGTAACATACTCCTTGAACAGCTAGTGTCTTCCTGCAGTACATGATTTGTATGTGCTGTCTAACAGCATAGAAGAGTGAGGAGTGCCCAGAAAAACATTGTAGATCTGCCAACCCTAGAGACAAATTCAGCATTGTCTGAAGATCCCTGGTGTGTTATCACATTTCTCTAAAGAACACAAATAATAACAATAGCAATATCTGAAGCTGCTGATCTTTGAGGCCACCAGTGTTCCAAACCATCCGATGAATCAAGTGCTGTCTGACATGCAATGGTTTAAAGCAGGCTTCCCCAAACTCCAGCCCTCCAGATGTTGCTGAACTACAACCCCCATGATTCTATGAATGAAATAGGCTGAGAATCATGGGAGTTGTAGTTCAGCAACATCTGGAGGGCCGGAGTTTGGGGAAGCATGGCTTAAAGGGACACTATAGTCACCCAAACAACTTAAGCTTAATGAAGCAATTTTGGAGTATTGATCATGCCCCTGCAGTCTCACTGCTGAATTTTCCAACATATAGGAAATAAATCACTTTGTTTATGTAGCCCTGGTAACACCTCCCTGCATGTGACTTGCACAGCCTTCCTAAAACTTCCTGTAAAGAGTCAACTAATGTTTATATTTCCTTTATTGCAAATTCTGTTTAATTGGGAATTTCTTATCTCCTGTTCTGTTAAAAGCTTGCTGGACCCTGCAGGAGCCTCCTGTGCCTGATTAAAGTTCATTTTACAGAGCAGGAGATAAAAAAAACTTGTAAAGTAAGTACCATCTAAATGAAAATGAAACCATTTTCTTTCACGCAGGCTGTGTGAGTCACAGCCAGGGGAGGTGTGGCTGGGGCTGCATAAACAGAAACAGAGTGATTTAACTCCTAAAAGGCAGTGATTTGAGCAGTGAGACTTCAAAGTCATGATCTATACACTAAAACTGCTTCTTTAAGTGAAAGTTGTTTTGGTGACCATCGTGTCCCTTTAATTTATTTTACAACTACAGCAGGCACACTACCAAGCATTAAGTATGGAAAATGTTTTGACCTCACACACTACCTTAGAGTGACATTAATGCATTTGAGGCGTAAAATCAGGTTATTTGTTATTTGATACACAGATACAACCTGTGTTCCACTGTCCGCTGGTAAGAATGTATGTGCTGTCTCCCTGCTTGATTAATGGTTTATCCATTTGGCAGCGGCTACCAGAGATGGGATTTTTAACTCTGGTCAATAGTGCAAAGTTCTTTCTCTATCGCAGGGATTCAGTTCTGTGTCCCATTCAATGATTTTCTATAAAAACCGTCACCCACTGTGGGTAGCAGTTAGTTACTCTGAGAGCTCTAAATCCACTATTAAGTGTAGTGGTTATGGTTCTTAGTACCAAACAATGCTTATAGCATCAAAGCACTATAACCAATGCAGCACATTGTAGCGGGTATGTTGTTGTTAGTTTTTTTTTAGTCTATGGGCACTTTTTGTACTAGTTTACTAAAAAGCACCCATCCAGCCTACCATTGCGGCCTGCACTTCATAACCCAAAAGGTTAATTTCCACTGTTATCAGTGCAACTCCACAGGGGGGTGTTTCTGAGTACACAGGCTACCAGTTCTTGTCGTATTGCTGTAAAATGGCTTCACAGAAAACCTGGAAACAGCACACATGAGTCTTATGCCACCATAACCACTACAACGACCTGCAGTGGTTATGGTGCTTGCATGTCCCCATAAGAAAGAGGAGCTTTATATCCCAAATATACACATTCAGTAAATAGTTAAATAAGACCCTGATACAGGGGCCAGCATGGCCTTTAATGCTATGATATAGAGGTGTCACTGCCATCAGGGGTCATGTCCCTTTAAGTGCAATGTGTACTCAGCCTGGGGTTTATTATAACCTCTAACCTTGCCTGATGGCTGAGACTGTTAACCCCTTCCTCTCCTGGCCTGGCTTTTCCCAGTCCTCCCTTTTCACTCACCCTGGAAGCGTGAGACCCTCGGCTGGCGGTACCTAGGACCCTGCGGCCTTTTTCAAACGGCACAAAATAGAGCTTGGATCACATGGACGTGTCTGGTTGGTCACTGTGAGTCACGTGAATGAAACGCACCAACCACAATCTCCCATGACTAATCTGCCTTGTTTACTTCCGGGATGGAAATTTGTAAGCTAAGGCAGGGGGCGTGGCCACCTGATCCAGACTGTCAGGGGAGGAAGGGGGAGAATGAGGGAGTATAGGGGTTAACAGTACAACAGTGAGAGGGTATAGGGGTTAACAGTACAACAGTGAGAGGGGGTATAGGGGTTAACAGTACAACAGTGAGAGGGTATAGGGGTTAACAGTACAACAGTGAGAGGGGGTATAGGGGTTAACAGTACAACAGTGAGGGGGTATAGGGGTTAACAGTATAATAGTGAGGGGGTATAGGGGTTAACAGTACAACAGTGAGGGGGGTATAGGGGTTAACAGTACAATAGTGAGAGGGTATACAATAGTGGAGGGAATTCAGGGGTTAACAGTACAGTGAGGGGTATGGGGTTTAACAGTACAGCAGTGAGGAGGGGTATGGGGTTAACAGTATAATAGTGAGGAGGGGGTATAAGAGGTTAACAATTAATAGTGAGGGTATAGGGGTTGCACAGTACAACAGTGAGGGTATAGGGTTAGCAGTACAATAGTGAGAGGGTATAGGGGTTAACAGTATAATAGTGAGAGGGTATAGGGGTTAGCTGGTATAATAGTGAGGGGGTATAGGGGTTAACAGTACAACAGTGAGGGGGTATAGGGGTTAACAGTACAATAGTGAGAGGGGGTATAGGGGTTAACAGTACAATAGTGAGAGGTTTAACAGTACAGTGGTGAGGGAGATTATTGGTTAACAGTACAGTAGTGAGGGGGGTATAGGGGTTAACAGTACAATAGTGAGGGGGTATAGGGGTTAACAGTACAGTAGTGAGGGGGGTATAGGGGTTAACAGTACAGTGGTGAGGGGGGTATAGGGGTTAACAGTACAGTAGTAAGTATAGGGGTTAACAGTACAGTGGTGAGGGGGGATTATCGGTTAACAGTACAGTAGTGAGGGGGGTATAGGGGTTAACAGTACAGTGGTGAGGGGGGTGGTTATTGGTTAACAGTACAGTGGTGAGGGGGGTGGTTATTGGTTAACAGTACAGTGGGAAGACGGGACAATGTAACATTTTGGTGTATTGTTTGTAAATACTCGGTGTTTTGTTTTGTTTTTTTAAGGATTTATAATAAGCTTTAACCAGGCATTAGTAAGCAATAATTGCCAAAAGGCAGAACCCCAGCTGTTGTAAAAAAGGAAATACCTATAATGCTTTGCCAGCCTTGGCTATGCTCACTCCTGCTCTACCACATATTCTGGTTGAAGATTCAGAGATCCGCTGCTCTTTCAGTGAGACTCTAGCTGTTAGTGCATGCATGGTGCGAGGATATAAAGAATCTATTTCTGGGGTGATGGGTATTAAATAGCAGAAAACTGTAACAATTCCTCCCACCCACCTCCCTCACCCCCGCCCTATCACTCCCAAACCTGTGCTTGGTGTATCCAAGTGGGGGGTGCAGAGAGGTCCCCTCTCTGGTGACAGCCTGGGTAGCATCCTGTTCCTTGGAAAAAATGGTGACTGCAGTACAGACACATCATGCGTGTCCAGCAGGTGCAGAAAACCCCGGTGTGGGGGAGAGAAAGCCCCTACAGGGGACATGCGGGCAGGGAGCGTCTGCAGGAGAGTGCGGTGGCCACAGGGCAGCACTGCTTTGGCAGAGTTATAGGAGCTGTTCAGAGCTAGGCTGGAAGGTGGCAGGGAGCCAGGCGGGCAAATCAGACTTGGGTTAGTAGAAAGCTGGATGAGCAAATGAGAGGGAACTCCCTGTGAGCCAAATACAGAGGAGCTTTTGGCTGAGGTACAGGGCAGGCCACTCACTTTATTGCGTACAGAGACATGGTACAGGTTTGACCGTAAGGTAAAAGAAAAAGATAAAGCACATCAGTTTTGATTCATAGGGTCACACATACAATAATAAGTCGTACAAAAAGAAGCGTAAAAATTGGGGAAATCCCATGGCACAATTTCAGAGATAGGTTATTGCAGGAGAGAAACATGTAAGTAGGGCCACTCGCACAGGCACGTGGTTACAAGGAAATGGCACAGACACATTTCATTGAAGGAGGATAGTCAAGACACATAATGAGGCATAACCATGGTACGTAAATCACAAATATATTGAACATCCATGGATGAGGTTCAGGGAGATCACACACCGGGTAAGAGAGAGGCCAAGGAGGTTAGACACCAGGTTACAAAATAAAAAGGTTAGGTAGAAGCCATAATTGCCAGACAAAGAATTGGACAGTGGTCAAACAGAATAGGTGTTGTGGAAGATCATCATGATTTCAGGTGCAAAGTTAGTTGGAGAATGGTGTTAAGGACCAGATTTGTCATGGTTCATGCAGGTTACAGCAGGATTTGCATGAAGAGAAATATGGAGGAAGTTGATAGAGATATGTCGGAATATGGAAGGACATAGCAAGCAGGAAGAGAGGGAAGAGAAATGTAACAGTTAGTTTGACATAAAACAATGAACAAACACAATGCATGTGAATACACTGTATAATGGCCCCCACATTGTGAGTGATTTCAAAGCATCCTCCCAGTCCCATTACTTTCCTGTCTACATCAGCTATGTGTGTGTCAGTATACAAGCTAATATTGGTTGATCTGTCACCTTTCCAATAAGAAGAGCCTTTGCTCGTCAAGTCTGGGGATCTCGGATATAGACTCTGGACATTATGTGATAAAGGGCCACTGCCGTTTTAGAAATTGCCATTAAGTCTTCTTAATGAATTACTGACACTGAAGTAGAACAAGGTGGAATGGCCAAAGTTTGATCTTCACGTGAGGTTTACCTATAAGCAGTGTATAAAAGTGACCTGAAAACAGAATTTGTAAAATTCAGGCCAAATCAACGGAGTTGAAAATGATGATCACTGACAAAGCACAATTTCAACATGGGACCCTGATCATTTGCTATAATAAGCTTTATTTCTGTATGGCAGGATTCACCTCGGTGGGACACACTGTTCAATGGCTGATGGTATTCAATGTGTTTTATTACCTAGTAAAGAGTTGCATTCATTTTTATAGACACCAGAGCACCAGTGACCTGGGAAAGGATAATGGTATGGAAACAGCTCATACGTTACATGATATGTGCATAAGAATGGTTTCTGTACATTTTGGGAAATAGTCACTGCAAGACACATTTTCAAAATGGTCTCTCTATGATGTGTTTAGTATATATTTTGTGTTAAAGAGCAAATTGGGTTATTTCTCTATAGAAGATGGAAGATAACATTAAGGAATGCTGTAAAGCTAGTCACAGTCTAGAATTCAGGAGCTGACCACTTGCAATCTGATACGGTAACCTTTTCACTGATTGGAAGGAGATGGTAGCAGTCAACACATTGAATGTTGAAGGAAGTGTCAGTTTATGGATTGTTACTAAGCCCATTACTGAGTGGAAGGCTGGTGAGCCAGTTACTGTATTGCAGATTACAGAGCCTGTCCTGGCGTGGAGGACCGCAATTACCATTAATGACCATAAGCTTATGTAGTCCATCACAGTGTGGAAGTTGACAAAGCAGATCAATGTGCGAAGGGATAATAAGTCATCATCACTGAATGGTATCCACCTTAGCCCATCACATTATGGAGGGTTCCCATCACAGTGTCAAGGGGTATGGTGTTTGTCAACGTCTTGAGGGTTACAGGCCTTTGGCCAAGTGGAGTTAAGTAGTGATTAAAATGTTTAAAACACTGCCATTGTTTAGATTAACAATGTGTTCAATTTTTAGGCATGTTTAGTGTTTAATAGGTGTTACTATCTTGGGTTCTGTCATTGCATGTAATAGTCTATTACTTTACCTATTCAACAGCCTTTAATGTCCCTGTATCACTCCCACATTTGTGGCACGATTGTACATTTGAAGGTTCTTACCTTCTCTGATTTTCTTGTCTCCTCCATCTGCCATCCCTCGAATCCAGACCATTCCTTTCTTCACTTGGCTCTGGCCTCCTTTAAAGTTAGGTTCTACATTTGCCCCCTTCTCCCTCTTCACTTCTGGGTTAGAGAAAGAGGTAGAATGGCCAATTGCTGACCACAGTTCCCAATCTGTTCCTTTAACCATGTCTTTATGTTCAGCCTTTGCAGCCATCATGAACTCCTTCCTATCTCCTGCAAAATGGAGATTAGACTCAACCATCGCTTTAGCTGTCTGGTGTTTGTTTTCATGGTGTTGGGGTCTGGTGTTCCTTGGGTGCTTGGAACATTTTTCTTCCGAATATGGGTTATCGTACCATTTATTACCTTCCACTAGATGCCGGGACCCATCATCACCAACTGTAACCTTATGAAGATCAGTTTCTCCGGTGGCCTGAGCTTTTGCCTGCTGAGTATTCTGCTTTATAAGGGTATTGCGATATTTAAGTTCCCTAAATGTAGTAACCTCTTTTCCAGCTGGCATTGGCAGAGAATGTGATCCTAGTGTTCCGTGGTAGAATGCTGTAGCTGTCAGTTCATTGACTGGAGGTTGTTCGCTGTCTGGGGAGAATATAATTAACCAGTCGCTCCTGTCTTTCTTCGATTGCTGAGCTGGTGGCACTCCTGAACTTCGTCTCCTCTTTTGGGCCAGTTCATTGAATGAGGTTATATTCTTCTTAGGACTCTGTGTGGTTAGATTTCCATGGGAGACCAGACCTGGAAGGAGTTCATCATCTGTACCCAAAGGCAGATTGGTATGGGTGGTATCAGGGATTGCAGTCACATTGGCATTTTTGTTGTCCTCTGCCTCTGCTCTGTGTTGTATGTCCTCGTTACAATCCAGAAATCCAGAAATTCGTGGAACTGGAACAGGTTTAAGATCAGATACGGCATTGCAGTTATCATCCAATGTAGTTCCCGCCCCCCACTCAATGGATGGATCAGTTGAGGGACTTTTCAAGCCCCCTGTGATGCTTGACTGCAGTGTTATGGTGCTTGCTGTTTCACAATCCTGTTGTATAGGTGTGAGATCGTCTTCAATGGCAGAATCCAAAGGGATGATATCTGGTTGCTGGTCTGGGGTTTCTGGACCATCCTGCAAGAATTCCTTGTAGTACATGGACACTGGTGACTCATCAAGTGTGAAGTCTGAGGAACTACTGCTGTTGGAAGATGGTGAGGATGGAGATAATGGACTGGATGGAGATAGGATCTCATCACTTGACTCCAGATTGTTCTGAGATATATCCAGGCGAGAGCTTACATGCTCAGTGTGCTTGTCACAACACTGGCATGGAATAGATGGATCATTCGAATTGGCATCAACTTCAACTCTGTCTGGTATGTCTTTCCAAAGGTGACATCCAGTTATTTCCTCCTTGCCTGGGTCTCTGGTTATGGAATTTTCCATGAGCTCAGACCGCAGTGAGAGATGGACCCCAAGCGAAACATGTTGTAGGTGCACAAAGTTTAGATTGCTAACAAGGGCATTTCTTGGAGCCAACATTGTCTTTGCTATCAAGAGCTTTGATCCAAGTGAATTATCTACAGTTCGTCTCTAATTGAGCTTTTGTGATGACATTTTGACAAGATAGTGGTATTTTCAATTGTACCTGGCAACTGGCCAGTATTTTATTCCATATTATATGTCAGCATTTTTATATTATGTATGCCTCCTCCTTTATTCATTGATTTCAACTTTCATTAGACCAAGAGTTACTGGATTTCGAAGTCTTCTTGGTGCTGACCTGCAGAATATAAGATAAGAACCAGCAAACTGTGTGAGAGGATGAGGAGCACATTGTATACGGCAAGCTGGTTCTGCATGATCACAATGTGATTCAACACACATACCAGGGTCAAAGAACAACACTAGCACACATTAGCTGCGGACAAACACCAGATTGACATCCTTGATGTGTTATAAGAGGACTTCAACAACAGGGGTTTAGGGCAATTCAACGCAACTACAAAACTAAAGCTTAGATACACAGTGTTTCAAAATGGGGCAAACACCGCAAAAATTACACAATATCACAACACAAAGAAATACACAGAGACGTGTACAATTCCACTACACAGGTGATGATGTGGTAAAGATGTACAAAGTAACACCACAAAGATGTACTGCACAATATATAATATGTTATAATGACACAACACAGAGAATAAAACATATATACAATGAAACACAGAGACATATACTGTTCAGTAACGCAATGTCAATCAACGAGATGTACACAATATACTGAGATGAGATGTTTATAACACAATATAAACAACAACAACAACATTATGCTCAACCCCACAACACAAGGATACAAAGTGCAACCTAGCTTTACATTGAAAAACCACAGAGACATAGCCTGAATAATATACACAATGCAGAGAGATACACAATATACATAATGTCAAAGAATGATACAGTGCCACATAAACACAGAGAACAACACAAGACCCTAATATCCATGTGTTTACAAAGTGCAGGGTGTGGTTGTGGGTTTGTCAGGGTTAAAGTGTTAGTTGACGGATTTTCCGGATGGTTGTGGGCTCTCAGAATGATTTTGTTTGAGTTCATTTTTACAGTGGGGGGGTTTCAGGGTAAAAACGAGGGTCTGTGTGTGAATGGGAGGCTTGTTGGCTCATTTTGAAAGGATGGGCTAAGGGAGACAGCTGGTGCTCTGCATAATTATGGGGGCTCACAAAGTGACTGTGTGTGGCTTGCGGGGTGACTTAGGGCTTGTATGGTTAATGCAGGGGCTGACATGATGTTCGAATTATCAAGTTATGATAATGTGGATTGTAAGCTTGCAGGCCAAAGCCCCAAACTCTCTGTTATTTTGTCTCTATCAAGTTAAGTCTTTAAATTAAATCATTTACCAATGCTGCATCCCATTTCCACCCCACACCCTTCTTCTTTCCCCCAGTGGCCTCATTCCATTTCCATTCATCCACTCTTCCCTGCTTTCTACCCTTTTATCATTTATTCTGTCGTCCATGCTGTGTAATTCCCCCTCATGTCATCTCTTGGTTCTGTGCCATGCTCCATTTTATCCTCACAGTACCTCCTTTCATTCTTGCTCCTCCTGATCCCTGAACTCCTCTCCCTCTTCCAACACACGGATGCCCCGATCCCTGCCCTGCTCACCCTCTTCCCACACTGACCCTCCTCTGATCTCAGCACTGCTCCCCATCTTCCCACACTGACCTCCCTAAACCTTGCACTGCTCCCCATCTTCCCACACTGACCGTCTGATCTCTGCACTGTTCCCCATCTTCCCACCTTGACCTCCTGATCTCTGCACTGCTCCCCATCTTCCCACCTTGACCTCCTGATCTCTGCACTGCTCCCCATCTTCCCACCTTGACCTCCTGATCTCTGCACTGCTCCCCATCTTCCCACATTGACCCCCTGATCTCTGCATTGCTCCCCATCTTCCCACACTGACCCCCCTTTGATCTCAGCACTGCTCCCCATCTTCCCACACTGACCCCCCTTTGATCTCAGCACTGCTTCCCCTCTTCCCACACTGACCCCCCTTTGATCTCAGCACTGCTCCCCATCTTCCAACACTGACCTCCGTAAACCTTGACTGCTCCCCATCTTCCCACACTGACCTCCATAAACCTTGCACTACTCCCCATCTTCCAACACTGACCCCCTCTGATCTCAGCACTGCTCTCCTTCTTCCCACACTGACCCCCTGAACCCTAAACTCCACATCATCTTCCCACACTGGTCCTGCTGATCCTTGCACTGTTCCCTTCTTCCCACATTGACCCTCACAAACTCTATGTTCCTCAACATCTTCCCACACTGACCATCATACTTTCTGCCCTGCTTCTCCTCTTCCCACACTGACCCCATTAATCACTGCCCTGCTCATCCTCTTCATTTACCGACCCCATCTCCACAGCATAAAACACATTTCATTCCTTCGACTCCTGCCCTTCATGCCCTTTGAACCCGAATAACCTCCATGCCATACCCCTCTTATACATGGAGCAATTCCCCACACTTCAATCCCTCTTTCTTCTTAACATACCCCCTCTCACTCCACAGGGCCCCTTGAATCCCTGCCCTATCCTTCCTCTCATCCCCATATCTTGAGACCTCTCATCCATACAACAACTACCCTCTCTCGTTCCCATACTGTGCCCCTTCCAATCCTTACATCATGCCCTTCTTATCCCTTCACATTGCAGCATCCCCCTTCCATACCTCGCCCCTTCCCACTAAAACACTGTATCCACTTCTCGAGTTCACACCATTCACTCTCTCATCCGAATACCATCCCATCATTCATTACAACATGTTACCCTTTCTCATTCTTTGATTTCAGTACCCCTCTCTCATCCTGTTCTCGTAATGTCCACTTTCTTACACCACCCAGCTACCTTCCTTCTTACACCATCCACCTACCTTCCTTCTTACACCACCCACCTACCTTCCTTCTTACACCACCCACCTACCTTCCTTCTTACACCACCCACCTACCTTCCTTCTTACACCATCCACCTACCTTCCTTCTTACACTATCTCTGAAATCTGTCTGGGAGTATTTTGCCATCCACCCCACATCCTCGCTCCTTGTTTTTCTCCACCAGACAGACAGAGATCTAGATTTTGCACATCTTGATGTGGAATGAATGTTGGTACCACCCGTTGTCACATCAGATTGCTTTAAACACCGACTGCCACCAACCATATGCAGTGCCTGCAGTGCTCCCCCTACCCCTGATGATAATCCCTATACACACTGTACCATCCTACACAGGGTTTGCCCTTTCTCCTCCAATATATACATTTAAACATGATTTCTATACATTGAATTATTGCAGCTACTGCAGGGATTATCTGACAAGGTTTCACCTACACTAAGCACATAGACTGCAGACTGCAGGACTAGGTACCTGTCCCCTACCCATACAATATGTCTTGTTTTACCTGTCACTTAGCCCTGTGTGTGTATCTCTGCCCTGTGTGTAAAGATCATCATGGGAGAGAAAACATACCTAGAAATGGCTGATCTGCAGATGCGACCAGAGACTCAGAATAGCTCCCCCCATCACTGCATCCAATGTGAAGGATGGACCAGGGGAGGGGAGTCTGCTCAGCATCCAGGGGGAGGAGGAGAGAACAGAGAATCAGCTGAGCATCCAGGGAAAGGGGAGGGTGAGGGGATTCTGTTTAGCATCCATGGTAGGGACAGATTAGGGTGAATTGGTTCAGCATCTGGGGTAATGAACTCAGCATTGAGGAAGACAGAGGGGGAATTCTATCAGGGTCCAAGGGGTGGAGAGGGGAGATTAAGCTCAGGATTCAGGATGGAAAAAGAGGGATGATCGGTCCACCATCCAGTGTGTTAAGGGGGGTCAGGGAAGAGGGAATCAGCTTTGCATCCAAGGGGGAGGGCTAGGGTAAAGAGATGACAATTAGTAGACAGGCCAGAGAGAGAGAGGGAATCTCTTATACATTCAGTGGAAGGGGCATTGGCTCAGCAACCAGGGGCATGAAGATGGGGGAGGTAAATCAGCTCAACCTCCAAAGTAAAGGAGAAAAGGTGTCAGCTTAATACCCAGGGCAATGGAGATGTTTAGGGGGAAATGGATAATTTTCCAGGGGAGGTCATGTTGGCTCAAACCAATGGAGGGGGGATATCTGTTCAACTATCAAAGGGAGAGGGAGGGCGCAACTAGCCTGGCGTCTACATCAGGGGTTCTTTTTAAATCCATGGATCACCACCCTAAAATGGGTCCCCATGTCATTTTCATGAGGATTTTAGCAAAATGGCTGAATTTAGGGGTTTTCTGTAATATAGCAATGCCTTCTGCAACGCAGTGGAGGCCCCTTTGATACTCAGAAGTGTTTAATTGTTGCATTTTGAAAAATTTATTTTAGTGTTAGTTAATTTACACTGGATGAATGGCTTAAGTCAGTTTTATAAATGATGAATAGTTTGCCAAGAAAATCCCATCTGCATCATTTGGATCCCTGGTTAAGATTAACTAATCTAGAGCAGTGTTTCTTAACTTTTTACAGCGAAGTGCCCATGCAGGTCTAAAAATAAATAAATCCCAATTACCCCTTCCTCAAGAATGTAAATTCTATTGATTTAAATTTAAAATTAAACATTACACTGATATTTTAAGTTAATCCCATATTGGATAACAAGCATGATTAAAGGTAGTGAAGATAATTTTTCAAATAAATATGACAATGTGAATATTATGTATGTAAGGAGGAGTGTATGAACTATTACTCTGAAGTATAAAAGTCACAAAATGATAATATAACACACATAATAGTTACACATAGATGGCATTGACAAATACTTTCACACACCGAGGATACTGACAAACACACACACACTTACACACAGAGGACACTGACACACATTTAGACAGAGGACACTGACACACTCACTGATTTGACACACACTGACAGGCACACTCAGAGCTGTATTTAGCGCGAGGCTGACACAGCATTTGCCTTGGGCGGCACTTTCAGGGGGCGGCAAAAAAAGCCACCCCCCAAACGCCCTGGCAAATGCCTTGCCAGCCTCTTGCCTTTGGGGACCAGAGAGCTGGCAAGCTGGCCACCTCAGGGCCCCCCGGGTTTGGCATCTCCTGATGCGAGCGGCAAGGGAGCACTGTCCCCTGAGCTCTCCCTGCTTAGCTCCCTCGCGCGCACCGCAGTGATGCCGGAGCCAGAATATGACGGCACTCCGGCTCCGGCATCACTGAGAGGCGCAGGAGGATCAGAGCTCCATCTCAGCCCGTCTGAACTCTGCTCCTGTCTCCCTGACCGCCTGCCAGCCCAGCCAGCAGCAGCCCAACTGGACCACAGGGAAAAATTCAAAATGTAAGCAAAAAAAAATTGTGACTGTGTTAGTGTGTGTTTGTTAGTGAGTGTGTTGGTGTGTGTTTGTTAGTGAATGTGTTAGTGTGTGTGTCTGTTAGAGAGTGTTAGTGTGTATCTGTTAGTGTGTGTGTGCCTGTTAGAGTGTGTGTGTCTGTCACAGAGTGTATATGTGTTTCTCAGTGTGTATGTGTGTTTGTCATTGAGAGTATATATGTGTTTGACAGTGAGTGTGTATGTATGCGTGTGTCAGTGTGTGTATCCGTGTCTGTCAGTGAATGTGTGTGTCTGACACTCAGTGTATATTATGCCTGTCAGTGAGTGTGTATGTGTGTTTGTCATTGTGTATCTGTCAGTGAGTATATGTGTGTCCCTGTGAGTGTGCATCTGTCAGTGAGCATGCATGTGTGTCTTGTCAGTGAGTGTGTATGTGTCTGTCATCTAGTGTGTATGTGTGTCTGTCGGTGAATGTGAGTGTGTGTGTGTAACTGTGAATGAGTGAGTGAGTGAGTGTGTATGCCTGTGAATGTGTATGTTTCAGTGAAAGTGTGTGTTGGTTAAACAGTGTGTGTGACAATGACTGTGTAACTATAAGTGAGTGTATGTCAGTGCATGCATCAGTGAAGGGTGTGTCCCTGTATTGTATAAAAGCAGGCCAATGAGCCTGGAATAAACAGATTTGTTTTACCCTTCATCAAGTCTAGGCTGATGTTTGGGAACTTGTGGAGCTATAATCACTGCATCACTTGGGATTTGGGAGACATACAGCGGATATACTCTGCCGGAGGAATGCCGGGGATCCGTTACACGCACATTGCATACCTTACACATACAAACACAGATTCATACAATGCATCCCTTACACACACACACTACATCCCTCACAAACTGGTATCCCTATACACTACATTCCATAAGAACGCACACACATTACATCCTCTACAATAACACATCCCCTACACACATACACTCCACTCCCTGTGACTGAACTAATGGGTGGGCCTTGTAGGCATACTCACGGTCAGGCCCTGGGGTCCCAGACCGTGATCTGTGTAAGGGGCCTCAAAAAATTGAGCTGCTTACTGTTAGTTAATTTTTGCAAGCACTGCCTCCAGAGAGCCTGTTTTAACACCAGACCAGTGGAGCCAGACTGCAGCCTGAGCCTATCATCATCCTCTTGTCCTCATCTGGTGGTAAGTAGGCAATCCAGTATATTATTAGTGGCCCTAATCTCTAATTTACCTCACATTAAAGGGACACTACAGGCACCAGAACCACTACAGCTTAATGTAATGGTTCTGGTTCTGGTGGCTACAGCCTGTCCCTGCTGGCTTTTTAATGTAAACACACTACCTTTTCAAAGACACTGTGTGCACCACTGACGTTGGCTCATATGGCAGATCATATGGGTGGGGTACTGTGATGTCACATGGTGGGCAGAGCATATGGGTGGGCGGCAAATTTTTGTTTGCCTAGGGCGGCAAAAATCCTTGCCCTGTCTGGGAGGCCATAAGTTTTCCTAAAGAGATGGGTTTTAAGGCACTTTTTAAACAACTGAAGACTAGGGGAGAGTCTGATGGCGGTAAGCAGGCTATTACATAGGAAGGGAGCCACCCGCGAGAAGTCCTGCAAGTGTGAGTTGACCGTACGCATACGAGCAGTGAACATGAGAGCGGAGAGACCAAGAAGGAGCATACCTACGGATCAGTGAAGAGATATAAGAGGGGCTAGAATTGTTCACTGCTTTATAGGTATGGGTTAGTACTTTGAATTGACTCCTATAGGATTCAGGAAGCCAATATAGGGACTGACAGAGGGATGAGGGTGTGAGAGGACCGACTAGAGAGTCTGGCGGCAGCATTCATTACAGACTGTAGCAGGGCAATACGGGAAGATCAATTAGGAGGGTGTTACAGTAATCCATGCAGGAAATTACTAGAGCATGGACAAGCTCCTTAGTAGCATCTTGTGTAAAAAAGGAGTCGATGCAGGCTATGTTTTTAAGATGGAATCTACAGGATTTGGTAACATGCTGGATGTGAGGCTCAAAGAAGAGGCCAGAATCAAGTATGAGGCCAAGACAGCGCGCTTGCAAGGATGGACTGATGTGCATACCACTAATTTGAAGGGAGAGCGAAAGAGGAGGATCAGTATTAGGAGGAAGAAAGACAAGGAGCTCAGTTTTAGAGAGATTGAGATTCAGAAAGTGGCAGGACATCTAATCAGAGATTGAAGAAAGGCAAGCAGTGACACGTTGCAAAATGGCAGGGGAGAGGTCCGGGGAGGAGAGATATATCTGGGTGTTATCGGTGTACAGGTGGTAGTGGAATCCAAATGAGGTAATAAGTTTGCCAAGAGAGGCAGTATAAAGAGAAAATAGGAGGGGACCAAGGACAGAGCCTTGGGGGACTCCAACTGAGACAGGATGAAGGGAGGAGGTATCATTAGAAATCGAGACACTGAATGAGCGTTGTGAGACATAAAAGGAAAACCACAAGAGGATTGAAGAGTTTGAAGAAGGAGAGCATGATCAACGTCTCAAAGGCAGCAGAGAGGTCAAAAATAATTAGTATGGAGTAGGGGCCTTTTGATTTAGCTGCGATTAGGTCATTAGTAACTTTGATAAGCCAGATTGAAGAGGGTCAAGGAGAGCGTTGGAATTGAGGAAGTGAGATACATGGGTAAAGACAAGTCTTTCCAGAAACTTTGAGGAAAAAGGGAGCAGGGTTTAAGGACGATAGTTAGAAGCATGGGCGTAGGAACCCAAAAAAATCTAGGGGGGATAGCATTTTTACTTGCCGGGTATATTCTTATTCTGTAAACTATGAGTTGTTTATCCCATTGCACAGCGCTACGGAATTTGCAGTTGCTATATAAATGATTAAATAATAACTTTAAAGGGTCACTACAGGGAAGGGATTTTACTTACCTGGATACAGCGCCGGGATCCTCCTGATGCTGCGCCCCCTATTTCGTCAAAATAACGAAATAGGAGGGTGCGAGCAGGGAGCAATAAAACGCTTCTATTCAGAAGCGTCATTGCTCTCTGGTGCGCATGCGCAGCTTTGCCGCACATGCACAGATACTTCATAGGGCGGCATTCATGTCTCGACTAGGAAGCACCTCTAGTGGCCATCTGAGTGTCCACTAGAGGTATTCCTCATCAGTAATGTAAATACTGCCTTTTTACGAAATGGCTGTGCTTACATTAAAAAGCCTGCAAAGACATGCTATAGACAACAGAACTACTACGTTTAGCTGTTGTGGTTCTGGTGACTATAGTGTCCCTTGAATATAGAGAGGAAAAAAGAATCATCACAAATGTAAGAAATAAAATGTCTGTATCATTATTCTAAAAAAAAAATTTTTAAATACACATTCCTAGCTTAATTTTTAGCACGACATATAACACAAACATTTTGTACTTTGCAGATTACTTTTTATATTTTTTTTATAGATATACAGATTGTGTAATACTGCCCCTGACTTAGGGTGACCACATTTCCTAACTGCCATTCAGTGACACTTTCAGAAATGCATTCCATACATTTTACTACCCGTCTCTACCCCTTCCATTTATATTAGAACCCCTTTCCATGTAAATTAGAGATTAGTGCCACGAATAATATGCTAGATTGCCTACTTACAACCAGATGAGGATGATGATGGGCTCTAGCTGCAGTCTGGCTCCACTGGTCTGGTGTAGAACAGGCTCTCTGGAGGCTGTTTGTAACTGTGGTCACAAAAATCAATGTTCTGGGAGAACAGGAAGCAGCTCCATTTTTGGGGGGCCCTTTACACAGCTCAAGGTCTGGGTCCCAGGGTCCATCTTCATGTTCCACCAACGAGTTTGTTGACAGGGGGTGGAGTGTGTAGGGGATGTCCTGATATGTGTGTAAGGAATGCATTGTGTGAATCTGTGTTTGTATGTGTAAGGGCTGCAAGGTGTGTTTCTGTGTATGTACGGGATGCAGTGTGTGCGTGTGTGTACAGGGTGCATTTAGTGTGTGTACAGGGTGCATTTAGTGTGTGTAAGGAATGCATTGTGTGTTTCTGTGTGTGTAAGGTTTGCATGATTGTGCGATTGTGTGTGTGTGTGATGGATGTCAATCTCTCTCCCTCCCTTGTCACTCTCTTTCTCCCCCTCTCTCCCTCCCTTGTCACTCTCTCACCCTCCCTCCCTCCCTCCCTCGTCACTCTCTTTCTCCCCCTCCCTCGTCACTCTCTTTCTCCCCCTCTCTCCCTCCCCTCCCCTCCTCGTCCTCTCTTTGTCCCTCCTCCTCCCTCG